GACAATTTCATAAAGAAACAACAAAATTATTCAAATTTTTAATTTTCAAAAATTTTCATTTTTCAAAAAAAAATTTTTTTCAATTTTTTTTTGAAAAATATAAGTCAAATGAAACACTTTTTTCCTTTAGCATTTTTTGATTCGAGTGAAAACAAGAAAGTTACTCATTTTTTTAAAAAAATGACAAACAAAAAAGTGTGAAAAATGGGTAAAATACAGGGCAAATTTACTTTATTTTTGAAGAAACTGTCCTATTATGTATTATTACTGTTTAAATTACTTTAAAATAACACAAATATCATTAACGTACTCATAATTTTCAAAAAATTTAAATATTTTTTAATTTTTTTGAAATTTTTAAATTAATATTTGTTTTTACATTCTCATCATAATGAGAAAGTTTTACATTTGCCCGATTTTGACCAACCTCTAATTCATAAAAATTTCGTTTTTTTTTTTTTTTTTTTTATAAGTCCAACTATTGTTTTCCATTTCCAAACATTGCAATTGTTTTCAAAAAATCCTCTATTTTAAAATAGTTTATATTGCACTGCTTATACCAGAATTTCGTATTTTTTCGATTATTTACCTTTGAATTGGTTTAAATTTATTTATAGATTTTTTAAATTCTCATCATAAGTGAGAAAGTTTTCGTTTTGGTCGATTTTGACTTTTTTCAAATTTTAGTGAATCTGTACGTTTTGAGTCCTCTTGATGCCAAAAAAGTATGTTTTGAAAACCTGTCCTTCTGTTTGTCGTTTGTAATCTGTCTGTAGCCTCATTTTGTCCCCACGATAACTTGAACATATGTTAACGAATCGCTTTGATATTTGGTACACGCTTTCAACAAGTAAAAATGAAGCCTGAGTTCGTTGGACATACTAATCCGTCCAAAAATTTAAAAATTATTCAAATTAAAAATTTTTAAATAATTTAATTCTTCTCGAAAATTTTTTTTTTAATTTTCTCTTAAAATACTTCCAAAAGTAAACTTTTTTTTCTTTAACACTTTTGGATACAGATTAAAACAAAAAAGTTATGTTCTATAACGTTTAAGGTATTAAAATTTTTTAATTATTTTCGATGTGTTATTTTACTCATTAATTTTTTGTGGCACAGTTTTAACCTATTTTGCCACCTTTTCTTTTAGCAACTTTCCTCTCTAGATTTAAAGTTTTTGAAGCAGTATTCATAAAACATTTTTTCCACTATAACGAAAGCATTGTGAAGTGAAACAAAAATAATAAGTGTACACGGAGAGAAAAATTAGGTGATAACTGCTTTGTTTCAAGTCGTTGGTCCAATTTTATTAAACAAGGCATTTGTAACTGGAGAGCACGGTAGATTTGACTTGGCTATCAAGTTAGGGCTATAATGTTCTCAAATAATACCGACAGACGGTTTGACCAATCAGCTTTGCTTGGCAGCGTGGCGCTATTCACACACGCATATTAATAGAATATTATGTATATTTATTAATTTTTTCTAGGTTAGGTTTGATTTTTAAAAAAATTTCAAATATTAACATTTTTTTGATGATTTAAAGGAAATAATAAGGTCCACAATATAGTTTTTAAGCAATTCTGAATCCAAAGGTTTTTCAAATTAACTGAAAAATTATGTAAAAATAAAAAGAAACACTTTTTCAAGTTATGTTGTGTGTTGGATTTTCAGTTTTAGACACTTTTCTCGTTATACATAATTATAATAAAAAGTTAGGACATTGCGTAGTCGTATTTCAACATTTAAAGCGTACATTAATTATTCACTGTAAAAAAAAGTTCTAAATTAGAGCTGATTTCGGTATTAAAATCGAACCAAATTACGATTTAGTACAAAAATTGGTACTAAATTAGTACCTTTCTTTTTACAGTGTTTTTTACATTACTTTTGTGAACGCATTCATTAATAAGTATTTAATTATTTTGTCAGCAAACCATAACACACTTCGAATACGATAAATGACAAATTTGTAAGTTTCGAAGTGCAAAATTTTTATTTAAATATTTTACAAATAAATAAATTGGCATAATTTTTTTCTTGAATTCGCTATTGATATTAACATATTGATATTACTTGTTACACGAATAACCTCAACTGTTTAAATGAATGGAAATATCACTTTTTAATGGCACATTAATACTATTTGGGACCGCACAGTCAAAACTACCGTGCGACCAATTTTGCTTTAACTGTAGGCATCGTTACTTGAGTCACTCAAGTAGTTTTAACTTAAGTCTCCAGTCCACACAACCTAATTTTTCTCTCCGTGTAGCAGGCAAAATTATAAAGAATTATAAATTAACTAAGTATAAACATTGCTATTTGTTAAAAGAAAATTCATTTTTCAACAATAATCTTTTTAGCAAATTTAAATAAATCTTTCTACTCCTTGGTTTTTTAGGTCGCTCATTACGATTCTGAGATCAGTTTTTAAAAATTCAAAATGGCGTATTGAAACATTTTTGACGCGATTTTTTTAGCATTTAAAGCATTTGAGTGTCCCAATCAAATAACTCGACCGACGCTCGGACGAACGCTCTATTACCAGTCAAGTAGCAGTGACAGCCTGTGGGCGGCTCACTGCTACCCGACTACCATTAGAGCGTGCGTCCGAGCGTCGGTCGAGTTATTTGATCGGGACACTCATTTGAAAAGATTAAAAAAACTGAACAAAAATTCTAAAAAAATCTTCTTTTTACTGCTTGTAAATTGTTTATTTAAAAATTTTCGGTTCTTTTAGTACACTATTTGATAGAGCCTCAAAGTACCTGTAAAAATTTCGTTAATGGGTGCCTACTTTTCCTATTGTATGTTTCTAATTTTCGAGCGTGAAACGCGAGTGTCGTGATGAGAATGTTATCCTTAAAGTCAAAGTACTTTAAGAAAATGAAATTTAATTTATAAAAACTAAAATTTTCACTTATATAAATTGTACAAAAAAATTTTTATGAATAAAAACATGAGGGCAAGACCTCATATAATAAATTTGTTGCTTTAAAAATGCATTAACATTAAAGTTCTTTTTTTAATGTTTTTAATTTTTCAATTAATTTTTTCTTTTACTTAATTGAAATTAGTTCGAAGCGGAATATCTTATTTTAGTAAATAATTTGGTTTGTCGATTTTCGTTAATTACCAAGACCTGGCCAATCCACGGCGCAAAATTAAGGAACTAATTGTAAGTTTGAATAACTGCAGTGCCGCCATTCTCTTTTTTTGCTCGATAAAAAATTTATTCGGGTGTACTTCCGAAGTAGGAAGTAAAAAAACCATGATTTTATGGTGTTTTTTATGTTTCTTACCATGATAATCAAATTTGCGCCAATTTTCACTATCATTTTCGTAATCAGCGCACCAAAATACGTTAGTATACCAAGTTTCATTAAGATCGGAGGTACCCCTACTTCGGAAGTATATCCATTTACTCTAATACCTTTATAACTTACCTATTTGTATAATTCAATTTAAAGCATTTTAATATAGACTATGAATTGTTTCTAATAAATCAACTACAAAGTCTGAAACAACTACAAAATCTCATTCTAACAAATGGATTTTTGGGTCATTCATCTACTTTCAGGTAGAATAATTAATACAATTTTTGAATGTAATTGAAAAATTTTTGAATTACACAGTGTATTTAAAAAGTAATTAATGCTACTAGGTTTTGAATTGTAATAAACAAACAAAGCGCGTAGCGCGATGCCTAAACAATGCGCGCGAAGCGCGTATCAATATCGGACCGCGAAGCGGGACGATCATCCTTTGCGCGCCCAGGGCGCGCTCAAACTAGCGAGCGAAGCGCGTGATGAGAATGTGGCCGCCCCCGCAGGGGGCTGCCGGATTTTTTTTTTAAAGGGGGTTGGTGCCAGCTTAACAACATAATAAATTATAAACTTTCTATGACCATTCACGGAGAAACATGAGTTTCCTATTATATGGATAGCGAATTTTTAGCTCTGGTAGCTAATATTTAGCTGCCACAGAAAAAAATGTTAGCCATAGAAGCTAAAAAATTAGCTGTATTAGATAACATTAATTCCTATCCATATAATAGCAATTGGGGTTAGTTAAGGTAACTAAATTTGAGCTAATATAGCTATCACAAAAAAAAATAGTAAAAGTAATTAAAAATTAAGTATTCTGCAATAATAATCTAACCACTAGACTGAACATCCTTGTAAGAGATTTAAATTAATTGTTCTCATAAGGCACCAGCTAAGAGCGGACTAAATTATTTAGTTGTCGTAACCAAATTTTGGATGGAATTTTAAAATGTTGGACAAAATATTTTCATAACCTAACCAAATATTTATATAATTAAATAATTACCAACCGATTTACATACAAATACAAAATCTTTTTTATTTAATTCAAAATAAAGGGGGTAGTGTCCATTTTTAACGTTAAGTTGCGGCACTATTTGCATATAAATGTTATAAATTAAATATTAATAAAATAAAATTATTTTTCTGCAATTATTAAGGACTTATTAAGTGATAATCACCGCCCTTAAATAAAAACTTCAAGCTCATTAATTATTCATTAAAAAATAAAAAGTAGTGTTCAATCAGTACGTTAAGTTATCACTATTTGATTATAATTGTTACAAATAATTGAAAAATAAAATTATTTTTTTGACAATAATTAAGGGCAAATAGTGTTAACTTAACGTATACCCCCCATTTTTTAATGAATTTACATATATTTTTTTAAAGAATAAAATATTTAAAAAGTAGTCAAAAAATCCTTTAAAATTCATTTATAAACTTTCTTAATCGGATTATTTGACTACGAACTACATTTGTTTAAAAAATTCATGTGCGAGTCTAATTAAAATTCATATTTAAAAATGTTGTAAATATTTATTTTATAATAGTCAAGTAAGTAGATTTCAATGTATAGTTTTGACTAAAATGTAGTGATAAATTCTAGTATTAACTATAGCTAATATTATCAGATTGAAGAAAATATAACATTGGAACTAGTTCTGACTAACAAATTTGCGTTTACACTGTAACATAGATAATACAACATCTGTGGTAAATATTGAAAAATATATATAACACTCAGGTCTCGACAAATATTCTGGATAAAGTAACAAATAGCTTCAAAAATTAGTGGAAATAATTAAATAAAAACATTTCAGGTAAATTTTACTCTTTCTTATAAAAGTATAATTTTTTTTCAATTGAACATTTAAATTATAACAAGTTGATCACTAATACTCGCGGATAAAGTTCAACGTCATTTCCAGGTTTTTTGTAGGTTTTTAAGAATTTTTCAAGGTTTCAAAAAAGTAGGTACTTTATTCAGCACTTTATTGATATAAATATTAATTATTATTAATATAATCAATGTATTATTTATGTCTAAATAATTTTTAAATATTTCAAAAATAAATTGAATTTTTTTTAACTTTTTATTAACATTTCGTTTTTGACAAACAAATACTAGTGGGTCAAACCATTGAAAATCATCTAAAAGTGGTTGTTGGCATATTTTAAATAAATATAGTTTTAATATATGTGAAACTAGATGAATTTCTAAGTTCATTGGTCATAATAAAATCGTTTAAATTTTATTTCGTTTTAAATTATAATTTATTAAATGTAAGAGGTTCATGACGTGATTATATAACTTTAAATATTACACTTTTTTGGAAACATTATTATTCAAAAACTATATAAAGTATTTGATATTATTATTTACCAAAACATAAATTAATGTATTCTACATCAAAAAATGATGGAATTATAATAAAATTATTTAATTTTTAGATATTAATTCGAATTTGAAAATTTTTTTAGTAAAAAGATTCTACAATTTTTTTTAACCTTATTGAAAACCCCTGTACAAGATATTGTACAAGAAAATGTAAATTGTTCTTGTGCAGGTTCATGTATAAGTATTCACGCACATGAAACCGTTCATGTTCTTCTACAAGTACATTTGAAAAAAAATTGAGATTTTTATAATTTATAATTATTAAAACTCTTCACTTATGCATATTAAAAGTTATTGCACAGCTGTAAAGTACTAAGAAAACTACTGCGCAGTCTTTAAAGTTTTTAATTTTTACTAAACGAAGACCGACGAAGACATAAATGAACATAAGAAGATGTACCAAAGCTGGTGCAAGAAAATGTACATAAACCTGCACAAAAATATATACAAGAACACATACATTTTCTTGTATACTTGTTCTGATAGCAAGAACTTGTTCCAAATTCTGGTGCAAGAAAATGTAGGGGAGAGTTGCTTGTTTTTTGAAAATACTGGTTTTATGACTTTTCAAAAACAGTGGGGAGTTGTGCTCTACCGTTGAAAATTGAAGAAAAAAACATATTTTTTAGAATATTATTTATTTAAATTATTAAATGTGAAAAAGTAAGATAACATACATAGAATAAAGATAATAAAAGATTAATTTTAGATAATTTAGATAAAATTAAATTAAAGTCTCATTTCACCAAAGAACAATATTTAAATTGCATAAAAAATTGTAATTATTCATAATTAATGCGAAATAAAAATAGAGAGTGCTTATTAGAATTAAAAAATGTTAAATATGATGTGAGGTACAACTCCCCACTAACGCTGGAGCTGAGTGTGCTTCTTGATTGAAAAACGATGTGTGTACTGAAAGGGTTAAATAATTATAAAATAATTATAATTAAATTCGTTTCTTTACAGGTTTCTTGAAACATACCAACTTAATATACTATTCACCTCTACTACATTGAATGAGTAGAAACAACCAAAAGAAAAAGAATATATTTCAATAACAGTTTCACATTTTCAAAAATGGAGAACATTCTATACACAAATCCACTAGAAACAGTTCAACTCATATCAATATTAAGTTATTTCAGCGCACTCAGTGATTATTTATTTTTGGAAAATCATCTATCAGAAGGTGATCAAAATAAACAAATACCAGTTATCAATGCACTCTTTAAATATTTAGAGGTCAATCGTGATAATCAAACAATGAAACTCAGATTGGTTAGGAAATTATTAGAAGGTAGTGATCTATATGGAGAAAAAAACCATGAAAATTTGGATGAAACTTTTGTAAATGCAATGTTTGAATACATCATTACTTCCCTGGTATTTGACAAATATGGAAATGTTTACGGTTTCTTAGCAGAAGTAGTTCGCAAAACTAAAAATTTACAATTACATTCTTTGTACGAGGACATAAAGGCTAATCTCAGAGGTGCAAAATTTGAAAACGAGTATGGCGAGAGTTCGATTCTTTCTGCATTAGCGGCAAATAGAATATTTACAGATATAATATTACCGCTATTTCCACAGCCTGGAAGAAACCTGAATCTATTATCTCTTGACTACATTTACGCACAAGCTGGACTAATTTTCCTTCGAACTGGTAAATCAAATACTGCCTTTTATACTGATTTACAGAATATTAATAGTACTGTTTTTGATCATAAAAATTTATTTGAAGGATATATGGTAACAGGACATATAATTAGAAATGCACTAAATAATGAAAACATACGTCTTGTTAGTTATAAAGCATTTACTCTTCCAGCTCTTTTTTATTATGTTTCTAAATCATACACTGGTAATAGAAGTATTAAAAATTTAGTGCTAAGTCCATATTATTTGAAAGCAGCTTATAATAATCTTTTTTCATATCTAGATGAGACTTTTGACCAAATAAAAAATAAATTAAAAAATGACACTAAATATCAAATAAACACCGCGTTATTACAATTTAAGAGTTATTCAGAAAGAGCTAAATCTAATTTAGAAAGTAATTGCCCACATTTCAGTAAAGAAGATATAAAATCAAACATTCAGAATTATTTATATTTTCCACAATACTTTCAATGCCAGTTTGGAACAATATTACCAAATCTGATTGAACAGGTTCAGGACAGTATAAATAATTTTAGTGCAGTATATAAAATGTATGATATGAAATCAGTGCATCAATCTTTTGGGACATCTTTTTTAAGATTTTTAAATTATAGTATTGTACATATACAATTAATAGTTCCAACTGATAAGGTAATACATGGTATCTTTAATAACAATGCACGTATACCATACGATTTGTTTAAATTTAATTACCCCGAAATTAGATTATCAGATTTTTATGCATTACTGCGCGAAGATTATACGGCGGTATTAATTAAAGAAAGTGATGATCCTATCGGTTTTCAACAAAAAACTAATCTGTCTGTTCAAATGTTATTAAGTCAACATTATCATCAAATAAATTTAAAATCAGTTGAGGAGACTATGGATGTATTTTGGAAAAACTTTTTGAACCATAAACTAAAAAGGTTGGAATCATATCTTAAATTTGTTGGCACTGGTGCATCACTAGGCGAATGGTGGAGAGAATTTGGATTATCATTGGTACCGTTTTGGCCATGCATAACAAAACCTTTAAACATAGAAAGTGATGAAGAAGTTTGTGTAGGAAACGAAACTAATTTTTCGTATCAGCGGAATGTGGATATGTTTAATTCATTAATAAACTCCGATACTCAATCTTTCTTGACATCATTAGGCACTACTTTTAAAGCTACAATAGTCTATTTAACATTAAATCAGAAATATGAAGTTGCAGTAGAAAATCCAACTACAGTACTCGACTTTATAAAAAAATTTGTATTTCATATGCAAAAACCTGCATTTGATCTCACCTTCCTGGATAAAGAGGATATAATATTAGTACAAACAGTTATTAATAAATTAGGGCATAAAATTAATAGTTCCTTTACGTCAGTTATAAATAATCTACATAATATAAAAAAATTTTGTAAAAAAATTAAAAGTACCTAACAAATATTATATAATAGATAACCATATTCACTGAGAAATAAATTTAGTCTTTGCAATTTGTAACCAAATTTTGGTTGGCTGAAACAAAGTCGTAGAGTTATCTCAACCAAACAATTGGTTAGACCAACCAAATTATTTGATTGAAAATTTTTAAATTCCAACCAAAATTTGGTTACGACAACAAAATAGTTTGGTCTAAAAAACCAAATGATCGTTTGTTGTTCTAACCAAAATTTGGATGCGACAACCAAATAATTTGATTCGCTCTCAGTTTATAGCTTAAGAGAACAGTTAGTTTAAATTTCTCAGGAGGATGGGTAGTCCAGTAATTAGAGCTCCCGACCTACAGTTTTAAAACAGAGGTTCGATCCCAGGTGGAGATGAGATTTTTCAAAGTCCACAAATATTTCAATAGGATAAATATAAATTCAATGTTAAATGGATAATAAATAAATAATGAAATAAATAAAAAAGAAAAGAGATAAGGTAGAATAAAATTTTTAATTTTACAAAAAAAACTGTTTGATCAACCAAACATTTTTGTTGACCTAACAAAAAAAATTTGGTTGAGCTAACCAAACATTTTTTTACGCCAACAAAAAACACTCAACCAAATTTTTTAGTTGACTCAAACAAATAGTTTGGTTGCTTAAATACCAACAAAATTTTGGTTGCTCTGACTAAACATTTTTCTCAGTGTTCTTTTCTCTAAATTAAGGTACGTTCGAGACGCACGTTATGTTGCTACGTTTGAAAATTACTATTGTAACGCACTTTGCGCGACTTTAGATATTTTAAATTAAATAGAAAGTGGGGGTTCGGCTCGCGATAGCCGATACAAATAAATTGAGCAAAAATCCTAGCGAAATCCAGAATTCAAAAAGGCGATTCGACCTGCGACTCAATCAAATGAGCAGCTGCGAGCAATTGATCCGAGACGAGTCCATCCAGATGAGGAATAAAGATCGATTGATCGAACTTACCAGTTCGCAGATTTAATAAAATAAAATGCGCTTTTACAACAATTTACAAAAATGCGACGCAGCGCATCGATTACGCGCAGAAAATCGCGTCGGAAGGTGCTTCTACGATAAGAAGTCTAGCTTCTCTCTGATGAGAGGATCGACCGCGATCCTCGCGAATATATGATTCGGTTAACGACCAATCATCGTCGTAGGCTTGAGGCTTACGGCTGGCGCGAGAAATTAGGAAGTAGGCAAACAGCCGGGAACGGCATATTTATCCGAGGAGATAGAAAAAGATATGGATCGTTGCACTATGTAGCATCTTTTATATTCATAACACCGTCCGACACGATTTTTTACCCACAAAAAAATACAACATTCTCGGAAACTAGGACCAAAAAAAAATCCATGTCCGGTCGTTTTTCTAGATCAAGTAGTTTGTAGTTTTTAGAGGTGAAAACAACCCCTAAATGAAAAGTGACAAGATATCCGCCATTTTGAATTTTGAAAATTTGACATCAGATTTGTCATCAGCGACCCCAAAAACTCCTAGATACAAAGTTTTATAAGAAATTAATAACGTTTTAAAAATTTGATTACCAAATTAGATCCGCCATTTTGAATTTTTAAAATCTGACATCAGATAAATAATCAGCGACCCCGAAAATCCCCAAATAACAGGTTGTATAAAATATTAATAATTTTTAAAAGATATCTTGTCATTTTTCATTTAGGGGCTGTTTTCACCCCTAAAAACCACAAACGACTTGATCTAACAAAACGGCCAAACATGGGTATTTTTTTGGTCCTAGTTTCCGAAAATGTTGGATTTTTTTGTGGGTCATAAAAAGTTGAATTTTGTCAAACGGTGTAATGTATGAAATCATACTTATACACATTAAAAAAAGGTTCATAACAAATAGAAATTTTTATCAGTGGCATAAAATATTATTAGTTCGTTTATTATATATGTTGTAATTTACATGTATGTTTATTGATCAGTAATTTTCAAAAATGTAATAAAACTTATTCTTTGTTTGAAAAAAATAAATTTTTGATACCTTGTTCTCCTCTTTAAATTAAGTAATGAACTACAATAGTAATTTATCGCAAAATTTGATAGTTCGCCTCCGAGTTAGAGTGAAAAGTTAGACTGCCTCTCTCATTCTCATTGCATTTTAACTGCATGTGATTATTAGGTCAAAAATATTAATTTTTTCGACCATTCTTTTCGTAAAATACTGAATGGATTTAGCTATGGCATTTTGTAGATAAGTCTAAATATGATAAGGAGGGCAGTGAGGTGCAAAATATTTATTAAAGTAACTATTATAAAATAATTAGAAGTTTCGAATCTCATTGCCCTTCCTTACTTCTTCACGAAATTTCCGCTCAATTCATTTAATATTTTACGAAAAAAATTATAATGCTGAAGTCCGCAACATTTTTATAAACGAAAATGAAAAAATATTTCGACGATATGTACCGTGGATGTCCCAGTTACCGTCCACCTAAGACCTAGTTTCCGTCCAGTTTAATTTTCAAAATAACATTTATAAAAAAATTATTTTCTTTTATTTGTTTACTTAAACTAATAAGTCGATTGTGTGACAAAAGGAATAAATTATTGTTAAAAAATAATTTAAATTACTATACGAGATATTTGTAAAATGGACAGAAACTGGGACATGGACAGTAACTGGTACATCCACGGTATTATACTTTGACTTAAAATTACCTCCATGAAATTGGCGTCGACGCTCAGCGCCAAAAATTGTTTTTCACTTGACCAAAAATTTCAAATTTTTTTTTAAAGATTTTCAATCCAAATAATGCCTTGAGAAATACTTTTCAAGGTATTATCTGGACCCAAAACTTTTTTAAAAATGATTTAATAATTTTGGTCCCGTGAAGAATAAATTTCGACGCTGAGCGTCGACGCCAATTTTATGGAGGTTTAAAATTAAAGTTATTCGGATAAGCCAAAAGTTTTGAACGTTCAAATGAACGAAATATTTTTTGCAACTGGTTTAAGTCAACAAATTTTATTACAAAATATTGTTTTAATTATCTAAAAAGATATTTGATTGAAAAAAATATATTTTGTTCATTTGAACGTTCAGAACTTTTGGCTCATTTATTCGGACGTAACTGGCTTTTATAAAAGTATTAATTTCTTGAAAGTTTGTGCAAATCAAAATTAGAGATAAATTAACTTCAAAAAATAATCCTATTTTAATTTTTCGTTTTTGAAAACGTTGTGTACTTCAGCCTCATAAAAAATTAACATTATGGATATAACAATCACATACCTACCTAAAATTAATAATTTTGGAAAATTAAAAAAAATTCTTTACAAAAAAAATATATATGAGACCGAGGGGGAATTTACTCAGGTAGTCAAGTGTACACTCTTCCTGTAATACTTGTGTAATAACGTGTAATACCGTGTAATAATGTGTTATTACAGTGCTGTAATAACGCAAAAAACTCTGTAATATCTATGTAATAATGTGTAATACTCTGTAATAACGTGTAATACTTAGTAATAAGGGTAAAATGAGGTGTAATACCGGTAGTCAAGTGTACACGTTTTTAACTAGTAAATTCCCCCTCGTATGAGACATTCATTCTCAACAGGGCCACCTCTGCTCTCCAGTTTTGTTTTCATCAAAAAATATTCTATCATAGGTAAAATTAAAACTATGAATGTCAGCTACTTAATGCCGAGTGGGAATTTAAAAAATTTGAATTGGTGGAATCAATATGGCCGACTAAAGCAAAGAATGTCCAAATCAAAAATATATTGCTTGTAAAAAAAACAAGAAAAACAAATTTAAAAAACTTGTTTAAGGCCTTAAACATTGTTTTGGATGAGTACCTTTCAAAATGGAAAGGTATTTTCAAAATTTAAAATGGTGGATCCACTATGGCGGACGAAAAAATTAAAAACTCTTTGAATTCGCCTAAATCTCGTTACTCAGGGGTTTTTGGGGTCGCTGAACACGAATTTTAGGTTACATTTTCAGAACTCAAAATGGAGGATTGAATATGGCGAATGGAAAAAATTAAAACTCTTGGATATCACTTTCATTTTTTGTATTTCCAGAAGAAACAGAATTTTAAAACTTTTGTGATAGATGCCATTTTAAAGTTAGGTTTGATCTATGTGAATTACTGTAGAAAATTTTTGACATAATTAAGGCCATCCGGGAAAAATCCCTAACCTAAAAGTGTTTTCCCGTGCGAGATATTACTCAATTCTAGCTAGTGGCCGCTGCTGAACTAACTTACCCCAAATTACTCCACTTTAAATCTTTAATAAAATAATTTCCTCACAATATTATTGCAAAAATGGAGAAGAGTGATGAACTCAGTGACCCTTCCTCTATTATTCCTCCAAATGCCAACTCGAAATACTTTATTCTTTAAAGATGAGAAGAAATTTACGAAACCCCTTTTTGACAATGTTTAAACATTTTTTTTAATAATTATTTATCAAGATTATGCAAAATTCCGAGAAGAGCCCCTGGCAGGGTACCTTCCTCTATTATTTCCAAAAAATTACAACCTAAAATATTCTATTTTTTCCAAATGAGAAGAAATCTACAAAACCATTATTTTCTCCCGGATTCCCTTAAATGGTAAATTACAGTAAAAAACCATGTTAATGACCTATTGTAAATTACGAAACGCATATCTGCTCGTAGCCGCAAATAATACTATTCATTAGGAAAAATGTGATTGTATCCTTCTTTATCATCTCTAAAAATTTTAACCCAAATTCTTTTTTCAGTTTAGAGAAAGTTTGGTTTTTTGAAAACATATTTTCCCATACTATGTCACGTGGAAGTTTCTGACCTTAACTGAAAATTTAAAAAAAAATTCCATTCTAGATATATAGCAGTTGTTCTATGAACCATGGCGCAATGTTTAAATATTCTTTTTAAAACTGTTTGAAATTGTTCGAAAGAAATTGACAAAATATAATAAAAATTATATAAGTTTCGCAATAAGTAAATAAAAATAAACTGTGTTAATAAAAACATATAATGTAACATCTACAGAAATATGTAAAATTTACATAATAATCGAATATTAATATTCTGGTTGAAGTAAGAAATGGCATTAAAACTGTGGAAATAATAGAATACACACGTGTATAAAGTGAGGTAAATTTTTTTAATTTTTATGAAACTATAATTCATATTTTAATTAAAATAAGCTTTAAAAAAATATTTGTACAATATTGAAGGCTATAAGTAAGACATAATACTATTATACAATTCGATTTAAAAATCAAAAAACCTAATAAATGACCCGTTCTCTTAACTTGAATCAGTGAAATTTCACTGGTGAAATAGTCAGAAGTCGGTCAAAAATCAGTCATCTATCACCGAGGGGGAATTTACTAGTTAAAAACGTGTACACTTGACTACCAGTAATACACCTCATATTACCCTTATTACTAAGTATTACACGTTATTACAGAGTATTACACATTATTACAAAGATATTACAGACTTTTTTGCGTTATTACAGTACCGTAATAACGCATTATTACACGGTATTGCACGATATTACACAAGTATTACAGGAAGAGTGTACACTTGACTACCTGAGTAAATTCCCCCTCGTCTATCACTGATTTTCAGTGAAAATTTTACTAAATGAATTAATAATCGGGTGTCGTCCATAAATTATGTAAGACTTTTTTCTGGTCATTTTAACCCCCCCCCCCTATGTAAGATTTTTTACATGCATTAGCGCCATTTTTCCTATTGGTCGTAAGAAAAACTTGACCCCCCCCTCCCCCCTAAAAGTCTTACGTAATTTATGGACGGCCCCACAGACTTGTACACTGAGAAAACGATGTTTAAAGTATAGTCAAAAGTTGGGAAAAATGGCTACATATGGGCATTTTTCTAATATCTAAAATTCTCTTGTATGTTTATTAAAATATATTTCTTAAAGTGTGTTCAAACAATAGTGTAAAGATTAAAACAAATGTTAGACCAAACTATAGAACACATTTGATCATAAATTGATTTACTTTTTGTACTTAGTATGTACTTTATGCTTTACCTTGGTACTTATTCGTCTGCGTGTGTCATAGTTCGTTCAAAAGTTGAGTGAAACGTAGGTCCCCACCACGCAACTTCTGCCTGGACTGAATGTTTTTTTTTTGCACCCGCAAAAATTTTTTGCTTAAACATTATTTACAAAACTTTTTAAAAATTTGTAACTAAGTTTACTAGTAGCATTTACTTTTAATAAAGCAGTTCAAAAAGATCAAAGTTTTTTTATTACGCACCTGAACCTATCACACTAAAAATAGGATTTCATAATAAGTCTTTTCATTTAAAGTTAAATATTTTATATATTTTATTATTATTAGTTTATTATTGTTTATTTGAATCTGAATTTATTATCTGTTATTCTATAAATTTCAATATAATTTATATTCTATTTAGATAAATATTACAATATAAAATAAATTACTATTTCTTCTGCTAAATAATTTTTAACTTTATTTTTATTCTGTTTTTTTAAATAGATTAATATTTTTTTATATTTTTTTTTATTTTAAGGGCATCCGGGAGAAAATAATGGTTTTGTAGATTTCTTCTCATTTGGAAAAAATAGAATATTTTAGGTTGTAATTTTTTGGAAATAATAGAGGAATGAGCCAAAAGTTCTGAACGTTCAAATGAACGAAATATTTTTTTTAATCTATAAATTATCAAAAATTATGATGTCAATGTAAAATAAAACAGTAAATTAAACAATTATTAAAATAATAATTTCTTTTTAGATATTTAAAACAAAATTTTGTTATAAAATTCGTACTTAAAGAAGTTGCAAAAAAATATTTCGTTCATTTGAACGTTCAAAACTTTTGGCTCATATAGAGGAAGGTACCCTGCCAGGGGCTCTTCTCGGAATTTTGTATAATTGTCAAAAAGGGGTTTCGTAAATTTCTTCTCATCTTTAAAGAATAAAGTATTTCGAGTTGGCATTTGGAGGAATAATAGAGGAAGGGTCACTGAGTTCATCACTCTTCTCCATTTTTGCAATAATATTGTGAGGAAATTATTTTATTAAAGATTTAAAGTGGAGTAATTTGGGGTAAGTTAGTTCAGCAGCGGCCACTAGCTAGAATTGGCGCCACCATTCAATGTCTGTCCCCACTTCTGTCAAAAATCCAACTTTTATAACCACGATTTTCAATACTTTTCAACAAAATTACTTGTAAAAATGGAGATGATTCTTAATCAGCTCGCCCTCATCTAATTAGTCCAACAAATCCGAACAAGATATTTCAAGTTATTTACGAGTAATATCTCGCAAGGGAAAACACTTTTAGGTTAGGGATTTTTCCCGGATGGCCTTAAATTAAAAACGTAAATGAAAATTTTAATTTCTAAACCATAATAAAGGTTGCTGAAATTTTATGAAGTTTATTTTAAAAATCCATCAATTTTATTTTCACCTACTAACATTTATTTTGAACTACAGTTGGTGACACTTTGTTCAAAAGCGCATGTGTAGCCATTTTACCCAACTTTTTGAGTAAACTTTATACAAAACATTTTCTCAGTGTAGTTATTTCACCAATGAAATTTAACTGATTCTGATGAAAACAACAAGGGACTAAAGGCAGCCATTATTTAAAATTAATTTTTGTGTCACTCGTTACGGTCTACTCTCTAAATTTGAATCAGCGAAAAGTATACAACTGATTCCAATTAGCGTATATACGCTACAAAATCAGTGAAATTTCACTAATTCAGCAGTGTATATACGCTGATTGGAATCAGTGGTATACTTATAGATGAGAATCAGCGAAATTTCGCTGGTTCAAATTTAACGAGTAGGGCAGTCGAGATCTTTATTCATGTACCACAAAAATCAAATTAAAATAATTGGTCTGCCTTTAGTTTTGTGTTACTTACGACACTTATTATTACAAAGACACAAACGTGCACATATAAATAATAAACATAAATAAATTTATTTGTCCACAGGTTTGACAAAACATCACAATTTAACAATCTCTATACCCGACTGCATTTACATGTCTATGAACACTCAATAAGATAATATTAAATTTTACATTATCAAAAATGGATAACATGCTTTACACAAATCCAATAGAAACAGTGCAATTCATATCAATATTTAGTTATTTCAGCGCACTCAGTGATTATTTATTTTTGGAAAATCATCTGGCAGAAGATGATCAAAATAAACAAATACCAGTTATCAATGCACTCTTTGAATATTTAGAGGTCAATCGTGATAATCAAACAATGAAACTCAGATTGGTTAGGAAACTATTAGAAGGTAGTGATCTATATGGAGAAAAAAACCATGAAAATTTGGATGAAACTTTTGTAAATGCAATGTTTGAATACATCATTACTTCCCTGGTATTTGACAAGTATGGAAATGTTTATGGTTTCTTAGCAGAAGTAGTTCGCAAAACTAAAAATTTACAATTAGATTCTTTGTACGAGGACATAAAGGCTAATCTCAGAAGTGCAAAATTTGAAAACGAGTATGGCAAGAGTTCGATTCTTTCTCGATTAGCAGCAAACAGAATATTTACAGATATAATATTACCGCTATTTCCACAGCCTGAAAGAAACCTGAATCTATTATCTCTTGACTACATTTACGCACAAGCTGGACTAATTTTCCTTCGAACTGGTAAATCAAATACTGCCTTTTATACTGATTTACAGAATATTAATAGTACTGTTTTTGATCATAAAAATTTATTTGAAGGATATATGGTAACAGGACATATACTTAGAAATGCACTTAATAATGAGAACATACGTTTCGTCAGTTATAAAGCTTTTGCTCTTCCAGCTCTTTTTTATTATGTTTCTACACAATACACTGGTAATGAAAGTATAAAAGATATTGTGTTCGATCCTAATTGTTGGAAAGTAGTTTATGATGGACTTTTTTCACATCTGGATGAAAATTTTAACAAAATAATGAAAACATTAAACAATGATACTAAGTACCAAATACATGTCGCATTATCAGAATTTAAGAGTTATTCGGCAATAGCTAAATCTATTTTAGAAAGTAATTGCCCACATATCAGTAAAGATGAAATAAAATCAAACATTCAAGAATATTTAACTTTTCCTGAACACTTTTATTGTGGGACTGATCACGTATTATCAAATTTAACTGAACAAGTTCATTACCGAATAAATAATATTAGTAAAACCTTTAAAATGCATGATTTAAAAATTGTACAGAAATCTTTCGGTAAATCATTGTTAAGAATTTTAAAATATGCTGATTTAGTTATACAATTACTAGCTCCGGATGATAAGGTAATACTTGGTAGATTTGGTATCAATACAAGAATACCATATGATTTGTTTGTGTTTTATTACCCTGAAAATGGCACAGCAGATTTTTATGCATTAATGCGTGGAGATTACACGGCGAAATTAATTAAAGAAAGTGATGATCCTATCGGTTTTCAACAAAAAACTGGCCTTAATGTTCAAATGTTATTAAGAAATCGATATCATAGAATAAATTTAAAATCAGTTGAGCAGACTATGGATGTATTTTGGAATAACTTTTTGAACTATAAACAAGAAAGGTTGGAATCATATCTTAAATTTGTTGGCACAGATGTATCACTAGGCGAATGGTGGAAAGAATTTGGTTTATCCTTAGTACCGTTTTATCCATGCATAACGAAACCACTAAATAAAGAAAACGACGAAGAAGTTTGTGTAACCAACAAAACTAATTTTTTGCATCAGTGGAATGAAGATAAAGTTAATAAATTATTGGCTTACTACGATACACGATCTTTATTAAATTCAGCAGGTACAACGTTTAAAACTGTACAAGTCTCTTTAACAGTTAACAAAGAATATAAAATTGCAGAAGAAAATAAAATTTTAAACGACGTTATGAAAAAACTTGTGTTACATATGGAAGAACCTGGATTTGATCTCACCGTCCTGGTTGAAGAGGATATATTATTAATACAAACAATTGTTAATACATTAGGACATAAAATTAATAGTTCCTATACGTCAGTTATAAATAATCTAAATAATATGAAAAAATTTAAAACAGATACGTTTAAATCAATTATTTCTTTTGAAAAAGTACGTAATCAATATTTATTCGTAAAAACTGAAAAAGTCAGAAGCGATACTGGTTATGGTTATAAATTTATTTATTCATCTGTTAATCAAACTGTACAATTACGAACTGATTATCAACTTAAAAAACAAATATTAGTTTCGCTGCTGAAAAAGTCATTACAAAATGAAAATATATATACTGAAATTAATATGGAAAGTCTTGAACCTGTTGAACCTAAACATCTCCTGTATGAAATTAATAACCAGCTTCAATCAAATGTGACTAAAGTTTGGTTTAAAGGTTTATTTGTACATAATTATAATACTCAGAGATGTGATATTAATAAATACCTAGAACATTCAATACCTTTAACGGATTGCCCAAGACATGCGCGTGCTCAGAAAAAAGAACGGAATCTGGATGAAGTTATAACATTCATCTTGAAAAAAAGAGCAAATCTTATAAAACAAGAAATATTGGAAACAATGGCAAAGTATACATTTCCAGATGAAGGCAGGATTGATTTCCAATTTGTAAAAAATTGGACAGATACAGCAGACTTTAAAGTACCTGAGTGGGGCAAATTTTATATAATAGATAATCCTGTTCTTCTATCTAAATTAAGGTACAAATTTCATCTTGACAGTAAAAATTTATCAAACTTCGATGGTACGTTGAGAATTGATTCAATTTACAGTTTCAAAGAAAGACAAAAAATTGAAAATGGTGTATCCATAGAAAGAATAATTCAAGATTTTAACGATCAGGACGCACGTTATGTTGCCACATTTGAAGATTACTATGCCATACAAAACTTTGCGACAAACGGATATAAAAGAATAACAGGTGACACGAGTGAGGCGAAACTAATGAAAACTGCATTATATAAATTAGCAATAAGACAATCAGACGATCCAAACGAAGAATTTGACCTTTCATTATTTAAAGTTGAATCGAAACCTATAGGTATTATTGACAAGACAGCATGTTCTGGACAGATTAATTTAAAGAAATTCACATATTTCTCTACAAGTAGAGAATCTGCCTTAAAATTGGCTACACTTCCAGCATACGGGTTTATAAATGTTTTGTATGAAATTAAATTTCTCACTCCTTACATAAGAGCAAAAATAATAGAATTACATTCAACTCCAGAATATAAAGTAATTCTTTTACCTGGAAGCGAATTTGATATTGAAAATTGTGAACAAAGAAACATTGAAGGATTAGGTAGTGTTCATGTTATTCGTCTCAATTATGTGCACCGCAATAATGATAAGTACAATTGGTATAAAAATATTATGAAAGAAATTTCTCTTATTGATTCTTAAAAAAAACTATAAATTTATTATTTGTACCAAACTAATTTATATATTAATCGCAATCTCTTTCTTTAGAAAGGATCTCTTATATTTAAGAGTTCAAATTCGATATATTTTACACTATGCAGAAAATGAATTTGATTCTGCTTTTCTACATTTTTAAATTGATGTAAAAGTGAATGTAATATACAATGTTCCATCAGTAATGTAAAAAATGGATTGTTTTGAAAAATACATTTGGTTTTTTTTGCATTAAGTTATTACTTGACTTCCCTAAAAAAATGTCCCTGAAGTTTTAAACCTCTTAATGGCATAGAACTTTCTAGAAATTTATAGAAGTTTTTACAATTATTTTTAGAATGTTTTCATTTAAAGTTCTATTTTTTTTAGTTATAAACTAAAAAATAATAAAAGCATTCTATTTTTAAAAAAAATTAATTTTTTTACATTATATTTTTATTTATTATTTTTTTTATGAATGTTATAATGTATTTGCTTTCAAAAGTGTACTATTTATTACAATAAACTGTAAAAAAAAACAAAAGATCACAAGTACCGTAAAACGGGGTTATTTCGCTCATTGCGGGTAAATTCGCCCACCCATTTTTATACTTTATTTCAGCTTTAAAATAAAGTTTAATACCTTTATTACCAGGTAAAAATGTTAAATTTGTTAATAGAAATACTAAATTTTAGTTTAAATCAAATTTAAAGGAAAAAAATGGGTGAGCGACTTTACCCACACTGAGCGAAATAACCCCGTTTTATGGTATTGCAACAGACCCTTTTTTATATTTTTAAAAACAATGAATTAAATACTATGTTTATAACAATATAGCAACTGAAATTGCAAAAAGCAAAAATCAATTTTTCTTCTCATGTAAATAAATAATACTTATAAATTATAAAAAAGACATATCTCAAATTACTATGTAAATACGAAAAGAAATGTTAAAATTTTAATTGCATACTTACTGAAATAACTATAAATTAAGCGCAAACATCAACTGCTTATTTTTACCCGAAATGACAATATCTGATATAGTTTAATAAAACAATTTCCACAATTACTCACTTGCTCAAAATTTAAAGGTTATGTTTATCTCCAATTTTTTTTAAATTACTTTGTATGGTATATGAATATTTTCTTGTATAACTTATCAATTTTTTCTGCATTCAATTTTGTAAGAAAAATTACAGAAAAAATCAAGGTTATGGATACAATAAAAACATGTTTCCTGGCTGCTATAGACGCTTATTCATCAACTTTCTTTTAAAAGTATTTAATCACTTTCAATTGCTTTAATAAATGAATTATACACTCGCGAACATTTACAATTATTTGGGAAAAATAAATTAAATTTCATTTATCTATGTGAAACGATAATAACAACACTTTGGAAAATGTTTGAAGTTTGTAGACAGCTGACATTGTAGCCAACTACAAGAAACTAAAAATTATATCTGACAACATTTTATTAAAAACTTTAAGCTATTGAATGCTTTGTATTTTAATACGTATATTTATGTATTGCAAAAAAATGGTAATATCTTTTGTGTCTCTCATATTTTTATGTTCATAAATGTATGTTTGTGAAAAGATGTTTGTATTCTCAAGTTTTACATTGATTATTGACAAGGTAGATGTCTTTTCTACCGATTCGTGTGCATGGATCGTGTCTCATGCATTTGTGTGTATCGTGCTTGTTTACTCATGTGTTTTATGTTTTTAATTTTGTTTTTATGTCAAAAAAAATTAATTAATCAATTTTAGAAATGTCTAATTCTCTCGTTCAAAAAAGTTTGGATATATTAAATTCCGAAAAAGTAGTTAAACAAGGTAAATTACCTTCAAGGTTAATTTAACAACATTTCACGTGAACTTAATATAAATATATATAACAAATATAAATAAATGATTTATCTATTATTAAAAATTATTATAACAAAAACAATGACAGTGTAATTAATTTTACTATCTTTTACAGGAAAAGTAAGAAGAGCAGATAAGGGAATATTGGATTTAATTCCAGTCAATCATAGATTAACCTCAAAACGGAGCAAGTCACGTACGTTTTTAATTTTATTATGTGTATAAATAAAAGTTATAAAATTGTTATGAATTCTAATTAAAATCAATGATTCATTGCATTGGGTATTTTTTTTAATCTTTATCCGTATTGTTATATTAGTTTGAATATTATAATATTTTTGAAATTTAGAAAAGCAAACTATTAATTATATATAAAAATTAAATTACAGGTAAAGATATATTAAAGAGGCCAAATAGAGTAACTGTTTACGAGGCTAAAAAACAATTAGAAGTGAAGTCAGATCCCACCGAAGAAAATATAAAAAAGCTTCTTTCTTTTGGCAAGACTACAATTGATTTCAAAACTGCAGATAAAGTATGTTTTTATCAATTTTAATAAACTGTTTATTAAATATTAATTTTACGTTGCCTTTTACGGATTAAATTAAAAAATATAATTAAAATTTTTTTAATATATGAAATATTAAAATCAAACAAAAAATCTTTTACTATTTTGTAATATTAATTTTAATAAATATTTATTACATAGCTACTTGAACGAGCATTGAGGAAGCGATATATCTCAAAAGAAGAAGTAAAAGAAACTGAAACCACTGTTTTCACTGAAGAAGACCGTAAAAAGTTTGAACTTGAATATTTCAACGAGGGATAAGAAAAAAATCTCATTGAATCGCAATAAATTATGTTAGATAGCGATCACGAAAAAGGAAAAGCTATTTTAATAGTTACTTCGGCTATTTTTTTATATTACACTATTTGGGTGATTGGATTACCACTTATTGATGATATTAGACTTAAATCTTTATTTTTTTCAAATAACACGGCTGTTATGATACCTGCAATTGGTGGATTTTGTTTAATTGGTGGATTAATGCTTTTCACTGCGTATCATATAAGGCCTTATCTCAATAATCGAAAAAATCAACGAAAAGAAGAATAAATATTGTGTTATATTCTTCCCTTCTGATATATATATTTTTTTAAATATTAAATTCGTAAAGATCGAGTTCTCCATCTTGTATATATGTGAGCGTAAGAAATTATCTAGACATATTATCACAACAGCCTTGAACTAAATATTTCTTTAAAACGATTGACCAGCGCTCTCTACTTTTTTTTTTTAATTAGATTATTCAGTATTCAATTTTGCATATATAAGTGATTTCTTTCTCTCTTTTACCGAATAATTAAAATGGAATGGTTAGTGATTGGAATATCCGGTGCTACATGTAGTGGAAAAACAACCATCGCTCAAAAACTTCATAAAGATTTGAAAAATTCTATTTTAATTCAACAGGATACTTACTTTCATGATGTTGACGATCCTCGACATATTTGGATAGAAGAATTGAATCACATAAACTTTGACATTATTTCCAGTTTGGATATGAAGAAAATGTATTCTGATATTCGAAAAATTCTCGATGAGAAACCACTTTTCAATAATGTTGTATCACCTAAAAATGAAAAAAAGATTTTAATTATCGAGGGATTTTTGATATTTGATTATAAACCAATATTAGATTTGTGCAATCTTAAATATTTTCTCACATTGGAAAAAGAAGAATGCTACAATCGTCGAAAATTACGTGTATATGAACCACCAGATGTACCGGGATATTTTGAAAAAGTTGTTTGGCCCGAATATGTGAATCATTTAAAAGTAATAATGAACAATAAGGAATTAATGAAATCCATAAAATTTTACGATGGATTTAGTCAGGAGGATGTAATTAAACATATATATAAGCATATATGTTAATAAGTAATTAGCCATAATTGAGTAATAAAAAAAAAATAAATAAATTGTAATTTCTCTTGACGCCATGTATTATTTATTTTTCATTTCTTGTACACTAAGTACAACAATTCAAAATATCCGATATATTTCCTGCATTGATATCATTTTAATATTTATTTCTATTTTTGTTACATTTTTAAACACAATTTCTTTATTTTTTAAATATATTTAATTCTTTCACTTTTTGTTAAATTTTAAAGAAGAATATAATTTTAATTAATATTACAATTATAATTAAGATTTTTCTCAATTAATTATTAGAAATAAAAATTGTGAAAAATAAGTATAATTTTATTCTTTTGACAATACAATACAATTATTTCTTGTCTAAATATGGCCATATTTACAAAGCACTATTGACATAATTGTGAAAAATAAATGATTTTACCAAATATAGAATACTTGCGATGAAATTTCAAATTTTCTTAGCACTTTTTTTAAATTGAAATTTATAATAGTATAAAACATTTTAATTAAAAATTATCACTTTGTTGATTTTTCTACATTTCAAAATGTCAATAACTCTTTTGAAGAAATAGGGAAAAAATTTAACAACTGGAGAATAATATTTAAGTTGTTACTCAATGAATTTTGTATTGTTCCTGAATCTTGTTTTAAAAATAAAAAAAAAAGTATTAAAATATTCAATTAAACAGTTTTTATATTTATAATGATGGAATTAAAAGAGTAATAAGAAAATCTATTAGTTCATCGCAAATACTTTATATTTAATAAGTTTTTAATTAATTTTTTTATTTCTGATTTCTAAGAGAAAAATCGTAAAACTAGGTTGTTTCAAAGGTGAACTTTGAAAACATGATTTATTTATTACTTTGTATCTTTAAATACTTAAGGTCAGGTAATTGTTGTGATTCCACATGTTAATATTCTCCGTAGGTTTTCTCGTGAAATACTTGATAGTTTGAGCTAAAATTTTATGGAGAACTCAGAAATGTACCAGAATTTTTTTTAGCGAATTTATTAAAATCGTATTGTTGTCATGAATTTTCTCAAATATGCAATATTTTAAGAATAAATTTTTGGACAAAATATTAATATACACTGGTAAATAACAGTGATTTCTTATATTCTATTTTTGTGTTCTTCACAAAATTTTAGGTCAATTATTATTTTGCGAAAAAACATACAGAGAATATTTATATGTGAAATCATATGACCCTAAAAAAAATAAAAGTACTAAATTTAGTCATTTTGAAGTTTGAACAAATATAAAAAAAATGTTATACTTTTAATAGAGTAATTTTCTGTTTTTATTTAAATATTTTATTAAAATTAATTGGTAAATAAATACTTTCTACTTGCTAAAAACGTGACACTTTTTTCATATCTTTCTTTCTCAAATGTAATCTAGAAAAATATGTTTTTTGCATATCATCATTTTTTTAAATTATAATCGGCAACGACTTTGGTTGAAATAAAATAGAATGACTCTGTGACTCTTGTATGAAAAAAATAAAAAATTTGTACTCCTTTCAAATTTTTTCATTATTATTAAATAATATATTATAAATAGTTTATTTATACTTATGTAATAAACGGCTTATCCCGTTTATAAATAAATAAATACAAATTAATTATACAATTTTTTAATAAGAATACCTAATTTTTAGACAAATTTTCATGCTTAAGTTTAATAAATTAAAAAAAAAATTATTTTTCCCTTGTAAACATTTTACAATTTTGATTTGATTAATTAATTTACGTGTAATAAAGTTTGCATTTATATGTTAGTGGATAGAAGGAACTGTTTAAAATTAAGTACCTATGGAAAATTAGGCAAACCTCTCTTATGCTTTCACAAATTTTATTTAAGTAATATTACAAAAATCGTATTAATTTATAGTAGATAAATTAATTAATTAGTGTAGATTTTCTTCGAATAAAAAGCATTTTATTTGCGACGATTTATTTTTCTTTTTGTTTGCTTTCATTTTTTTTTTTTTTTTTCTTTACTAAAAGTTGATAAATTGAGCCATTTTTTTCATAATTTTGGAAATTGTAAGAAATTACGAATTGTGTCGTCTCTGTAAAACATCCTTAAAACTAAGTTTCACAATTCTATAATATTAAAGGCTTGGTTCAGTACTGTTAATTTTTTTAGAACTTGAGAATATTCTCTCTATATTAAACATTAAATTTTATATAATGAAATGAATTGAAAAATATTTACAAACCATATATATTTATAGGTTGAATGCAAGTTGTAAACGTAATTTGATGAACAAAATAAAAACAAAAATTAAAAAAATAGATTGCAATGCAACAAATTCAATCAATGTTTTAAAAAAAAATTTTCTGAAAAATTTATGATTAATAAAATATGATGAATTTGAAATTACGGTTTTTAATATATAAAAAGTCATTGAAAATTAGGCTTTGTTGTTAAAGCATATTTTTTTGACACGACGATTTTCTTTGACTTTTTAAAAAGTAATGAAATCTATGTATTTACATAGAATAAGTATTATGTTTATGTTGACTTGGTGCTTTTGTAACATTTATCGGTGGAGCACAAGCAGCCTGATCATCCTGATCATTTTGTCCGCATGCTTTTCGAACATATTGAGGTGTTACTATCACTTCTTCTTCCATGGCAAGAACTTTTTTACCTAATTCTACACACGTTGCCATTTCCTTTTCTAATTTCGCTAACATTCTAGGTGAATTATACTTTTCAGGATCATCATGAAATATAACCATTCCATCTTTTTGGTTGATTGTTGCAAAAATGTCTCCGTCTTCAATCTAAGAAAATAAATATTTTAATTGAAAATATTGAAAAAATAGAAATTTATGAGAAAAAGAAGATTCTTACCATATTTAAAATATGTTGTTCAGCATCTGCAGGTCCAGCCAATTTAACTCTACTGGCAACATCACTTAAACTAAGCGTAAGAAATGTATTTGTGAGCCTTTGAATATTTTTCTTGTATAATGAACCAAGTACTTGTTTCACTAATCCAAGATTGTGATCTCTTGTAAAAAGATCTTCATATTTTGTGATAATTGCTTGAATTTCATCGCAATTATTAGTTGCATAGGCAGTGGCTAATTCCTGATAGGCTTGACTCAAACGTTTCATGAGTCGCGCTGCTGAATTTGTGAATTTTGGCAAAAATACAACTTTTCCATTTAATATTAATGAGACAAGTGTATATTTTTTGTATGCCTCGAGCATTATATGACTCACGGCCATTGCTGGCGTTGTTACGCAAACTTCAAAAAAATATAAAGCTCTCTCGTAATCTTTTAATGCCGTATATATCATACCACCATAATAGAAATAGAGTAAAAAATATTTTGTATATTCATCAGATGCTGAACTAATAGCAGTAATATCGACATCCAAAAATTCAAGAGCTGGTTTAAAGCATTTTGATACAAGGCATAGTTGACAAAGTTCCGCATGAATTGGTGTCAATTGGCTATTACTTGTTTGAATTTTACGTATTGCTCGACAAAAAATATCAATTCCACACATTGGTATTTGAAAATCTAGAAGGAGATTCTTCAGTATGTGAAAAAGCTTTGCATCTAAAATCAAATTAAGAAAAATTACATTATTTAAAATTAATTGAACGTGTGTTGTTTTTTTTTTGTTTCAATAACTAAATAATAAAATTAGAAATTACATGAAGATATTGCATATCGAATTTGTTCTTCATTACAGCCATCAATGAATTCTTGAATTTGAGTTAAGACAATTTTAAATGCATCTATGCTTGGCGATTCAGTTGTGCTTATGATAGTTAATTTTGTAATAATGACAATTAAAATTCCTAATGAATGTTGATTCACGCCAAAAGTTTCTAAAACAATATCTAAATGTCGTCCATTTCCAAGGAGAGAATGTACAAAGTTGTTAATTCGGCTCGCTATCTCTTGAAAATTTCCTTTAAAAAAATAGAGAGAAAACATATTTTATGCCATTCATATACAATTTATTCACAATTAATTTTACAATCAATTAATTTTGAAATTAAAAAAATTTTTTTATTTCATCTAAATTGTAAAAAATATAAATAATTATATTTATATTTAATTCAACTATTTACGTAATTATTCGAAGAAAAACATAAACTAAATTAATAAACAGAATATTAAATTTTCTTATAATAAATAACATTAAATAATAAAATTAGTAAAAAAATAATCAAACCATTAGAAATGAAAACTTGTTTAAAATTCATTTAACGTTTTTAAAAAATTCTTAATTGACAATTATCCTTAAATAATCTTTAGAATTTTTTTTATTTCTAATCACTTGAGAATTTAAATAAATTTTTTTAAAAAAAACATAAATTTGTAAAATATTCTTTATTTTTCCTCGAGTGATTTTATTTATTTTTAGGTTATGTTTTTCATATATTTAAAATTCACTATAAAAATGATTTCTTACCATCTGCCGAAAGTGTTCGAATGTCATGCACAAATTTTTCCAATCCAATTTCTCCTGACATTGTTACTGACACTTTTTTCTCATCACAAACAGCAATAACTTCGATTTTATTGAAGTTTTATTTCAGAATAATAATCCACACATAAAAGCCGACGATGCCCCTTTAATTAAGGTTAGCATTACTGCGCATGTCTTTTTAAACACTGCTGCCAACAGTGGCGCAAAAATTTAAATTTAACATTTATTAATTTAATTATTTATTAATTTAAAATTGCTTATAAAAAAACAATTAAGCATGTTACATAAAGAACTTTAATAAATTATTAAAATTATAATTACAAAATTACTTTGTTTTTAATATCGTAAGTTTTTAATAATAGGCATATTTTTAAAATATATAAATAAAAAATAGGATTTGTAAACTAATAACTATTGTTGTTATTATGGCATTATATAATTAGTCTATAATAGGTATATACTAGGCCTAGTATATATACTATATATATTATATAATATATAATAAAACTAATATATTATTAAAATATTTTCTTATTAACAATAATTATAATAAATTATCAAATTTTTCATAAAATATTAAAAATTGAATTTATCACTAATTATAAAATATTATTTAATTTAAAATAATGAAAATAATAATAATAATATTAAAATTTAAAAAAACTTTATTGAACCAGCGGAACTGTTATAGAGAGCGTCTTTTTTTGTCTCCTAGTAACGAGACCAAACGAGTTCTATACAATAAAAGTTATATTTCTACTTTCAATTAATTTCATCAATCAAAAAAAAATACATATTTTTTATTTTCAATGTCTAATGAAACTTACGATTATATTTGGAAAGAAGCTCAACTTTTGCTTGATGATGTTTTACAATTTGACACAAATACACAAAGTGCAAAACCACCGAAAGATCGTAAAAAAGCACACAATGTTACATCTGAATTGTATGTTAGATACATTGTTGTCTGTAATAAATTAGAACTTTGTTATGATCAATTAGTGCAACCACAAAAGAGGAATTTAATTAAAAAATTATTGGATTTAACAATGGGAAGAATTTTAGAATTAAAACATGAACTTGTCGAAATTGATCTATCGGAGCATAATTATTTTGATGATATTTTAATAAAATGTCAAGTGACATCGAATGAGGTGGAAATTCAAGTGCCAAAATATTTTCGAAGAGAAAGAGAAAATGAAATTCAAGAGAGACGAAAATTTATAGAAGATACATTGAGAAATATTGGCACTCTTGATGAAATAATTGATCCAAAAAGAATGACAGAGGCTGAAGCTATACGACTAATACAAGTGAGTTTTTCGAATTACTTTTTATATTTATTTTTATTATTAAAAATATATGATTTTTTAAACTTTTTTTTTTTTAAATATAGTCACATGAACGAGCGAGACAGGGGCGATTGAGATTTCAATTTATGAAAGAAATTCGAGAAATGAAAGATAGATCAACATTGAAACAAGAAACTGGAGTATCTAAAGAGGAAAGTGACGTGGCTGCAGCTTTGAGGATTCAAAAAATTTGGAGGGGTTACACAACCAGAAGACAAATACGAAAGCGAAGAATTGAAGAAATGTTGCTTTTGGGTTTGCATATTTTTTTTTTTACTATAATTATGTATATGTTTTTGAATCAATAATTTTTATAATTTTTACTACGTGTCTAAAATTCTGAAAGTTTAAATGAACGAAAAATTTCTTTACTAATGCTTTTTTAACTTTAATTTTTAAAATTTTTTTCTTTTTATTTTTCATTTTTGTAGTAATTTTCAAAAAAAAAAAATTTATAGACCAAAAAAATTATTTCGTTCATTTAAATTTTCAAAACTTAAGGCAATAACTTTAGGCTTCCTCAATAATAAGACAAAATAGAAAAAAAAAATAATACCAAAAAAATAAATAATTTTTTTTTTACGTTTCTAAAATAGGGTTAGTTGGGGTAAATGGGGACAAGAGGTTTTGGAGCTTAATATACAGTTTTAAAATTAAGTTCAACGTCAATATTTTAACCTCAGATCACCTGCTAGAGGTTTTGAGTATTGCCAAGCTTTTATCTTGACAATTGGCAGCAAGATAAAAAAAAGTTATCGCTCAATGCATAAAAACTTGAAAATCAAAGTCAAACTGTTTCAGTATTTTGTCTCGCATTTCAAAGAAAACAGACTTAAAAAATCATACCAAATTTTTTTCTTATTCTTTATGACTCCCATAACAGAAATTCACTTGAATTTTAGATTTTTGTCAATTTGGTTAATAATGGCAAGCTGTCCCCATTTACCCTGAGTTTTCAAATTTTTGGGGTAAATGGGGACAGCTTGTCATTATTAACCAAATTAACAAAAATCAAAAATTCAAGTGAATTTCTGTTATGGGAGTCATAAGGAATAAGAAAAAAATTTGGTATGATTTTTAAGTCTGTTTTCTTTGAAATTCTCGACAAAATACTGAAATAATAAAAAATAAAAAAATAAAAAAAATTCAATTGGTTCAACTATTATATATCTACTACAAATTTTTTTTCAAGTTTTTTTCATCCCTAAATACAGAAATATACTTAAGGAAACTTTTTTCTTACAACTTTCTTAGAAACTATGCTGTCCCCATTTACCCCAAATTTTATGAAATTTTCTAAATTTTAGGGTAAATGGGGACAGTCAGTTTCATGCGTTTAAAGCTTATCTATAAATTTTTTTCTGCTGCATAAAATTAATCATGGGAATGTAAATAACAACTTAAAAAAAATAAACCCGCAAATATTACCTTTAAAAGGAAGAAACTTACGTAAATTGTGAAAAATAGCGATTTTGTTCCCATTTACCCCAACTGACCATAATAATTATTATTATTATTTCAATTAATAACAAATAAATAGGAATGGTGCAACCTAGTCAAGAAATAACGGACAACGCCAGACAAGCCGAAAAAATTGTACAATACAGGTAATATTTAAAAATGGTTCTATTAATTATTCTCAGATAATTATTCGATAAGTAAATATATAATTAGTTATTCAATTATATATTTCTACCAAAGTTGTTGCTGACCATTAAAAAAAAATTTATGAAAATTTATAGAAATTATGCAATAATAAAAAAAATGTTATTAAAATTTTGAATTATTCGTTGTGAAATATAAATTTTTAAATTATAAATAAAATACAAAAAACTTATATTTTTTTAGCCAGGGGAAAATATTTATAAAAACATTGAAAATTGAAGTTTGAAGTATTTATACAAGAATTATTGATATTTAACAAACGCTGAAGTTCATAATGTTTATGATCAACAAATTTTAAAGAAATATTTTTTTGAATAAAATTTTTTTTATAAATTTTTGTCTGTAAAATATTTTTTACAATGTGTATTGATCAACAAATAATAAAAAAAACATTTTTTGATAATTTTCTGCTTTGAAAAAATAATTTCTTTTTTTCTAATCATTAATTATAAATGTTTTAGACTTTACCGTCGTGATATTTAACAATAATTAAAATTAATATATTTAATTGATTTAAATATTGAAAGAAACAAATATTCACAAAAATACTTAATCAAGTATAACCGATTATTTGAATCAAATAAATTTTTTTTCAGTGCATAAAATAATAATAAACTGACAATAATTTCCAAATAATTAAATTTAAAAAATTTCAAAACGAAATGACAAGAATTGTCGTGGATCAGTTAAATTAATTATAACTATCGTCATATCCTCTCTCGCTAACGCTCACTCGGTTGAAATTGTACTCATTATTGTTTACTTGTTTCAGTTCATTCATATGTATTTATTCTATTTTTTAAATTAATATTATAATAAATTTATTATTATCTTTAAGTTTTATATTTTTAAGAAATCTTTAATACTTTTCATAAATAAATAATTTATTTTTATGAATATAATGATTTATGTTTTGTTCTACATTAGTTTATTTTATGTCTATAAAACTGTTGAAATATAACAAATTTAAAAAATGTTATTTCCTAAAACCCATTTTGGATTTTTAGAAATAACTATCATATTCGTAATCCTGAAAATATTATTTCCTGAAAGTCATTTTGAACTTTCAGAAACAAATATCATAAATTTTAATCAAAACTCTTTTTATGGGTAATTCATGAATTATTTACCAATATTGGCTAATTTCACATAGTTTAATTTAATTTTATTATATATAAAGTAATTCATGTGTCTTGTTTATTAAAAAAAAATATTGTAATTAATAATATAATAGATTTTTGAAAAACATAATTCATTATTTTGTTTAAATTTTAGATTTTTAATAATATTTTGTAATACTTTTTACAAATATTTAAAAAATTATTTTATATAACATTTTATTTTTGAAATCAAGTACAAAGAATAAATATATTGCAAAAGTTTACAATGTAACACTAATATTTAATAACTTATGTCACTAACTTATCAAAAAGATTTACTTTTTCTGTAAACTGCGTTATAAAGAACATGTTTACGCTCAGACTCAACTACTGTTTCGATACAAAAAACATGCAAGTTACACTACCGTCCGAAATTGTGCGAACTCTGCTTTTTCAACAACTATAAAACTGTTCAAATCTTCAAAAATATTAAAACTAAAATTTTTTCCTCTTTATTTTATTAAAGCTAATAAAATTCTGAAAGAAATGACACCTTGACAAAGAGAATATGTTAATTTTTCAATTAGATATCTAAGAAAAACCCAATTTTCAATGTTTTTACTATTTTTTTTATTTCTCTGGCAAAAATTAATATTTTTAAACGTTCTTAGGCTCATTGAAATCGTATTTTGTTATGCAATACAAATTATATAAAACAATTCATGTACACATTCTTCCCTAGCGTATGCCAACCGTGAAAGTTGGCTCATAAAATGTCAAAAAATTGTGATTAATATTTATATGACAAAAAATGATCAGTAAAATGTATAAATCTTAAATGTACTTACATAAATCAGAGAAGTTTATAATGATATATTTACTTGATTTTTAAACATTATTCTTGGCCCAGTGACGTCACGAAGACGACAAAACAAACATTTTAATGTAATAGAAGATTTGTGAAAAATTTTAAAATAACGATAACTTTTAAAAAAATAAATATTTTTGGATGGGATTTGGAATTGGGGTGCATTTTACATGTGAATTACTGAAAAATAACAAAAAGTTGCAATATTTGCAAAAAAATATTTTTTGCAAAAAGTTGCAAAAAAAAAATTGATATTTTTTTCTAATTCATATGTTTAATTTATGTTTAAATTTTAATTTTGAATCACATCTATACAAAAATTGTTGAAAAAGAATGTGAAAAACGAAAATTCTTGGCCCAGTGACGTCACGAAGACGACAAAACAAACATTTTAATATAATAGAAGATTATAACCAATCGGTAATATAGAAAGCTTTAAAAAATTTCATTTTCAAATTTGACAAAAATAAGTTTGGCATCGAGATTAGACCTAAAGTAATCGAATAACACATTTTTTGTGATAAAATTTTTCCAATAAATTAAAATATTTACCTTAATAACGAATTTTCAGCTTCAAGAAGATTCTTTAAAACTAAATAGCCCTCGGAGATCCCTACTTTCAAGTTAAATTTCCATTCAGAAAATGTGAAAAATAACCGTAAAAATAGACCGAGTTCTAAAAAGTCTGAATATGAAGAATTCTGTGTCCTTCAAGATACTCGTTTTTACTTTTGCCCTTATCTTTGAAGTACGTGACACCACAAGCCATCGAGGATAGAATCTGCAAAAAAAAAAAAGAAAAATTAAAATACTGTCAGCGCTTTACTAACATGTATAGTTAAATTTTTAACCGATCGGTAATATAGAAAGCTATAAAAAAAATTTCATTTCCAAATTTGACAAAAATAAGTGTGGCATCGAGACTAAACCTAAAGTAATCGAATAACACAAAAATCTTGAAAATTTACGTTGTGTCAAAAAAATTATTGTCTGAACCAGAAACCAAACTTATTTTATTTCTCTTGAAAATTTTTTATCTTACTTTAATTTTGTTAATACGGTCAGCCGGGATAAATCTGAACGCTTTTAGTGAGTTTCAACAATAACGTAAGTTTTTTCTTTTAAAAGACAATACTTCCGGTATTCTGGTGCATGAAGTTGTTACTTTACTTCCATAGAACAATTTTATGGGGTAGCAAAAATTTTTGATAAATTACAATCGCAGGAAACTTAGCGTTCGTATTTACCTCGATACTTTGCAACTTTCCTAAAATACCGGGGTAAATACAAACGCCACTGTATTTCAGAAAAATCTTAGGGAAAATAAATTTAAAGTATTGCAATTGTTAATCTTATATAAAAACTCAAAAAAAAGTACAATAATAAACCTATAATGCAATAATGCATCATATATAAATACAAAAATCAAACAGGTTAAAAATTAAAATGCATTACACAATTAAAACCTTCAATAACTTTATCAAATCATAACGGATTTTTGCAAAACTTGCTACAGAAAGTATTTTGGAGTGATTGAATGTAAATACAAAAATAAAAGTCAAATTTTTTAAATTCAAAATGGCGGACTTTCCTAAAACTTATTTTTAAAAATGATCAAATTTGCTAACTCCAAATTCTTAATCAGCGACCCTGAAACCCCCCGAGTAACAATTTTCGAGCGAATCCAATAAATTTTTTAATTCTCGTCCGCCATATTGGATCCGCCATTTTGAATTTTGAAAAACTGACTTCAAATTGGTAATCAGCAACCCCAAAAACCTTAGAATACCAAATTTTATTAAGATCCTGAAAAACTTTTTTCAACAAACCATTTGGCAAAAAAAGTGGAACACTCCTTCGAGAGAACAGAGATTAAGTTTCTGCTTATTAATTACTAACGAGGATATACATATAGAAAGAAAAACTTTTTTCCATGTACTTTTATAATGTTAAAATAATAGTGTAATCAAATAAAAACAATTTTGTGTGGCTCAGATATAAGAAAAAATTATTGAAAATACCGTTCGAATTTACCCCGGTTTTCCAATTTTGTGGGGTAAATACGAACGGTCTGATATTATTAATAAAATTTTACAGAAGGCAAAAATCAAACATAGTTTCTGTTCTAGTATTCATAACAAACAATTATAAATAATAAAATAAATTTTTAGCTTCTTTTTCTTCAAATACGAGACAAAATACTGAAAGAGTGTCATCTTTGATTTTCAATCTTTTTTGCAATACTCGTTATCTTTGTTTATGCTGTTGCTAATTAACAAACGAAAAATGGGATAATACTTAGAATCTCTTGAAGAGGATCTGAGGTAAAAATTCTCATATCGAACTTATTTTTAAAAATTTTAATTAAGCTGAAATAATTAGCGTTCGGATTTACCCCGGCTGACCCTATATATTTTTTTATATTTTCATGTTTATTATTTTTTGACTTTCTTATGTTTAAATAAAGAATATTTTGCTAATATAATGTGTATCATAATTTTTTAAAATTTATTGGCAAAGACTTTGAAATATAATCGAAATTATTTATTTATGGCATAGATATGAAAGACAATACGAATATAAAGAACAATTCGAAATACTTACAAAAGAATGGAAAGAAGCAATACAAAAAGAAAAGAGTGCTCTTATGGAAGAAAATATCCGACAAGAAATTCGAAATTGGGTTAATTCCTATTTTCAACAAACTGGTAAAATTCCTGAACTTCCATCAGCTGAGAGTGGAGGTTCGAGGATGATTTTTAGTAGACAGGTATATTATATAGATTCCAAAATTTTTTGTTAAAAAGACAATGATGAATTTTTTGTGTTTTTGATAAATATTTATTAAATTATTATTCAATAAATATTTACATAATAATAATTAATTATAAATTTTTAGGGAACCGAGAGCACAATAAGTAAATCCACAGCCGGCTCTTCAAAAGAATCAAAAAGATCAAAAAAATCGAAAACAAAAAAAGAAACTGAACCTGATCGATCTGAAGATGAATCGGAATCAGGCATAAGGCATTTCCCATCGAATTTTCTGCCCCAACTTGTTCAGACTAATGAGATTTACCTGGAAACTTGGAAAGATAAAGACGAGTCTATGAATCAAGCTCAAGGGCCATATATTGATATGATACAGACTGAAAAAACAAGAGAGGTCGAAGATGAAGTGAGACTTGTTGTTGACCATACTCTTAGAGGTAAAAAATATAATATTATAATTTTTTAATGTTAATTAAAAATTATTATTTAAATGACATTTTAATGTTTAAAAAAAATTGAATCAATTTTTCTCGCAGGTGATATTGAAGCATTACAAGCAGCATTGGATAGAGATAGAGGTTTTAAGGGAAGACGATCAAAAAAGACACAAAAACGAATTCGACGTAGTGGAAAGAAAAATAAAAAAAAGAAAGAAAAAGATCTCACTCCCGATAGAACACTAGAATCACTTTTTGAAGAATTATTAGTTAATGGAATTATTAAATTTTATCCAGAAGTAAAACTTGCTAATTTTAAAGGAGAAAAATCTTTTTCTAATCATGAACTTCGTGATAAAGATAAGGATCCTTTACCAACTTTAGGTTATTTTCAATTAATTAATTTAAATAATTTTTTTAAAGTTATACAACGTACCTAAAATTATTTTTCTTATAAATTATTTTTAAAATTAAAATTAAAATTAAAATTATTATTATTATTATTATTATTATTATATAATAATAAAATGCTTGGTCTGTCTTTTTGTCCTAATTTGAAGTTGGTCTTTACTGATTTCACGTATTTTTTGAATTGTAATGTTATGACGTGTCAAATTTGTGTCAAATTTTAACAATTCTTTTTCTCATTTTTGCTAAAGTTGTAAAATTGTGTTTTCAAATTTCGGAAGTAGTTTCTTTAAAATTCCTAATTCAAATTCAAAAATTCAATTCACGAAGCTGATGTACACAACGTTTATCAACGAAATTTTTTTTAAAGTTTTATATTGAGCCTAAATTACATATATTTATTGTAGGCGAAATATTTAAAGCATTTTTCAGATAAATATTCCTCCTATGTTAAATATGAACCACCGGATAATATAACGACACATAAAATTTCTACAGCGGTATTCGTACGAAGCTGAAGTGCGCAACATTTATATAAACGATTTTTAAAGAAATAATTTTTTAAAATGAAAAATTCTATAATTTTTTTCCTAAAAAATATTTTTTTATAATTTGTCAATTAATGAAAAGTACAAGAAATAGTTTTTAGGCAAAAAATTATAGAATTTTTTTATTTTAAAAAATTATTTCTTTAAAAATCGTTTATATAAACGTTGCGTACTTCAGCTTCGTGTAGTCGTTGGCCCCTGGCACTTTAAAGATCAAGTTTTAAAAATAAATTTTTTCAAATTACTATCTTGTAGGAAATTTCCTGGCGCATCTTTTTTCTCATTATAAATTTTTTTGTATTTGTAACAGTTTTTGAGAAAAAAGCAAAAACCTAAATTTTAAATAAAAACACTTTTAATTAAAATTTTTACTCTAATTCCTTTTAAAATGAAAAGTTCTAAATATTTTTGCATACAATTTACAGGTGTTAATTTAAACTATCCTTTAAATGATCCTTAATAATAATTCTTGATTTTTTAATTAGAAAAAAAATTATTAATTTTGTTGTTATTCAGTGTTGGAATAGGGCTTTATATTTTTCAAACACTTCGTTTTTGTAGGGAATTTTCCTTGAAGACAAATTTCCTCTGAATAAAATGTTTATTAATACACAATAAAAAATTTCTGTAAAGTTTTACTTTAATAAAAATTTTTTTATTATCAATAAACATTTTATTCAGAGGAAGTTTATCCTCAGAGAAATTCCCTAGATAAACGAAGCTTTTGAAAAATATAGAGCCTTGTAGCACTGAGCAACAAAAAAATAAATAATTTTTTTAAAATTAAAAATGAATTATTATTAAGGATCACTCAAAGGATAGTTTAAACTATAAATCCTGTAAATTGTATGTAAAAATATTCAGAACTTTACATTTTATAACGAATTAAAATGAAAATTTTAATTAAAAGTGATTTTAAGTAAAATTTAGTTTTTTTGCCTTTTTCTCAAAAACTGTTACAAACACAAAAAAAATTTATGAAAAGAAAAAAGATGCGCCAGAAAATTTCGTACAAGATAGTAATTTAAAAAAATTTATTTTTAAAAATTGATTTTTAAGGTGCCAGGAGCCAACGAATACCGCTGTAGAAATTTTATGTGTCATTATAATATAAGGCGGCTCATATACCTATATGTAATTTAGACGTAATATTTAACTTTTTTAAAAAAATGTTTTTGTTGATAAACGCTGCGTACTTCATCTTCGTTTCAATTCTATTAAATATTAATTATATCAACATATATAATTTTCATTATTATCATTTAATATGTAATAATATTCTAATAAATTTAAATTATTATTGATAATATTAATTTTAATTTCATTAAAACAAACAATTGCATACCCAATTTGGCGTTTAATTTTGCTAATTAAAATATAATTTGCATGAATTACAGGAGATATAAGACAATTGATAATAGAATATTGCATTTTACCACTTGGAAATGAAATTGTAAGGGAACATACACCATTAGTGAGATCGGTTTTAATAGCAGGTCCTCATGGAAGTGGTAAAAAAATGATAGTTAATGCAATTTGTACTGAATTGGGAGCTACTTTGTTCGATATAACACCAGCTAATATTGCTGGTAAATATCCAGGAAAAACAGGCCTAATTATGTTGTTACACTTGCTATCCAAGGAAAGTGTTCAATATATTCAATTTTTATAAAAAAAAATTAAATTTCAATCAAATTTCATTTAATCACATAAAATCATAAATTTACTAAAAATATCTATTATTAAATATACCAAATAATAAATAATTATTATTATTTTATTTATTATTTAAATAAATATTAATTTATTTCAATGGCATCTGATTTAAATCAACTTATATCAAATTGTGTGATTAGAATTATAATATTTTATTTTTAGGTTTCAAAATTACTTCAACCATCCGTTATTTTTATGGATGGGGCGGAGAAGCCTTTTGTCAAAAAAGTACCAAAATCAGATAAAACTGATCCAAAAAGATTAAAAAAAGATTTATCGAAATTAGTGAAAAATATAACTAATGAAGATCGGGTAATACTAATTGGGACTTCCAGTTCACCATGGGAAGGAGATCAAAAACTCTTGTATCAAACATATGATAAAGTTATTTTTTTTCCTAGACCTGATTATGGTTCAATGTCATTAATTTGGAAGGAGCTTCTTTACAAAGTAAGCTAAGCATTAATAAATTTATTGTAATTAGTTTTTTCTTTTTTTTTCTTTTCATTAACATATTATATTATTTTAGTACGCTGGAATCAGTAGACAATTTGATACTTCAGGAATGGCAAAAGTTTGTGATGGTTTTACAATTGGAACCGTGCTTTCATCAATAAATGAGGTAAGATTAATTTCTAAAAAATATTAAATTACCAATATTATTGATATAATTAATACTAATTAATAATAATAAAAATATTTAATAAACGAAGAAAGATTAATTTTTAATAAAATAAATAATTTTCTTTTAATCATATATAGGTAATGACTACAAAGCGAATGGTACAGCTAAGAGTACATCCTTTAACTCATGGTGAACTAGTGAATTCCCTCAGTTCAAGAGATCCAGTTTATAAAGAAGAAGAAGAAGCTTTTCTGAGTATATATATAATTTATTAAATTAATAAGTTAATTAATTACTTAATTCGTTTTTAAATGAAAAATCAATGAAAAGCAAATTCAGTAAATTAAAATTTAATACCATGAAAATTCTATTAAATGCAAATTTGTTAAAATAAAAATTTGTAAAAAATTTTTTATCAAACATAACAATTTGGTTTAATGAAAAATCAAACTAAAGCTTTGATTAAATTAAAATTTTCTAAAATAATAATTCGGTTTAATGAAAATTGAATTCAAATTTAACATAAAAAGAATTTTTGAAGAAGCAAATTTATTTAAAAATAAAAAAAAAACTCTTCGAAATCAGAAATATAATTTTCTTTTAAATTAAAAATAAAAAATTAAATAGGTATTCAATTTTTAACGACAAATTTTTCAACAATCAGAATTAAAAAAAACAACAAAACTTGTTCGGGAGGTCTAAAAAAATAACTTTATATTAAAAATTCAAAATGTCAAAAATGAATCGACACTTTCTTGGTGTAGATAATATTTTTCAACCCATTTTTTTTTTAATGACCAAATTTTAAAATTGAAAATAATTTTGTCCAAAATTAAAATTTTAATTTTTTTTTTAATGACCAAATTTTAAAATCGAAAACAATTTTGTTCAAAATTTTAATTTAACAACTGAAAAATGTTGAAATAAGTATATATACTTAAGAAATTTTCAAAATTATTAAAATCGGTTACAAATAATAATTATTGTTAACACAATTTTGAATTGAACTAAAATGAATGAAATACTCAACGTTTATGATCAACGATTAGAAATCAATTTTTATTTATAATACGAAAAATTATAAAATTGTTTAACTAAAAAAATATTTTTTTTATAATTTATTGATTAATAAAAACTACAAGAAATATTTTTTAAGCAAAAAATAATAGAATTTTTCATTTAAAAAAATTTTTTTTTTTAAATCATTTATCATAAACGTTGCATATTTCAGCTTCGTAAAAAAATCGTTGAATATACAACTTGATAATTTGTGATCACTGAAATATATTATAGATATACTTAAATGTAAAATGAATGTATTAATGAAAATTATTTATATTTGCAGCATGGTTTTCAAAAACGCCAACGTGTAAAAAAAGACAACGTATGATTGAACTTGAACTTGAAAAATTAGAAGAAGCAAATGAGAAAAAAAGAAAAGGAAAAAAGAAATAAGTCAGTTATATTGGAAAGAAGATATATATCATGAAACGAGTGCATTGAACATATTAATTCTATTGTTCATTAAGAAATGCAAAACAAATTGTAATTTATGTAAATTCTAATACAATTCAGTGTCAAATTTGAATTTTATACTAGATACACTATGGAAAAAAAATTTATTTCATTCAAGGAATCACTTACTTGACTATTATAATAAATAAATATTTATTTGACGTCACGATAAAATTCACAACGTTTATGATCAACAATTTAGAAGAAAAAATATGTTTTTATGCAAATTATTATAATAAAAGCCAAAAGTTTTGAACGTTCAAATGAACGAAATATTGTTTTCAATCTATAAATTATTAAAAATTATGATGTCATTGTAAAATAAAACAGTAAATTAAACAATTATTAAATTAAATAACTTCTTTTTAGATTTTTAAAAGAATATTTTGTAAGAAAATATTGTTCATTGTTCAACGTTCATTTGAACGTTCAAAACTTTTGGCTCATATTGATTAATAATAAAATTTTAAAAGAAAAAGTAGTATAGACCAAAAATGTTATTATTTCTGTGAACATTTAAATAAATTAAAGTAGTATTTATTTTAAATACAGAAATTATTTGTTCAAATAATTTTTAGTCTGATAATTGTCAAGTAACCGATTATAAATTTTTTTCAGTTATGATTGATTATTATTTTTATAAATATACGGAAAATTTTATTTCAAAAGAACAAAGCAACGAAAGATTATTAATAATTGGATAATATATAGACGTCTAGACTAATTAAGAATTTATCAGAACCTGAAATAATCTTATTTAATATGAGCCAAAAGTTTTGAACGTTCAAATGAACAAAATTTTTTTTGTAACTTCTTTAAGTACGAATTTTATTAAAAAATATTGTTTTAAATATATATAAAAAAAAGTTATTAATTTAATATTTGTTTAATTTACTGCTTTATTTTACATTGACATTATACTTTCTAATAACTTATAGATTGAAAAAAAAAATTTTATTAATTTGAACGTTTTGGTTCATTATTTAATTTACAGAACAGTTTAAAGTCATTATAACAATTTTGTTTTTCATTTTATTAACTTTTAAACTTATTAAATTAAAAAAACAAATTTTTTTTTGAAAAATCTAAATTGAATTATATATAATTAAAGAAAAATTAACTTTTAATTCTCATAACTATATTTATAATTAATATAAAAAATATATAATTATAATATTATAAATAAGTTTAGTATTAATTTTATTTAAATATATGTAAAACAAATTATTATTAATTATGTAATAATTACATATGTTTTACATATGAACTTGTAATTAGCATGTCAAATAACTTTTACAAAAATTTATGTACGTACAACATATATAGATATAAAATAAAAAATCGTCTTATATTGCACTCTGATTTGCGTAAATTATTTACGTAAGAAACTCGACAAATGTAGATAAATTATTAAATTTAAAATATGTTATAGAAATATTGTTAAGTTTGCAAAATATAAGAAATTTTTATAAAAATTTAATCTAAAGATAATCTACTTTTTCTTGAAAAAAAAATTAAAAAAAAAAAAAAAATTAAAAATAGTGGATAAACGTACATTGATAAAATTGAAATGAATATAGACAATGTTTCCTCCGTTTCTAGTCGTATAGATCATTTAACAAACGTCAATCATTTTTATCTATTGTTTGAAATATATATATATAAATGTACAAAAAAAATTTTTTTATCCTCAAGCAAAAAAGAATAATTGCTTTTTCGGATATCATGATATACACATTAAAAAGTAATTTTATTTACATTGAATAAGCTTTACAAATTAAATTCTTTGAAAAAACTTTACTTTTAAATAGATATTTATGTAAATTTAGAGCCTCCCTCACATATGTTATAAGAAACAATTTTTACTATATCTATTTAATTTCTGTTTATTTATAGAAATTTGGTGAAACATCCTATTTTGTAATATTTTTCTAAAAAAAAAAAAAAAAAAGAGAGAGATTTCCACTATTTACACAATTGCAGAATTATCATTATATTAAAATTAAACATTTTATATGAACCTACTTGAGACCTTTGCTACACTTCGAAAAAAAATATAATCATATATTGATAACATCCAGGTTCTAGAAACAACTTTAGAAAAAAATTTTTTTTTAATTTTTTAATCGTAGCATAAAGAAGAGTTTAAATTAAACGTTTTTTTAAGAGAATAATTCAAAACAAAATTGACAAAAAGTGTTGAAAATTATTTTAATAATACTCTTGATATATAATTATACTGTAATTAAATTTAAAAGTCAGTTATTAATAATATTTTCATAATAATTCCAACATTTACCTAATGAAAAATAATGAAGTATATATGCAAACACAAAATGCATATATTACATATTTATTTAAATAAAAAGTAATTTCAATTTTTAAAAGCTTATTAATTATTATAATGATAGTTATTATTACCTCGTAAACACCTGTCAGTTACAAAAAAAATGTAAGTGCAAAACAACATATAATAAAAAGTCAAAGATAAAACCAAAAAAGTGAGGTTAGGAATCTAAAGATTTTTCATATTCCAAATTCTAATACAAACGATGGACGTCAGAAATGATAAAAATAATAACAAAAATTCTATCATCTTTTGATTGTAAAAAGTAACACATCTAAACAGATTTTAAAAACATTTTAAAATGAAAGATACAACATTGAAAAACAGCAACGCGACATAATGCTGAATTACATTCTAACAAAATAATGTAATAATCAATTTAATACTGCCAAAACTTTTAGACAGTCTAATATATTTTATTATTCATAAATTGATTAAATTATAGAAAACAAGAATCAACACGTGACAACCACATGTATTTGACACAATACACTGCGGCACACGTGTATATTGAACGTAGTCAGCAGCTTTGAAAACGTGAAAATTCTCAAAGATCGAAAAAATATAAAATACAGCGAACTATCTTACCAGATATATATATCTATATATAAGTATTTATGTGTCTATCCTTTTCTAAATTCTTTAGCCTGCCTGGAAACCATTTGATGTATATGGGCCCCGCATATTGTATATTTCCTAAAAATTCCAGACAAAAAGGTATAATAAAAGGGAGTCATTATTTTAACTTCGACGAATTCTCTTCTCTTCAGAATAAGGGACTATGGTTATATGACGCATGCGCAAAATTGAATTTTCTCATTGGCTAGTACCACATGGTCTGATGTCAGACCACGGGGCCGGTCCAATTCAATAATAACGAGATGCTCGGTAGCAAGACGCCAGCTAGACATTAGCGACGCGCCCGTGAAACTTGTATAAGGGTATCGGCGTCTATTAGTGACCACGCGAATCCTCCCTCTCTAAATTTACAATAATTAAAAACCAATAAATCAGTACAAGTGCGACGAATTTTCATTCTGCACAAAAGAATTTTTTCAACGTGCATTATATTATAACCTGTCAGGATTACATCAACGAGTCAGGTGAGAATTTTCACTAGAAAATTTAATTTAATTTTTCAATTAAAATAGTTTTATTTTTACTAATAATTATGTCAATTTACTAAGAAAATGTCGTTAATTTACTAATATATTGGAGAAAACTTATACACCAGTAATTTCTAAAAATATAGTACACTGAAAGGGGTGAATTTGATATTGACATAATTTGCAACAATTATTAATTTCAATTAAGTGATTAAATAGAAATGTAATTTATTTTAAAATTTCATAGAAAACAAAATGTATAAATTTTCTTTATGATGAGAAATGAGTATTATGGGACAATGAAAATTAACGGTTAAAATTTTTGAATTTTTTAAAGGTCAGACGTCTTTGATTTTCTGCAAAGTATTTTGATTCTTGTGCTTATAATTTGTATTATTGTGAAAGTTACGCTTTGATGGCAAACAATGGTTGCCATTGAAAACGATTTTAACACGTGTCGGAAAGTCGTACGCTTTCCTCTTCCGTGACGAGTAAATACCGGTCTACTTCACGATTGCAGAAAACTATCTAGAAGAATCCTTATAGTTTTTTTTACTTTATCAGCTAAACTAGAATTTTTTTTTTTTTTTTTTTTGCTTTATAACCCCGGAGTGAAATATTCATTTTATCTTTAGAAAATATTACATATGTTATTTTGTCTTTTTTAAATAATAAAAGAATATCTTTAGCGCTATTAAAATTAACAACTTTGTAACACTAAACAAAAAAAATGAAAATTTGAATATTTTACATATTTGTAAAATATTTGACGTCAAATAATTCATAGAATCTTTTAAATATTATTGTAATTTTAATTCTATGAAATATTTTTTTGAAAAAAAATTTGCGTTTTTGTTTTCATTCAATAGGCAAATAAAATATAATTAAAAGCTACGTGAATTGACGTAATTATCTTTAAAAATTAATTTCATGATTCTTATAAACGTATAAAATCAAGAAGGAATAGGTAAATAAATAAGCTTGAATCATACTGTAAAGTTTGCCAAACCTCTTGACATCTATGACGAAGGAACAAATAGTTATTTAAAGCCTTCAATATTCTATTCTAAAGATTATACAATATAAAATATTTAAAGTATGGAAAAATTATATAAAATGTTTTTTTCTTTAATAATAAAAAGGTAATTTAAAAATTTGCAATTAAAAATTTACAGTTAAAATACACTTTCTAAATGAATGAAATACTATAAGAATGTATTGTTTCTATGAGAAAGCAAAATAGAAAAAAAATTTAAGAGCAAAAATCTTTTGCAAAGTCTGACTTTCCTTCTTCCTTCACTACTAAGATTGCTGAAATCTCTCAATTAAATTGCAAGTGATGCAATCTCAATATCCAGTCAGACACACTGATCTGATTCAATATTTTAATCAGTACATATATTTCAATTTTCTTCTTAAATTTTAAATATTGATTTTTAAAAAATTTTTTAAAGAATAAAATTTTTTTTATTTTAAGTACAATATATTTATGCAATAAATCTTTGTCAAGTTTCAAATCATGAATTTCATTCACATTGATAAAAGTTGAGAATTTTTTACTTTTTCCTACCTCAATACTCATTCATTTATGAAATTTGTTCATTCAAATAAATGCATTTTATTTTAGTTCAACTACGATTCAACTATTTTTTTACGCTTTTGTCCTATTGTAATAAAAAATGAATATTCTTATCAGATTTCGTATCACTTAAAAAAAATAGTCGAATAATGCGATGTCAGAATTTTATTACACAATATTTTAATTCAATATAATAATTATTTTTGGATGCCCATATTTGTTATCTCTCTAAAATTTTCATTTTTTATTTTTAAAAAATTCAATTATAATAATTATTTTTAATCATAAAAAATGTACTAATAATAGTAAATAAAAAAATAATTTAACAGTACAATAATAGAATTTTATTCAATATAAATATTTAAATTAATATAATCTAATAACTATTTAATAATAATAATTATTAATAATAAATAATAATTTAATAAATGAAAAAAATAATTTAAAAATTTAGTAATGATTAATTTTTTAGTAAATCTAATATAAAAAAATTTAATTAACTATTTTTAATAGTAGGTAATTATTATTGTTATATAATTTGGATAATAGTTTAAATTATAATTTATTTTTTAATTAAGAATATCTATTTTCTGTAGTGTTATAATCAATATTTAATTGAAATGAAAATGGAACCACATTTCTGTTGTTCAACCGGAATTATTCATTTCACTGTCAAAGTCAAGATCAATTATTAAATTAAAAGTCACTAACAGCTTGGAACTTTGATCTGTTTACCAACATAGCTGACCTCAAACTCAGGTGTTTAATTTAAAATTCTAAATAATTGTTTCTTTATTTATTATAATTACAGTATATAATTTACAACTAATTAACACTGAATTATTAATTAATTAAATAATTAGTGGATAAAAATTTAAAAAAATTTTCTTTAATAAATAAAAAAAAAAGAATCACCTATTATATAATTGACTTTTGAACTCGGATATCGGACGATTTCAATCAATTAATCTACATACAATAAACACCTGACTCAATAATTTAATTAATGGCGTTAATAAATTCCTAAATAAGCATTTGTATGTTAAGTAAAAAAAAAAAAAGTAATTTGAATACATTTAACAGTTTGGGGAAAAAATTGACATTTTATAAATTTAATATCTCTCAATATAAGTGCACTAAACTATAAAATTGGATAAATTATTTAACGCAACATTGAATACTATTCAAGTTTTATATAATCAAGATATACAATAACCGATAACAGATCTGTTCCGACCATCGATTAAATCACGAAGCTGAAGTACGCAACTTTTATGATAAACGATTTTTAAAGCAATAATTTTTTAAAATGAAAATTTCTATAATAATTTTTTGTCCAAAAAATATTTTTTTATAATTTGTTGATTAATGAAAACTACAAGAAATATTTTTTAGGCAAAGAATTATAGAATTTCTCATTTTTAATAATTATTTTTTTAAAAATCGTTTATAATAAACGTTGCGTACTTCAGCTTCGTATTAAATCAAGTTCAGGGTTAAACTATAATTTTATTTTTCAGTCTTAATAAAAGAATATAATGTAATGAATACCTGATAATATTTTAAATTAATAGATATTTAAATGCATATAATAAGTAAACAAAATATGTGTCACCAAATAATAAAACGAAAGGGTAAATGACACGCTCTCTACATTCTAAGTGTGTCATACTCGAGCTCTAAAATACTTTTTTTTCTTTTACCTTCGTCAGCGAAATGCATAGGGTAAGGGGTACAGTGACCGACACCCTGGGCATACTTTCAACTTTAAATGACATTTTATCGTAATTTATTAAAGATTTAGTTATAAAATAAATTTTAAATAAAAGATTTGGGTTAAAATTTATAGTACACAAGTTTAAAATTAAAAAACACCTTGATAAGAGTTTATAATATTAATTTAAAAATGTATGGTATGAAAACAGTGAACGACACTCTTTAATAAAATAAAAAATATTTAAACTTCTATTTAAGTAACATGATATTTATTAGTATTATCATAAATTTTATTATTCAGACTTAATGTACAAAAAAAGTTGCTTTTAAAATATAATTATTTAACAATTTTTTCATATTTATAAAATTTGTAATCAATAAAGCAAATTTTTTGAGGTTAGTTTTCTAGAAAGTATTAAATATTGAGGAAAATATAAACATATAAAATTTTGTATAAACTGTATAAGTTTTTAAATATTGTATATTAATTAATTTACTAGTGATATTTAATTAAATATTATTATTTTTATAGTTATTATCGTTTTTAATAGCAGGTGTCGTTCACTGTCTGGGTGTCGGTCACTGTACCTTTTACCCTATAAGTAGTATTGTAAAAAAAAAAAAAATATTGAAAATTATTATAAAGAAATTTACTTTTTTTTTTTTTAAATGAAAAATTTTATATTAATTATTCCCTGTGTTTTTCACGTCTGAGAAATTTATAATTTTTATCATCAACAATTTAGAAGAAAAACTATTTTTTAGCATTAGTTTCGAAATTAATTATGTGCCTGAAATTCTGAACGTTCAAATGAGCGAAATAAATTTTTTGGTCTATAAATTTTTAAAAAATTACTATATCAATAAAAATGTTCATTAAAAATTTAATAAATTATTCATGTATTTTTGAATACAGAAACCAATATTTTATAATAAAATTTAAAGTTTAAACAGTGGTAAACAAATTTTTCGTTCATTTGAACGTTCAGAACTTTAGGCACATAATTAATTTATAATTAGAAAACAAAAATTTCTTTGATTCAAAGATATAAGGTATAAATGCCTTTTGTTATTCAATGAAAAAATTTTCTTTAAATATAAGAATGTTTTCTTTATTATCAATTTCTGTAATTCAATGAAAATCATATTGAAAATAAAATTTAACTGCCACCCTGTAATTATTAAATAAAATCCGGATAAAAATGATTTTTTTTTAAATTTCTCTAATTAATGTCTTTTGTACTTTTTGTTATAAGAAATTTTTATTTATGTGTATATAATTTCTACTGGGGTTCAAATTGAATCTCTATGGGGTTCAGGAACACTTAACCAATTTAATTCATAAAGAAATGATGAGGAGCTCATTCACGTGCCATTAAGAGACGCGTGTTAATGTTCATATTCAATATAATATATGTGGACAACCTGTTTTTACTGAGAATCAACAAGCAACTTTTACACGTGATAATAAAAAAAAGTATATAATGTATAATATATAAAATACACAATTCTTATTTAATTATTCATTCTATAAATTTTGAAATGGTTTAAAAATTTTTTTTAAATTACCTTCAAATATTCCAAAAATTTCCGAATTCAATAATTAAAAATCCTCTTTTTCGGATATTTCTGCTCATAAGAGAAATGAAAAATCTTTCACAAAAACTCCATCAATAAACCATAAATTTTTAGGTATTGTTTTATTTTTTTCTTCCCCTTAAAAAATTTCAACTTGAAATCGAATTTTATTTTGCACTCAAAAAAACACTTTGATCTACTCAATTAAACACATTGAAAAAATATATTCTTATTGAGAGAATTCCTCTCATTTTTATACAAATATATATCAAAAAGATGCATTCTCAATTTAAAAAAGCTATATTTTATCAAAGCATGTAATGTATACAAATTGAGGTTATGTTTTTATCTGCTAAAAAAAATCGCACACGTGAATTTAATTAAATTGTTCAAAAACAATTACACACTATTTTAATATATATTCAACAGAGAATTCTCAATTTTCTCACTGTTTATGAAAAGAATACACAATAAAATATATATACATAAGATGTTTCAAATGACACCGATGAAACCAGAAACCATATTGGCAATTTTTTCGTCTATCGCCATAACTGTGACGTCAACTTGCACATGCGCATATCCAATAATCCAAATTGTGTAGTAAATTCTCTTAGAAGGTAGAGGAATATTTTTCAATTGAAAATCTTAATGTAAGGGGAAAATTATAAGAGTTATATAATTTCTATCGTCTTAAAAAGAGAGGGGAATTCTATCCAGTTAAAGAGTAATATAACTTTTGTTTCAAGAATGTAAAATTGTAGAGAATTTTATAGATTAAAAAACGATCACATTTGTAGGTTATGATTATTCAAAAATGTAGTAAAATTATATTTGTTATTATTAGTAAAAAAAAATTTTTTCTTCATACATTTCTATTATATATAAATAATTATTTTATCCGCATTTTTGAAAAAAAATGTCAAATTATTATTATTTAAAATGCCATACAGATTGTTAATGTTTACTTTTCTTTTTTTTTTTTTTTTTTTTTTTGTGTGCAGAGATAGTACAATCTTTTCCAATTGTAAATTGTATTATCTAGCTGTGACAATATATGTAACTCTTATACAATGATAATAAGGATCAGTGTCAAGGTTGATGATATGTGAACTGGGAGATTATCTTGAAAGTTCGAGTTAAATATATTAACGATAAAATTCTTTTTAACATAATGACGTTAAAAGATATTACTTTGAATGCACAACTTGACCCCTGTGCGACTAACAACTAACTTATGTCAGTGTACTTACATTTATTATAAGTTTATATATATGTATATGACGTAACAACTATGAATCGAGATTTCCTTTCTCTCTCTCTCTCTCTCTCTCTTTCTCGCGCGCAAAGCTTACAGCATTTTGATAACGCTCTTTTCACGGTTATGGTCACGCGATGACGCACTTTGATATGATTTTCAAGACCAATGCTGAGCACATTCTTATCTACAAAATATTATATTTAAATTTCAAATAAAATATATATTATATTTCTTTTTCTTAATGAAAAAATTAATTTTATTTAACATTTTCTAGATAAATAAAATTTTTATCTTATTTTCTATATTTAAATATAAAAAAGGTTCGGTTTTCCTTCATTATTTATAATTTTAATAAAATATTAATTAGATAATAAATTATCAGTTATTAGGTAATTATCATTAAATATTAATTAATTTATTGAATCACGAGAATTAAATTGTCTTTTGTATTTTTAATATTTGAAAATGAAAGAAAATTTAAAATAATATTTTCAATATAAAAAAATTTTGAAAAAGACATTTTTATGTGCCTGAATTTTTGAAAGTTCAAATGAATAAAATAATTTTTAATTAATAATTTCAAAAAAATAAATAATAATTTTTTTTCAATAATAATAAAAAATAAAAAGTACATTAAACATTTAATAAATTATTCATTAATTTTTGGATAGAAAAAATATTTTATAATAAAATTTGAATTTAAAAAATAGTCAACAAATTTTTCTTTCATTTGTACGTTCAGAACGAACTTTAGGCATATTTATTTTTCTTTACAATCGATTATGTGAGAAATTGAAAATTAATATTGATTGTATTGTTTTGCTTAGAAAAGAATTTGAAAAGATTTTATTTTCCGTGACTGAATTTTATCAGGTTGAAAATATATATTTTAACATTCTTACCACACATGATTATTGTTTATCATTTTTTTTTTGTTTCTTTCAAAACTTTAGAATATACAATATATTTTTTGTAATTATTATTATTAAATTCTGTCTTCAATTTTTGTTATAGTATAGAAATTCTTTTTTTATGATAATAATAAATTTATTTTTATTATTTAAAAATAAAATTTTTAATTAATTTTTTATTTTTCGAAAGTTTTTATGTTCTTTAATCTGAGATTTCTTTCGTGATGGAAAGAAGAGAATTGCGTCTCGAGTATGAGCAATTGTATTACAAAATTGGTTTACCCTTTATGAATGCAAATGAAATTACTCAATTAAGTACTGGCCCCAAGTCGGAAGTCACTGTGTGTCAATTCAAAGCAATTGTCGTAGCCTCAGTTAAGTCACATTATAGAAATTAATCTATACTTGTTTGTCACTTGAGGTGAAGGAACGAAATGATGGTCAAAGGAGAAAGGCTCCGCACAAAATAATTAATTAATGTTTATCACTATTGTTCAATTTGTTAAACCTCTTCTTGGAAAAAATAAATTCAAAGACAAATTTTCTTAATTTTACATGAAAAAAAAAAATGTTAATTACCTGAACAGTTTTTCATTAAAAATGTAAGAAATTTAGTTTTTTTGACACTGAATAATTAAAAATTGTATTTGGATAAAGATTTATATTTCTAAAAATTTGAAAAAAAAATTTTTTGCTTTCTGTAATATATCATGAGAAGAAAAATTAATGTTAATTTTTAAGAGAGAAAAAAGAAATATATTGTTCTTTGAACCACCACATTGACAACATGTTCTACAAGTGAATTTAATAATAAATATATGAACTATTTTGTTATGAAGAATATTGATTAAATGCTATAAATGTGACAAAGAAATTTCTCTAGTTTTTCACAATATTACTTTCTCTACATGTTTAACTGTAATTTGTAAATAAATTACGGAATAATTATTCTATTTTTATGATTCAATAATTATTAATTTTATTTTATAAATCTATTTTAAAAAAAAAGTATAATTACATTTTTGCTTGAAATTATTTTTTTCTCTAGTTTAGTTCTCTAGTTTTTTCTTTAGTTAATGCGTATTATTAAAAAAAAAAAAACATGAAATCATTCTTATTTATAAATTTCATTATTTTTTTTCAGCCTGCTGTCCACAAGGCTTACACGCAGATTAATTTGACGGGAAATTTAAATTTGAATCTATAACTTACACAATCTCTAAAAACATGCCAGCAAGATTTGAAAGTGTTAATGCTCCGATCGTTCGCGATCCAATCATTCCAAATGGCGCAGCATATTCAATTGATGATGATATTGTCATTTCAGGATTTTCTGGTAATTATATATATATATAATTTTTGTTTATAAATCTCTCGAAAAGATTAAATTATTTTAATTCGATATTTTTTCAATATTTTTACATATTTGAATTTTTTAAATTAAAAAAAAAATACGAAAAAAACTGTAATTTTAAATTTAAAATGTTTTTCTTTTAATCATTTTTTTTCAAATAAATGAATTTATTAATTGACATTGTTTTATGACAAAAGAAATTTTGAATTTTTTTTCTTTTTTTTTTAAGGTCGCCTTCCTGAGTCATCAAATATTGAGGAATTCAAACAGAAACTTTTCGATGGAATCGATCTAGTAACAGACGATGAACGCCGTTGGCCTTCTGGTCTTCATGGTCTACCAACCAGAACTGGAAAACTTAAAGATCTTGCATCTTTTGATGCAACATTTTTTGGTGTTCACGCTAAACAAGCACACGTTATGGATCCACAACTTAGAATGCTCCTTGAATTGACACACGAGGCTATTATAGACGCAGGAATAAATCCTTCCGAAATTAGAGGATCAAAAACTGGAGTTTTCATCGGCGTTTCTGATTCGGAATCAGACGAATTCTGGACTGCGGACCCAGACATGGTTAATGGTGAGTTCAATTTATTTCATTATCAAAAAAAAATATATACAATGCTAAAATTCACATTTTTTATCAGCAATTTTTAAGGAAATATTTTTTGTAATAAAAAAATTCTATGAATTTTTGTCTCAAAGATATATTTCTTGCAATGTTAATTTTTAATATTTAATTAATTATTTACATTTAAAGTCTAAAGACAAGTTGAATAAAAAACAAATTATATATTATTAAGATAAAACATAATTTATATAATTTCCTTTTTAAAAAGAAATTATTTACATAAGTAAGTATGAAATGTTAACACAATTTTTAGATAATAAAAAAAGATAACATTGAATTTTCTAATTACATTTTAAGTACATAATTATAGTTAATTTCATAATATCTTTCTTACCTTAAATTTTAGTATACTTTTTAACTTAAATCCATTTTAATGTTCTTTAAAAACATTAACAAAATTTAAAAATCACTTAATATACATTTTACAAATTTTTCTAAATCTTATTATTAATTGCTTTTTTTCAACATAATTTCTCAGTTTCTTACTTTTATGTGCCTCCTTAAGTAAAGATTATTTTGTAACAAATTTTGTGATATCAATTTAATCACATATTTAACAAATTTATTGAAATAAACCAAAATATTTTTTAAATAAACAAAATTTTTGTTCAAAACAGCTAAAAAAAACGAAGCTGAAGTACGCAACGTTTATATAAACGATTTTTAAAGAAATAATTTTTTAAAATGAAAAATTCTACAATTTTTTGCCTAAAAAATATTTCTTGTAGTTTTCATTAATTAACAAATTATAAAAAAATATTTTTTAGACAAAAAATTATAGAATTTTTCATTTTAAAAAATTATTTCTTTAAAAATCGTTTATCATAAACGTTGCGTACTTCAGCTTCGTTAAAAAAAGCAGTATATTTGTTTAAAATAAGACTTTCCTAAATTAATAATCCTTCATCAGAAAAAAATCCTCATTAATTTTATTATTTTTTTAAAAAGACATTTCTATTTTTGTAAACGAATTTTCAAGATAACTTTCGAAACCAAAGTTACTTAACTTTTAATAATTTCAAATTTTCATAAAAATAAAAGTTCGGACATACCTATAAAGAATCTATATGAAATGAAAATTCTGCTCTTTCAAAATTCGACAAAAATCCAAATTTAAAAATTCTGTTAAATAGGAATTTTGCTAAATAAAAATTTGTTTAAAAATAATTTTTATTTCAATGAAATTTCAGTAAAATAAAGTTCTGTTTAATAGAAAGTCTATTAAATGAAAATTATATTAAATCATCAAAATTAGTGAACTTGAGAAACTCGTCATAAAAAAATTCGGTTAAATTGAAATTTTGTTAAATGAAAGTTGAGCTGAATAAAAATTCGTTCAGCACAGAATATTTGTTTAAATCTATTTTCCATTATAATAAATTTCGTTAAATAAAATTTTGTTACATGATAATTCTGTTAAATAAAAATTCTCATAATATGTACAGGATTTTTCATTAAACGAATTTTAATAAAAAATAAATTTGATTAAATAAAGTTTTGATTAAATAAAAATTCAGCTAAGTAAAAAATTCGAGTTACTAAAATTCTTTTGATTGAAAAATCCATTAAATTCTATAGTTTAAAAAATTTTAATAAATGTGAATTTTGTTAAATTAAAATTCATTGAACTAAGTAGAGAATCAGACATAAAAAATTGAGTTAAATTAAAATTCTTTGATATGGAAATTTTTGATTAATATAAAGTTTATTTTATAGAATTCTGCTTAATAGAAATTCGTTGCCAGAAAAATGATTTCAAGTTCAGTTAAGTTGAACTATTTGAAATAGTTGTATGAAGAAAAATTTTTAATTTAAGTTTTTAAACTTCACATGTAAAACACTATTTCATTATTTGATTTTCAAAATTTTTTTTTAAATCCCTGTTTTTTTGCTAAGAGTAGAAATTCGTGTAATAATGAATTTTTCTTTAAACGAATTTTCATATAAAATAAATTTTGTTAACTAAAGTTTTGTGAAATAAAAACTATGTTAATTGTAAATTTAGTTAAATAAAAATTCAGGTTACTAAAATTCTTTTGATTAAGAAGTCCGTTAAATTCTGGTTTTAAAAAATGTTGATAAATATGAATTTTTTTAAATCAAAATTTAGTGAATTAAAGAATCTGTACCTGCATGAAGTTGGCGTCGACGCTCAGCGTCGAAAAACAATTTTCGGCGCTGAGCGTCGAAGCCAACTTCAGGGAGGTGAATCTGTAATAAAAAAATCGGTTTAAGGCCAGGTCCAAGTCGAGTCAGCTGTTCCTTTGAAGTTTCAATGGAACAGCTGACACGACTTGGACCTGGCCTTAATAAAAATTCTTTGATATGGAAATTTCAGTTAATATAAAGTCTACAGTATAAAATTCTGCTTAATTGAAATTCGTTATCATAAAAATTATTCTAAATTCAGTTAAATTAAACTATTTGAAATAGTTGCATGAGGAAGAAAATTTTAAAAAAAATTTTAAACTTTAATATTTTTTTTTTAAATAGATGTAAAACACTATTTGATTTTCAAAATTCTCTTTTTTAAATCCCCTTTTTCACAAAGAGAACTCTTTTTTTTTTTTTTTTTTTTTACCTATAATTGAACAAAACAGTGATTCCTGAATTTAAAAATGACAATTATTTTCTTTCTTGTGAAGGAAATCTAAAGCTTATATACTAAAAGAAAAAATCCATTGCAGGTTACGGTTTGACAGGATGTTGTCGAGCAATGTTCCCCAATAGGATATCGTACACATTTGACTTGTCAGGACCAAGTTTTGCCGTTGACACAGCATGTTCATCATCACTCTATGCAATGCATCAAGCAATATCGGCAATGCGAACTGGTCAATGTGATGCAGCAATTGTGGGAGGTGTAAATCTCGTTCTTAAACCCACAAGTTCCCTACAATTTCACAGACTAAATATGTTATCAATGGATGGCGCATGTAAAGCATTCGATGCCTCAGGCAATGGTTACGTGAGATCTGAAGCTGCCGTCGTTATATTCCTTCAAAAAGCTCGTAATTCAAGACGTGTTTATGCAACTGTTGTTAACTCCAAGACAAATACAGATGGCAATAAAGTTGAAGGAATCACATTTCCCAGTGGTGCAATGCAAAATAAATTAATGCGCGAAGTTTATGATGAGGCGGGTGTCGATCCAATTGATGTTGTTTATGTTGAGGCACACGGTACAGGTACAAAAGTTGGCGATCCACAAGAAGTAAATTCAATTGCCGACCTGTTTTGTAAAGACAGGAAAAAACCATTACTCATTGGATCAATAAAATCAAATATGGGACACTCGGAACCGGCGAGTGGATTATGTTCAATTGCAAAAATACTAATAGCAATGGAGGCTGGCGTTATACCGGGAAATTTACATTTTAAAACACCAAATAAAGATATTCCAGCATTGTCCGATGGACGTTTACAGGTCGTTGATCGATCTTTACCTTGGAATGGTGGCCTTGTGGCTATTAATTCATTTGGTTTTGGCGGTGCAAATGCTCATGTTGTTTTACGAAGTAATCCAAAACCAAAAATTGCTCCTGTTTTAGATGTGAATTTACCGAAAATTGTTCCCATCTCGGGAAGAACTGAGGATGCTGTCAATGTATTTTTAGATAAAATCAAAGAACACGAGAAAGACGATGAATTCACATCATTGGTACAAGATTTACATTCGAGTAATATTCAAGGACATGGTTATCGTGGTTTTCAAATACTTGGCGATGTTAATGCAAGGGAAATTGAACAAGTTAGCTCAGAGAAAAGGCCAATTTGGTATATTTTCTCAGGAATGGGATCACAATGGTCGGGAATGGGTAGAGCGCTATTTTGTATTGATACATTCCAATCGGCAATTCGACGATGTGCAGAAGCATTAAAATCCGAGGGTATTGATTTGATAAATCTTATTTTAAATGGAACTGACGAAACATTTCAAAATGTTGTCAATAGTTTTGTATCGATTGCGGCAATTCAAGTTGGTTTAGTTGATGTTTTGAATTTAATTGGCATTCATCCTGATGGTATTGTTGGTCATTCAATTGGTGAACTTGGCTGTGGTTATGCTGATGGAACAATGACACCGGAACAAACTGTACTTGCTGCATATTGGAGAGGTAAAACAATTTTAGATGGTAATTTACCACCAGGTGCAATGGCTGCCGTTGGTCTCAGTTGGGAAGAGACGCAAAAAAGATGCCCACCGGAAATTGCATTAGCATGTCACAATGCCGCAGATTCTGTATCAATATCAGGTCCACCTGAATCAGTGGCTAATTTTGTTAAACAATTGAAAAGTGATGATATTTTTGCACGACAAGTACTCAGTTCGGGTTGTGCTTTTCATAGTAAATATATTGCATCAGTTGGACCAAGATTACGAACGATGCTTGAGAAAATAATTCCCAATCCAAAGCAAAGAAGTTCAAAATGGATTTCGAGTTCTATTCCTGAAACAGCGTGGAATACATCATTGGCACAACTTAGTTCGCCGGCTTATTATGTCAATAATCTTCTTTCACCGGTTTTGTTCCATGAAGCACTTGCTCATGTGCCGGAAAATGCAATTGTCATTGAAGTTGCACCACATTGTTTATTGCAGGCAATTCTTCGTCGTTCATTACCAACAGTGACAAATATCAGTCTACATAAACGTGATCACAGTGATAATCTCGCATTTTTATTGACAAATATTGGTAAGCTCTATAATGCTGGTGCACAACCAATTCTCTCAAAACTCTATCCACCTGTAACATATCCCGTTGGACGTGGTACGCCAATGATTAATTCAATGATTCAATGGGATCATTCTGTACAATGGAGTGTTGCTGATTTTTCTGGTAAATCCGGTCATTCTGGACAGAGTGTCGTTGAATTTGATTTATCTAAAGAAAGTGATTCATTTATTTCCGGTCATTGTATAGATGGAAGAATTCTTTTCCCAGCCACTGGTTATTTGACAATTGTTTGGAAGACATTTGCAAAATTACGCGGTTCTTCATTTGAAAAAACACCAGTTATTTTTGAGGATGTACAATTTTTACGTGCAACAATTATGCCAAAGGAAGGTTCAGTGAAATTTGTCATCAATATTTTTGAAGGTACAGGAGGTTTTGAAATATCAGAAAGTGGTTCAACAACAGTGACTGGTAAAATTCGTATTTCGGATGATATTGACAAGGAACAACTTAATTTAGAAATTCCAGAAATTACAACAAATGAAATTGATTTACTTGAATTAAAAACAAATGATGTTTATAAAGATCTTCGACTTCGTGGTTATGATTACAGTGGTATTTTCCAAGGTATCAAATCATCTGATAATCGTGCAATTGCCGGTAATCTCGCTTGGAATAATGATTGGATTTCCTATATGGATACAATGCTTCAATTTGCCATATTGAGTAAAAATACAAGGGATCTATTTTTACCAACACGTTTACAATATGCGGCAATTAATCCCGAACGACATATGCAAATTGTTGAGAAATTACAGGAGAATGAAAATATTCCAGTTTATAATTATGACAATGTGGGTATTGTTAAATCAGGTGGTGTTGAATTACGTGGAATGAAATCGTCAATAGCACCAAGAAGACAACAAACACAAGCTGATCCAAAACTTGAGAAATATTCATTTATTCCATATTTGAATACACAAGCACTTGTTGAAGATCCAGAAAAATCGAAATTACACGCACTCACATCACTTCTTCAGGTGGTGAGGGAAAATATTGGTGGAATTAAAATAAAAGCTGTTGAAATAACCGCTGAACGTAATCCTGAAGCACTATTAACACCGCTTGCACTTGATATTTTACTCAGTGAACCAATGCTTGCTGTTGATTTAAAATTGGCGACAACATTACCCGATAATTATATTTCAATTATGGAACAATGTAATATTAAGAGTACAATTGTTGATGTTTATAATTCATCAGTTGGACAGGATTTACATCTTATTATCACAACTGACACAATGAATAGTCAAATGGCAGGAGTTGTGAAAAATTTGGAAGCATCATTAAAACCAGGTGGTTATATTTTATCTGAGGAAGCAACAGAAATTGACGAGAGTATTTTAAAGGGATCTAGTCTTATTTTAATTGGTAAGCAAGTTGTTCCTGGAAAGAATTATATTCTTTTAAAGAAAAAAGAGGAGGATTTGGAATTGCCATTGATTATTAAAGTGACAGAGAAGAATTTCAATTGGGTGAATGATTTGAAATTGGCGGTTAAAAAAGCTGAAAGTGAAGGGCAAAAAGTATTGATAGTGAGTCAAGGTGAAGAAGTATTAGGACTTGTGGGATTAATGACTTGTGTAAGACAAGAAGCTGGTGGAATGAATGTTCGTTATTTCTTTATTCAAGATATGAATGCATTGGCATTTTCACTTGATGATGCATTTTATCGGAAACAATTTGATAAACAACTTATGGCTAATGTATTGAAAGGAGGACAATGGGGATCGTATCGTCATTTGCGATTGGATAAACAAAGTGATATTCCATCACTTCATGTTGAGCATGCTTATATTAATGCTCTAGTGAGAGGTGATTTGAGTAGTTTAAGATGGATTGAGGGTCCACTTTGTTATTATGAGCCGGAGAAATTTGTTGGACAAGAATTTTGTGATGTCTACTATGCTCCGCTTAATTTCCGTGATATTATGTTGGCAACTGGAAAATTGCCACCAGATGCATTGCCTGGTGATTTGGCGAGTCAGGATTGTATACTTGGTTTAGAATTTGCTGGTAGAGATTCATCGGGACGTCGTGTAATGGGAATGGTTGCGGCACGTGGATTGGCAACAACTTTATTGGCTGATCCTGGATTTATGTGGGAGGTGCCTGATAAATGGACATTGGAGGAAGCAGCGACAATTCCCGTTGTTTATGCAACAAGTTATTATGCATTGGTGGTGAGAGGAAGATTAAGAGCTGGTGAATCTGTATTGATTCATGCTGGTAGCGGTGGTGTTGGTCAAGCGAGTATTGCAATTGCACTTCACGCTGGTTGTAAAGTATTTACAACTGTGAGTTCAAAAGAAAAACGTGAATTCTTGAAGAAAACATTCCCACAATTGACTGATAAAAATATTGGTAATTCTCGTGATACGAGTTTTGAACAACTTGTACTCACTGAAACTTGTGGTAGAGGAGTTGATATTGTATTGAATTCATTATCGGAGGAGAAATTACAAGCCAGTGTTAGATGTTTGGCGAAAGATGGACGATTTTTGGAAATTGGTAAATTTGATCTTTCGAATAATACAGCGTTGGGAATGTCATTCTTTTTGAAAAATACAACATTCCATGGAATTTTATTGGACGCACTTTTTGATACAAATGGACCTGAGAAGAAAGAAGTTGTACGACTTGTCTATGAGGGAATTAAAAATGGAGCAGTACGTCCTTTACCAGCTACAGTATTCACTGAACAACAAATAGAACAAGGTTTTCGATTTATGGCCGCTGGAAAGCATATTGGTAAAGTTTTGCTGAAAATTCGTGATGAGGAATCTCAAAAAGTGACACGACCAGCTATGAAGACTGTTGCTGCAATTCCAAGAACATATATGAATCCTGATAAATCATACGTTTTGGTTGGTGGTCTCGGTGGTTTTGGATTGGAACTCGCTAATTGGATGATAACAAGAGGAGCAAAGAATATTGTTCTTACATCACGATCTGGAATAAGAACTGGTTATCAAGCGCTTTGTATTCGTAGATGGCGAGAAATGGGAATTACAATTAAAATTTCAACAGTTGATGTTACAACGGAAATTGGAGCTGATACACTTCTCAAGGAGGCAAATAAACTTGCGCCAGTTGGAGGAATATTTAATCTTGCCGCTGTACTTCGCGATGCTTTAATGGAGAATCTTGAGGAGGATCATTTTAAGGTTGTCGCACTGCCAAAAGTGACTGGTACCAAGAATTTGGATGCGTCTTCAAAGAAATATTGTCCAGAATTAGATTTCTTTGTTTGTTTCTCGTCGGTGTCTTGTGGTAGAGGTAATGTGGGACAAACGAATTATGGTCTCGCTAATTCAGCCATGGAAAGAATTATGGAACAGAGACAAGCTGTTGGTTTACCGGGTCTTGCCATTCAATGGGGAGCTATTGGTGATGTTGGACTCATTTTAGAAACAATGGGCAATAATGAAACTGAAGTTGGCGGAACTCTACCACAACGAATGTCAAGCTGTTTAATGACAATGGATTCATTCCTTCAACAACCACATCCCGTTCTAGCGTCAATGGTCCTTGCCGAGAAACAAAAAGCTGGCGATTCATCGAATCAATTGAATCTTCTCGATGCAGTGGCTAATATATTGGGTATTAAAGATGTAAAGACTGTCAATATGAATAATAGTCTCGCTGATCTTGGAATGGATTCATTAATGGGAACGGAGATTAAACAAACTCTGGAGAGAAACTATGATTTGGTTCTGTCCGCTCAAGAAATTCGTGCACTAACTTTTGGCAAGTTATTTGAATTATCTTCTGGAACAGCAGAAGCTAACGAAATAGCTTCTCAAAGTACTGCTAATTCTTCATTGACCGAAACCGATCCAGATGAGTTCCTCTTCCAGTGTTCGGGTTCGGAAATTGTACCGCCAAAATCTCTTATTCAACTTGAATCGACTTCAGAAAAAGGTGAACCAATATTTGTTATTCACGCTATTGAAGGTGTTGTATCATCATTGAAGAGTTTGGCTAGTGAACTTAATCGACCAGTTTGGGGACTACAATGTACCAAAGATGCACCACTCGATTCAATAACCGATTTGGCGACATATTATATTCAGGAAATGAAGACAGTTAAAAAACTGGGTCCATACAGTATAATAGGATATTCTTTTGGTGCTTGCGTTGCATTTGAAATGGCTTTACAATTGGAAAAAGCAGGTGAATCAGTTGAATTGACACTTCTCGATGGATCACCTGATTTTATTAAATTGCACAGTCAAACAATTGGAAAACAAACGAATCAAGTTAGTAAAGACCTCGCCTCAAATGATGGCTTTCAAAAAGCAATTGCTTTCTTTTCAAGGCAACTTAATTCCGACATTAGTTTTATAAAGGTGAGTTTATTTGTCAATATTCTTGATTCACGTTTCTTTTTTAATATTTAATATTTTTAATATTTATGAGAAGAAAATTTGGTTCTAATTAATAATTAGTATAATTGAATTAATAATTTGACATTTTCTTTTTTCAGGCATATGAAGTATTAAGGGGAAGTAAATCTGAGGATGAAACTTTAAATAAAATGTTAGAGTTAATAGGTAATACGCCCTTCAAGTCAGAAGATTTGAAAATCGCTGGAATTTTGTTCTATAAGAAGCTGCGGGCAGCGAATATGTATAAATCATCTAGTAAATACAACGGACCTATTACTCTGATAAAGGCCAAAGACAACTTTGTTTCCTTAAATAATGACTACGGATTATCTGAGGTAATTTTCAATTTTTTGTTTTCATTATTTATTTTATTATTATTTTAGAAAAAGATTTTGAAAAACTAATTCTTACTAAAACTAATCCATTTGTTATTTTTTATTTAAAATGTAGACATTAAATATTTGAAAATTATTTAAATTTTTTCTATTATTATGGATAGATAATAAAATGTGAATTTATTGAATAGATCTGCAGACAAACCGTGAGGATTGAAGAGTTACCAGGAAACCATAGGAGTATCCTTTCAGGAGAGAGCGTAAAAAAGATGGCAACACTTGTGAAAACATAAAGACTACTTCTTCTAGGATTCAATAATTATCTTAGAATAAGTAATTACCATAGTTGATGGAATGCGAATTTTTTTAACGTTAATACTCTCCTGAAACGCTTGAAATTATAAATGAGTGTTTCTTTATTAATTTTTCTTAATGTTAAATTGACAAATTTTTAATAGTAACATTCACGGATAAATTCAAGCGTGCCCGAAGCATCTTTTGTACAAAATCTCTTCCCAGGAATCTATTTATCATTCCAATTCTGACTTTTTATGAGGCTTTATTATATATTATATGAATAGTTTTTTTTTTCTTCGTCGCAGTTTTTATTCCCTCATGTGAAGAATGAATGTCGCGGAAAGTATGTCATACTGTTAAGTAATTCCAAAAAATAAAAAAAACGCGCAATTGTAAAACGAATATAGTGAATGAATCGAAGTGAAAAAAAGAAGAAATAATTATTATCGCTTCTATATGATTTTTAAATGGTTTTACCAGTGGACAGGTGTCCATTTTCAAATTATATGGAAACAATTTCCCTAAAGACTTGTAATGAGTCATAAATACAAATTTTTATTTTAATCTAGCTCTAAAAAAAACAAAACTTGTGACGTTTTAATAACACGTGTCGTGATTTGCCACTTATGTAAATTAGCAAAAAAAAAAAAAAAAAAAAAAAAAACAGTAAGAACCGATACGGATTATTTAAATACATTTCTTAAATAGTAGTGAAAATAAGATAAACAAAATAAAAAAAAGAGAATGTGTGAAGTGAACATAGAGGCTGTTAATGTATATGATAAATTATGTTATAATATATTTTTTTAAGGTTCTTATTTTTGTTTTTTAAATGAGTAGACATTTAAAGTGTATATGATGACAAAAGTAAAACATGAATCACGTTTTCTTATCTATTCAATTTCAAAATATTGCGTGATTTATGTTAAATTGCATTATTATATTTATTACTTTCCGGGTATGAATGATACTCTTGTATTAAATTGAACAATAAAAGGAATAGAAACATTAGCATATTGTTTAGTTTTTGTATGTTATATTGCTTGTCGAGCAAATTATTTCAAATTTTTTTTAGGAATGTAATGTATCTAGTAGGACCATAGAGAAAAAATTCATAAAATTTGTTTTATTTTTATCTAAAAAAAAAGTACAATTTACATCTTTAAACATAAAAAATTCATAAAGTAAAATTTCTTTTTCTTTACAAGGAGATAAAAAAAGAGAGATGAATCCTCGTTTTTTTACAATTGCATAATTGAATAAAATAGTTATTTTTAAATAAATTGTAAAATAATTAAGTTTTTTAGACAAGTTGTAAAGGTAATTTGATAGAGAAAAATTCATTACACATGTTAAAAAATTTCAGAATTAAAATCTTATTTAATACTGGAATGACTTGTGTTTGCTATTACAATATTTTTTACAGGTACATATTCAATTCACAGTCACATTAAATCTTAAAATAATAAAAATTCTTACCACACAATCGTTGATTTACAATGAAATAATGATTATACTAATTCATATCAATTCTTTAAATCTTTAGAAAAATTCCTTTCAATAAATTCTAAATAAATTTTAAAAATTATTTAATGAAACTTTAAAAAATTTCTTTCAAAGTTTAATATTTTCTAAGTACGATGAAACACACATTTCCCCTAAATCGCTATAAGAATTCACAATGGATCAAATATAAATTTAATTCTAAGATTAATTTTTTGTTTTGATAATTTTATTTCTATTTCATAAGAATTTTATGATCAAAACAAAAAAAAATATTTGTTTTATTTCCGATCCATTGTCTATTGACTATTTAATCAATTGGTAATATAATAAATACTAATAATCCTAATGGTTACTAATAATAGTAACAATATCAATATTATAATAATTACTAACATTTCCTAATTTTTTTTTTTCTCTACATTATGAAATACAATTAAGTTAGACCTATATTTCTAAACATAAATGGACGCAAATTAAATTAATTATGTGCGTTTTGAATCAATGGGTAGTCTTGGATCTGAAATGGCGAATTCTTTATCACACGTAAAGGAAACCGTTAAAGCATATCGAGTTCCTGATGTTATTTTTTCTACCATATGGACATTTTCAGCACCGGATGTAAACATTGAAACACGTCCTGAAAATGATGTTCATTATTATTAAACAGGGTAAATTATTATTTTATTGTAATTTAGACTTTGAAGTGTAATAGGTTTTTGAAAACAATAAAATTTTATGTTGAATCAACCAAATAAATATTTCTACAATGTTGAAGTTCATAACGTTTATAGAAATCATTTTTTGAATGAAAAATTCGGTGAATTAGGATGAATGAAATTTTTATTTCAATTTAGTAGCTTCTAGACAAAATTGGTAGTAAATAAAAAGTATGAAAAAAGTACTTTGAAGCAATTATTTACCTTTTCTTGGTTCAATTGTTGAATTAGCACTATGCTTATCAATGAACAAAAATCGTCCTCCTTTAAAATCTTTGTTAAAATCACTTAAATATAACAATGATGTATAATGAAAAGACTCGTAAGTAACTTTATCCACATGTGGATGCCAATATTCATCATGAATTGTTTTCGCAGGTAGACTTGTAATTCGTGAAAAGAATGTTGGCTTTGTTAAATATAATTTATCTGAATCTACTCCAAAATGATGTGCAATTGCATGTTGTATTTTAGTTTTCACTACCCTAATTAAAGGAAAATATATTTTTTTAAACGACTTATATAATTAAAATATAAATTATAGAAAATAGAAAGAAAAAAAAAATGAAATTCTAAAATCGAAAAAAAACGATACTTGATATTTACAACGTTTATAATCAACGATTTTTAAAGAAATATTTTTTTGAATAAAAATTCTATGAATTTTCATTTCAAAGATATTACAATGTTTAATGATCAATAAATTATAAAGATTTTTTTAAATAAAAAAGTTTATAATTTCTTAAAAAACATTTGTTTTCTTATCGTTGATCATAAACGACTTGAGAATCGTAAAAAAATTATTTTCTAAAGCATAAATTTATATTAACATACTTGTAAATGGCAAAATCGGCATTGTTGAAAATTTTTTTCGCCTCTTCCATATCATATACATTAATAAATCCATCGCCTTTACTTAAAGCACCAGAATGAAGATCAAGTATACTTGCTCCTCCATCAGAACCACCTAAATTCATGCTATTAATTGCTAATTTTAATAAAACATCAGTTTCCGTAGCTGATACTAATTTATCAGTAACTATTCTCGCGCATTTCTCCGGTAAACAACCAGAAAATTTGTTCATTTCTGCTTTATAACTATCAGAGCATTCAATATTTTGTTGACGACTTATTAATATATCTTTTTGTAAAGCCAAAGAAATTTCTTTTCCATCTTTTGAATTATACCATACAATGAAAAGAATTGCAAATATTACAATACTTCGTGACCAAACTTTTTGATATGGAAATATTAAATGTCCTCCGTACTTTCTAAAATAACAACAACAAATACATCGTTATACACTTGCACTGTACAGATTTATTTGTACTTTCCTAACCTCAAATTTTAAACTACAAGCGAAGAAAAAAAATTGTTTTTCATTTTGACATTAAAATATTTAGACAAAATATAAATTTAATGTAAATATAGAAATAATAAAATAGTAAAAAAGAATAATAACTCACGGTTTGACATATTCAATTTCGGGTTTGGCAGGTTTTTCCTCAGACTTTATTTTTTCCTTATCTTTTTTTTCTTTATCCTTCTCCTTTTGGGCATCTTTTCGTTTTCCTTTTTTATGTTCCTGTGTCATTTTTCAGTCAAAATGAATTAAATTCATATAAATATTGGAAATTGTGATGACCTAAATTTTTCACGGTTTGACGTTCTTCCGTAAGACGTCTGCTAGAATGACATTTGTAATATTCAAACATTGTGGTTAGAAATCAGTAAATTACATTTTTCTAAATTCCGCCTATTTTCATGATTTTAATTATTATCTTATAACTTAATATTATTATTTTTTAAATAATATTTTTCCCCTTTATTTTGTAATGTATTACTTTAATTGCGAAATTTATAAAATGATTAATTAAAAATTCAAATTTTTGCGGGAGCTCAACTTTTCGTTATTGCGCATGCTCGGTAAATCGTATTTAAATTTAAAAACTTTTTCTACTCTTTAAAAATTCATTTAATTTCAAAATATATAAAAAATTAAATATTTCCTCTTCCAAATTGAATGTTATTTAATATTATTAATTAAAAAAATATGTAATATAATAATATAAATTCATAAATGAAATTACAATTAAATGAATCTTATTTTCAATTATATAAATTTAAAAAAAAAATTTTTTTTTTCCCCTTCTTGAAAATGATAATTCACTTTTGTAGACAAAAAATAAAACTTTAAAATAATTTAATAAAAATAAAATTAATTCCTAAGGAACTATATACATAATAAATTAATAAAATAATAAAAATAAATATTAAATAAAATATAAATAAAAAATAATTATTTTTAATATTATAATATTGTATAATATTGTATGATAATAACATTTTTTTCCAATATTGAGTGGAAATTATAGTGTTATTTGATCCCCTTTGGTTTTAATTTCGTCAGTTTGTCGATGTGTTGTCATGGATACTTATAAGTATGGCTGCCATTATTTCAGTTCACAAGTGACAGCTGCACAAGAAGGTAGAAAAAACCTAACGGAAATCATATTTTCTACTTGGTATGTAAATTTTTTTGTTTTGATAATTGTCTTTTTCACTGTACATTATATTTTTTAAATGAAAAAAATTTAAATTTCCCCCAAAGAAAATTAATTTAAATGATTTTTAGTAATTTCTAAGAAAAAATACTTATGTACTATATTTTTTATAAGCTTCATTAAAAATATAAACAATGTCACATAAAGTAAATTAATTATAAATTAATTAACTTGAATAAATAAAAATAGTTGTAATTGCAACATTAAAAAATAATTTAAAAAAATTTAATTTATGAATAATTATTTTCATTATTATTATTATTATAGTCCCGTTGATTGATTAAATAAAAAAAAATAAAATAAAAAAAATATAAATTTTTATATTTAACAATTATTTTCTAGTGAACAAAAATTAAATATAGAGATTTTTTATTAGTAATCAAGATTCAAATTAATAAGTTTGAAATGGTAGCTTTTCATTGAATAAGAATAATGGCAATTTTGTATTACGTGTCTCAATTTTATTCATATTTCATCATTTATTCATATTTTAATTATTAAAATTTTATTATTCTTTACCTTAAATACATTTTAATATATTATTTCCATATTTACATTAATTATATTTTGTATTATTATTAATTAATTATTATTATTATTATTATTATTATTATTAATTACATAAACACTTATAAAAAAAATATAGAATTCAAATTTATTAAATGAATTACAATAAACTACCTAAGTATCAATAAAAAAAAATTTATAAATTCTTTAATTAAAATAATAATCGAATAGAAAATTTTCCATATTTTTCTTGTTTTAATTTTCAGTCAAATTATATATCAATTATATCCTTTATTATAAACATTAAGTATGAAAATTAATTAATTATACCAATCAATTATAAAATAGATATTATGGTTTTTTTTATTTACAAAAAATGATAATTAAAAAATAAATTAATGTGATTAAAAGGAAACGATATAATTAATTTCCACAAAATTGCCAATAAAAATATTAGTGACTCACTTTTGGTGTTTCCAATTTTTTTTTTTGGAATAAAAAAATGAGAAATAAGTGGCATTTCTTTACTATATATTTGATTATAAATTAGCCAAGTTGAATATAAAAATTTTACACATTAAAAATTTTAATTTTTTGATGATAGTAAACTGAAAATTTTATTTTCAATAAATATTTATTTTTTATTATTGTTGTATATATTTATGTACATGGATTTACATGATTTTATGAATTTCACAAGGAGTGCAAGGACTGATTCCTTTAATAAATTCCATGACTGAAGAAAATCTATATTCTCGCATGTCTCGCCAGAATAAGATTAGAGACATGCAAACGTAAGAAAATGCTAATTTTTGAAACCCCTTTGTCTCCCCCTATATATATAGCCCAATACGCAGTGTCCCAGTTTGACTAATTATTTTACCATTCATATTAAAGAGAACTATTTAATTGATCATTTTTAATAATCTAAACAAATTGATTTTTATCACTTTTCATATAAGATATTAATCTAAAGTCTAACTGAATAATAAAAATATTTTCTTATATATTAAAATGATAAAGATCTATATAAATAAATATAATATAAAAAAATATAATGAATTTTTTTTTTCTAACATTTGTTGAAAATAATTTAACATACACTTATACTCTGAAAAAAATTATTTTATTCAAAAAATCGGTTACCAATAATTTCTGTATTTGAGACAAATGCCATATAATTGAATATCAAATAATTATTTAATACAAATAAACATTTATTTGACAACATTAGTCAAGTAACCGATTATTTGAATTAAATTAATTTTTTTTTCAGTACGTAGTATATAAAAATTTTGCAATACAAAATAAATACAATAAATATAATAATAATAATAATGAATACAAATAAATACAATATAAATTTCTCTGATTTTCATTTTTATAAAAGAACAAAAATTGTACACAAAAATTTTGGTACAAATTTTAAATTTGACTTATTAAATATAATTTTCTTGATAATTTGTGATTGGTTATTTTTAAAATTAACGCCAAAATATTACAAGTAAATTGTAAATACAAATTATTACAAATATTATAAATAAATTCCAGACTTATAGTATAAATAAGTGCATATGCACTTAGTCAGATTTAAATAGTGGACAAATAATAATACGAATATTCTGTGAAATAAAAATTTAATTTTAAAAATTCTTTCAAATAACGTGTATTAATAAAAATACATTCAAATAAATGAAAATTCTATTTTACAAAAAATTTCTCTAAATTCAAAGAATATGTTATCATATGTTATACTTATATAAAAATTGAATTTATTAAAATTCTTTGTAAATAACACAAATTTACTTATGGATTAAAAAAAAAAAAAAAAAAATTATTATTTTAATGTATATTAGAACATAAAATTGATGTCAATTACCTTAAATTATATTGAAGAATTTTTATTATACTGAAAATAAATATTAACAACCCCTATAACTATTTTTTAATGTTGTTTGTTTAATGTGAAGGGAATAATTGGTTTTTCGGTATTTAGAACAAAGTTTCATTATTCAGAATTGTGAATTATTACTGATTAATGAAATTTATATTTCTTTACCGTTTAATGATAGGTAAACAGTTATATTCTAATGACACTTTAATAATTTATATTTATGACATTTAGTCTCGTAAAAAATATACTATATATGTATCTCGACAATTTTTTCACATACCTTATTATTTCTTTAATTATTATTAAATTGAAAGAAAAAAAAATGAGTAGAAAATTTCTTTTTTAAATATCTTTTTTTTTATTATTTTTTGTGATTATCGATATTTTTATATTCCTATATAGTATTATTTAGTACGAAAGAACATTTTTTTTACTTCTTATTCAGTTAGCAGATCATTTAAAACTATTTTAAAAAAAATAAAAATAAACATAATTTATAGTATGAAATTATTATTATTCTATACAAAAAAATAGAAAATTTTTATTAGAGTAGTTTTTATCATTTTATTTTGATCAAACGTGTTTTATAATATTTTAATGGAAATCTTGGTAATTACGCTCGATTACAACATATATACGGCATATCAAGTTTATGAATCATTTTTAAGCACATATACCTTAATTCTTGTAATATATGTGAGTTGAAAAGTTTTCCCCTTTTATACCTTCCTAGATATCTTGGAACCCAGTTCATTGTATCTACGGAAATATAGTTAAATCGATATAGAATGTCTTGTTCACGACATCTGGCAATTTTCTACTTTTGTTTTTTTCTTTTTTTTTTTATTATTATTTTTAAATGTCGTGACGACAGATTGAATTTTTTAAAAATGCTCTATTTTTATGTCAAAACGCGAATTTTTATCGATTTCACTGCAAATTTCTATATACATATATATATATATGTTATTTGTATATAAATAATTTTTATTTTCTTTAAAATTTTTTTATCTACATAGAAAAATGTTTAGAAAATAAAAAAAACTTATTTATTTTTTTTATCAATTAATTAGTATTTATATCAATTTTTTTCGACCTTCCTTTTTTTGTTATTGTTCTTTTTGTCCTTTAAAATCATATTTTCAATATATAGAGAAAAAAAAAAGTAAAAAATTGATTTTTTTTTTTTTTTTTGCAACGACAATGACTATTTCTATATCATTTCCGTAAATATAATATTATTAATAATTAATTTTCCAATTCTGATGAAATGTCGGGTTCAAAGATATTGTCGAAGACCTTATCAAAGGCTATAGACAATGAGACTCGTAAATTTCTCATAAAGTACTCCTTAAAATCGATATATACATCATATATCAAAGTTCCGCAATTTCTTATGAACGTTACAAAACATAAAAGGTCATATTTTTTTTACAATTTCTTCATGGTAATTGAATTTTTCAAAATGACAATGCACTACCTGTCGTGATAGAGGAATATATATATATATATATATTTTTTTATATAAAATATAGTAGTAATAAAGCCATTATAATATCAGAATACTTTATCAAAAGTGTAAATCAATTTTTCTAACATTTTTACACAGTTTTCTTAGTGAATGTTACATAACTCAGTGAAAAAAAAAAAATATTTGTCTTAAAGTAAAATAAATATTTACCTATTTTAGAATAAATTTTATTTATTTAAAAAATTTGTATTTATTTCAAATAAATTATATATTTAATTCGAATAAAAAAAATTTCTTTAGATTATGAAATTGAAAATATAAAAAAAATGTTCTTTCTACACATATTTTAAGGAGAATTTTTTTTTTTAGTTTTTAATAAATTTTTTTTTTAATTTACAACTTTTTTTTTTACTATATATAGTGTAATTTAACTCAGTTTTTAGAATATAGATTTGAAATTAGAAAAATAATTTTTTTAAGTGTTCCATTATTCCAGTGAAACATTTAATAAAGTCTAGAGTGTGCGTGTATAATATATGGCACTTTTCATGAATTTTCTATACGCACTCTGTAAATAAAGTTAGACATAAACATAAATCAATAAAGAATAACTGTAAAAACAAGTTCAACACTATTCACTTTTACCCTGACCTGTTCAAACATAAATATCAATCTTCAAACAAGAAATGCTTGGAATTCCAATTATCCCCTTTAGAATTTTATACTTTTATTTGGAAAATTGATCCAAATAAAACTTATTTATTGCCTATTTCAGTGTTATAATGATTGTTTGAAGAATTTTTCTTTTTCCTTTAATATTTCGACCAAAGCCGTTGGCGGCCTATTTTTCAAAAATTCTAATATTTTTAATATTTTTGTAGAAATATTATTTCTATATTATTTTTTTATTTAAAATTTAATATATTTTTAAAAAAATTATTTCTTTTTTGATAATTGTTCATAACTATGTTTAAAGTCTAAATTTCTTTTGATTATAAGTTGTAATTATTTTATTATAATTATATGTGAATTAATTTTAATGTTGTTGTATTAAATTTCCAATTTACAATCTTTTTATACATTTTTTTTCTAGAAAATGAATTAATATTTTTTGATCAAATTTTGCTTAAAATTAAGTATTTTTAATTTACTTTCATATGATCTATTGAGTTTTTAAATTATTTATGTGGAAATATGAAATATTTTTCCTTAAATATTGAAGTTTTACCAATTTCCAATACCAATATTTCCTCTCCAGTGAAACGTAAAATTACAATTTTGGTTTTAATAATTCAATTGAACCTTCCTTTCCTTGGATTCAAAGTTTCGCGTTGATATTTTCCCAGTGATTTGTTTATTCATGATAATTGATGGAGTTTTTAAGTATACTGCAAAAAAGAAATTTAATTTAAATAATCGGTTACTTGACTATTATCAAATAAATATTTATTTGTATTAAATAATTACATATTATTTAAGTCAATTAAATGGTATTTGTTTTTAATACAGAAATTATTGCTCCAAGATTATTTAATTGAATTAAAAATTCTTTGGTTCAAGTAAATATTTATTCCATGTGAGATTTTGATTCAAAAACATTTTTTTTGACGGATATATATTTTTTTTAAATATGAAAATACCTATTTTTTTATTTCTCTATTTGATAAACATGAAGTTATGATTTTTATTAAATTAAAAAAATAAGTATTTTCTTATTTTTCATAAGGATTTCCGGAAAAAAAAATGTTCGTTAAAAAAATCTGACGTGAAATACCTACTATAATACTAATAAGAAACTTATGTAAACCAAGTCCATTTCTGGGCCATTAGGCTGAAAAATAAATAATATTATATACTAATAAAAACTTCTATTATTAAATTATTATTTTTTATTCGTATTTAAAAAATTATTTTGCTACTATCCAGTTAAAAGTAGAAAATAAGAAAAATGAAGATATAATGAAGAAAAAAAGTAACAGTTTATTACACATTACACTTAAATTTAAAAAATTTATAATATTTATTTATATATTAAAATAAATAAAAATTTTCTCATCCTTTCGATTTTCAGTAATATAAGAAGAATGTTATCCAAGGCTTTGCCGAATGTAAATTCGGCATTTACGTAATTGCAAATTGAAGAAAGTGAATGATTTATAAGAGGGTTAGGATTCTGGAATGAAGATCAAATGAAGATGAATCGATATATCACCTTGAACCAACTGGGCGATGGAACATTTGGCTCAGTTGTTCTCGGCGAAAGAATTGATACTGGCGAGAAAGTTGCAATCAAAAGAATGAAAAGGAAATACTATTCCTGGGAAGAAGCTATGAATCTTCGAGAAGTCAAGGTGTTTATATGTTTCAATTAATCAAATATTTTTAATATTTCCAAAACTAAAAAAAAATAGGTATTGAAATATGATTTTTACAAAATTTCAAAATGAAAAATTTTACTTGAAACAATTAATATTTCAAGAATTTGTTAAAAATAACTAATTTAATAGTAAAATGTCAATTACTATTTCCAATAGTAAAATATCTAGTAATATTTTAGTTAAAAATAACTAATTGCACACAGGTTTACAAATTTAAAACTTTTTTTTTGCCAATCGAACGAAACATTTTTTTTCGATTAATAGGTGTTTTTTGAGTAAAAAAAACATATTTTGAATTTTTTTCCTTCGTTCAATTTTGCTGAATCTAAAAAAAACACATTTTCAAGGTGTGACGTCACTTAAATTCACCTGTAGGAAAATCAGCTAGTTCAAATATAATAAATAATATACCGTTGGAAAGGTAATTAAATTACTTTTCGAACCGTCCATTATAGAATAAAATCGAATGAAAATTGACAGACATATATAGTTGATCAAAGTTCAAATTTCATGCAAATTTTGTTGATTTTTAGATACTTGTCTAAATTCTGCTAATTTTTTCTAATTCAAATAAAAAGAGTTCATGTTTAAAATCTTTTATCGATAGTCTATTTAATTACGAAAATTTTGAGCCCAAGTAGAGCACAATCGGATGAAAGATAAAAATTCTACACTAGATTTAGTGAACTAAACAATTTTTAGTAAACTTCTCAAGTGATTTCGTTCTTAATCTCTTGTGTATTAAAAAAAATCCATTTCTTTGATAAAAATTTAAATATTTTTTGATTATCATATGATAACGCTCTACAAATTTATTCTACTTTGTAAAAAAAAATGTTTTGTGCAATAAATCAATACCAATTTCGAAATTGTATAAATAAAAAAGAAAAAACGTTTGCAGTGAAATTTGCAGTAAAAATTCAAACTATAAAATAAATTTAAGCTAAAAGGTTTTAAAAATCTCTAATTCTCTAATCTAGGGTTTTTCTTACTCAAAAAACACCTATTAATCGAAAAAAAAATGTTTCGTTCGATTGGCAAACTGTAAACAGATGTTATTATAGTTAAATTTACTTTTAATTGAAATAACTGTAACGATGTAAATCGTTACTTATATTGGTTGGTATCTGTCAGCGTTTTCGCCCCTCTTGATCTATCAGCTGTTTAGTTTTTCGTGTCAACGTGCCATGAACATGTGTTCTGGCAGTTTTTCTGCGTGAGGATGTGCGCATGTTTGTGCCGCCTAAAGGCCCGATTGTCAGCGTCGTTATCTAGGTTTTCCGGAGAGCTGCCGCCAAATCGTCCAGGGAGAAGGATGGAGCGATAGGGGTGACGAGGAAAAGGGATAGCGCGCCCCTCTTAACTGATTAGGAGATCTAGGGGAAGTTGGCGTCAATAGTCAGTCGATTTTGGATCGTATTGAAAGGAAGACCCTTTCGCGGGACTCATAATTTATAATCGCGTTATACGCTTAATTATTCAATAAATAGTTGTATGTGTGAAATAAATCTTTATTCGTTGTTAACTAAATGTGTGTTATTTGTCGTTATAATATTTTCGATTTATCAGCGTCAGTCAACGTCGTCTTAGTGTCGGCATTTCGACATTGCTGAGTTCTTTTATGGTTCATCTTGTTCTGGGATCATCAATGCACCGATGGTTCGACTTGGTTGGAATCTCCCTTTGGTATTTTTCAGAGGAATTTAAGATAAGTATTTAGCGTTCGATTAATGTGGACGGTGCAAGCGGGTTTCCCATAACGCGCGAAAGTCCACCATTATAATTGGCATCCCTTGTGGGGAGGCTTTTGACCAAGCATAAAAAACAAGATCATTTTTGTGTTGTGTTTTGTCATCGAGGAGAAAATTCCTGTTTTGTCAGCGTGTGTGACGGTTAAAAATTTCGCGCGGTCGTGTGCCGGTAATGGTGTCGCGAGGCATAATTTCAGTGTACATTGATTATTGGAAATAATCAATCAATTTCTCGAACTAAAAAAAAAGGAAGTAAAAATTAACTGTAATATTTAATATAATTTTCATATTGTTCGTGGAGCATCAGTGAATTTTTTTTATGTGTGCCGGTGAATTTCGGCGTCCTTTTAAAAGTTAATTCTCAACATGTGCTCGGATATGACGTCATGCGTATGACGTTGCGCGAACAGTAGTCAGCTGGGAGTTTAAAGTCAGCGTGAAAGAAAAAGATTTTTAAATATTGTCTGTCAGATAATTTTCTATTTTCGAGGGTAAATTTATTGAGAAGTGAAAGTGTTCGAGAATATAATTTGAAATAAATGTCAAGTTGCGAGTATTTTTTATGAGTTTTCTATCGTTGAATTGAATTTGGATTTGTTTTATTATTTATTATTTTACCGAGTGTGATTAGAGCGAGTATTAGAATTTATATCCTCGACTTATAACACACTCTGTCAGTGAAATGAATTGAGTAGTGTAGCGCCATATATGAGTTCTTAGAATTCTCAGCGTTTTCCTTTTGAACTACGTGAAGATCCTTTTCAGAGTTAATCGACCAGTGTGTTTAAATTTTTTCTATTATTTCAGTGAGTGTGGATCTGGATTTTAAGAAAGAATTTGTCAGCGTCAAATTAATTTTTTTTTTCTCGTTCGCGAATTTACAAACCTTGTCAGGTGACAAGTGAGATTATCCTCAATTCTCGAAGAGATTATTTATTGAGAGAGTTTCATTTTTGAGAAAAGTGAAATTAAGCGATTATAATTGCCGCGTGATTTAGTGTGAGTCAGCGTTCGGTGAATTAATTCGTTTTTTAGGTGTTAATTTTTCTTTCTTTCTCTAATAAAAAAAAAAAAAAAGAAAATTATTTATTTAATTTTTTTTTATTAATTTGACACTTGTTCGCGACGGACAAAACTTTTTTTTTGTGTTGTGAACGTTTGGAAAATGTTTTATTGGACGTGATTTAGTGTTGCGGGTGCAACATTTATCAGAGACTATTCCTTTTTTTTATATACGAAAAAAGCGTGTTTCTTGTTAGCGTCCAATTTCATTTGGAATAAATTAATGAATTAATTATTCATTCATTTTATTTTGGAATTTTATTTTGGGGACTGAATAGAGATTTTTTTTTTTTTTATCAATGAAAAATCTTTTCTCTCTTACTCTTATTATATTTTGTGTATTCGGTAAATCGGTACGAGGAAATCAGCGTAATTCAGTGACAACTCAATTGTTTTTAGAAAACGGAAAGAGTCGTATGAGTGCCGCGATTTAGTACCAGGGAATTTTTTTTTATTGAGAGTGTTTTCTGTTTTTGTCAGCGTTAGTATTTGATCGGGTAAAGTGGATAATTTTCCGGAATTAGTTTCGTTATCGCGAAGAGTGAAAAATTTGCTTTCATCGACAATGGAGGTATATCAGCGTCACTTCGCGAAACTTTTGGAAAATCCGAATATCAGCGCAAATTGGCAATCGATAACGCGTATGCCTATCAGTGACGTCGTGAGAGAACTGATGAGTCATAATGTGAGCACATTAGGTACGGTGCAGGTATTGCGCGAGCGTTTATTGCGTGTCCGGGCAAGACTAGTTTATGGCGAAATAGTTTTTGTTCCGTGGATTAAAAAATTTGATGCTAGAGATTCGGATGAAGTTTTTCTGGTGGAGGCTATGCCGGATCTAAATAGATTACCGGTACCGGAAGTGGATTTGACAACCGATCAAATTGACGCGAATGACGAAGTGGAGGTGAATCAAGGTGATGACGTGGCGAGCTGCGTGGATTATAACACCGGGTTAGATCAGCAGATACTAACGACTAGTGAGTCAGCGGGTATGACTCCAGCCATAATATCAGTGGCTAATACGGCTGTTAGCAGTGCGGTGTCTAATGTAACGACAGTAGCGCCGACGGTGACAAGTGGAACGTCCGGGACGTCTCCAACAGTAACTTGGGCATTACCGAGCTCTGGTGTGGCTACGCCTAGTTTTGTACCACCTATAGGGAGGTTTAGTCAATTCGACACTCGAATGTGCTATCTCCCCCATAACGGTACGGTGTTTACCCATAATACTAATACCGAGGTTAATTGGGCGTCGCGGCCTCCAGAACAAAATAGTCAGCGTCAGGGACAAGCGTTACGGAACTCAGCGTCGGCTCCGCCTATGCAGGGTACTGATAGTAACCTAGGTTCAGGTACGGTACCTAAAGTTTCACAACCACAAAACTCATTCAGCGAACCTCCATTAAGTTTCCCAGATCAGTGTCACGATCGCGTGTCCGATCTGGTCAACGATATTAAAAAGGTTTTAGACCCGCCTGAGAGAGAAGAGTGGGTAAAGAGGGGTAGAAGGGAGGAAGCTAAGTCTTATGGTGGGGGCCATGTCGGAAATACAGAGGCAAATTTTAATTCTCGGGAAAATAGCGGTAATTCAATGCGAGGCCATTATGACTCACTTTTGAACTTGTCTTCGGATGAGTCAGGATCGGAAGACGAATATGGCCCAGACCAGGCCCAATATGTACAAGGACCGGGTACGCGTGAAATCTCAGGTGCGCGCGCAGCGAAGCTTTTAAAGAGCTGGAATTTGAAGTTTTCAGCGTCGGATAAAGAAGATCCGGGCGAATTTTTAATTCGCGTGCAGGACTGTAGAGAATGTTATCAAATTTGCGACCAAGAGTTATTAGCGGCAATCCCTAGCGTTTTATTAAATTCAGCGAGTCGTTGGTATCATGTCACCAGAAGAGAAATTAGATCGTGGCGAGTTTTCAAAAAGTTATTCTTAAGAGAATTCAGCGGTGCTATCGACGAAGAGGATTTGTGGGAAGAATTAAAAGCGCGCACTCAGGCTAAAGGAGAGCGAATTTCTTCTTATTTAACCAGTCTTCGTTTAATTTCGCAACAATTTAAGCGTCCGATTTCAGCGTCTAAAATGTTGAAGATCGTGTTTCGAGGGTTGACACCGGAGTACCGCCGATTCGTAGCAACTTATGATAACATTTCGCTTAGCGAATTGGAAAAAATTTTGCATCGCTACGAACGTGTTCGTGACATAGATAAGCATTATGCCCCACCTCCACCTAAAGATAAAATGAGAGTACCTTCAGCAGCTCCTTCTGGAGCAAATAAGGCGCATAAAATAGACGCGTTATTAGATACGTCAGCGTCTGAGTCCGAAGAGGAAAGTAGTACTCCCAAACCCCCCAAGAAGAAAAAGAGTAAGAAGCAGTCACCAAAGAGAATGAGATCGAGTGATAATGTTAGCGAACCTGTGGTTGAAGCGTTTATGACAGATGAGACGCCATCTAGAGGAACAAATTTGGTACAGCCTAAATCTGTTCAATCAGCGCAAGGTGTTCCCAATAGTGGACCGCCTCGACCCCAGGTTGGCCATAATTTTGGGCAGAAGCGTGGCCCTCAGTGGGGACCTAAAACTGATACTGGTCAATCAGCGTCAGGTCAGCGTCCGTACTTTGCCCCCTGTAGTGTGTGTCAGGTGGTCGGCCACCGAGCTTCAGCGTGTCCGATGAGGGTGTGTTTTGCGTGCAATCAGGCAGGTCATTTTGCAGCGCAATGTCCAAATAAGGGACAGCCCCAACAAAGTGTTGACAGTTGTCAAGTATGTGGTACCCGTGGGACAGTGTTTTCACAATGTCCGAACTGTGCCGCGTTCAGACAGTGGGTGGAAAACTGTCAAGGGGGGGGACCCAACGACCCTCCCCCCCCGTTAGCGAATCAGCCTCGTTAGTCAGCGCTCCATTCGTTAAAAATGATTGTTTTCTGCGGGTGAAATTAATGGAGTATTCAGAACCAAGTAACGATTCGGGAAGTAGTCAAGGTAATGTTCAGGGGTCTGAACAGTGTGTAATTAGCGCCGATTTTGCGACTAGTCAGGACGTGTGTCGTGGACAACGTCCAGAGTTACTAGTGAACGATGTTCAGGGGTCTGAACACAATGTTCGAAACAGCAAAAGTGCGACTAATGAGGACATCTGTAGGGTACAGAGTCCTCAACTGCTGGTGAATCATGTTCACAGGTGTGAACAGAGAATTCCCAGCAATATTATTGCGACTAGTGAGGACGTGTGTCGTGGACAACGTCCAGAGTTACTAGTGAACGATGTTCAGAGGTCTGAACACAATGTTCTAAACAGCAATAATATTCCGACTAGGGAGGCCGTATGTTGTGAACAACGTCCAGAAACTAGTCCCAACAAGTCTCAGAGGTCTGAGCAAAGTTTGTGTAGAGAGTGTATTAGAGATGTTGGGGAATTAGCGGGTGATTTAATCAGCGTCTTGAAGATTCCGGATGAATTAGAGAGTCCTAGTGTTAGTGGAGCTCCAAGTGCTGTTCGAGAATCAGCACGTGTAGTCCAGGAGGGGGTAGGAACTGCAGATGGTGCAGTTGAATCCCCAATCATCGACGAGACGGATTTCGGGAGTATCAGCGACAACAGACGTTTCTTTAAAGTATTTTTAGCGGATCAACCATATTTAGCGTTGTTTGATCCGGGAGCGACAGTGTCAGTTGTAGGTCCCAAACTCGCGCAAAAATTCAAGGATCGTTTAGTAGGCATGAAGTCAGCAATATATAGTGCTATAGGCGGATCCACCAAGTCTCTTGGAAAGTTGAAGTTATGGTTGACTGTTGATGGTTGCACCAACTCTTTTGAGTTGATAGCCATCGACTCTTTGTCCCATGATTTGTTGCTTGGTAATGATTTTTGGAAAGAAATGGACATTGAGGTCCAATTAGGTAAAGGTTTATGGAGAATTAGTGGCCGCGAATGGCATGAATTCGCGGAGAATAGAAATGAGCGTCTGGACGGCACAATTTACGCAAAGTGTGCGGGTATTTGTGATTCGACGTCTGATCAGCGTCAAGAAGTCCAGAGGTTAGTAGACGAATTAGTTTTATCCCAAACGGTTGAGCACGGGATGAAAACTCATACTGAGTATCATATCAGCGTTTTAAACTCGACGCCGATGAAACATTGGCCTCGGAGCATGTCAGCGATGATGTTACATCAGTTGATTAAAAAAATTAACGCGCTTTATTGTTCTAATACGGTAGATCATATAAAGCGTTTGGATGCGTTGCGCGTTTTAGAAGTAACATTTATTGAACCTTCATTAGTGTCGGTTTACGACTTAAAGTCCAATAATATTCGTCGCACCGTTAATGCGCTCTTATTCGACTTAAAGCGTTTCATTCCTCCTCGTCTTGGGTTGCCATAATCAATGTCAGCGTCCAGAGAGAGTGAGTCTCTGCTGGAGCACCTTCGGTTCCTAGAGAAGCAATAAGCCAGTTGGCCAGAGGAATTGGCCCAAGTACCGCGAACCCAATTTTCGGAGGAGCGACAATGAATTTTTCTTTACAATATTAGATGAATTTCTCTGTAAAGTAATATTTTCGGAATTCAGCGTTTCGTTTTCGTTTTGGGTTTTATCGGCGATAATAGCATGCTATTATCGGCCTAGGGAAGGGGTTTGTAACGATGTAAATCGTTACTTATATTGGTTGGTATCTGTCAGCGTTTTCGCCCCTCTTGATCTATCAGCTGTTTAGTTTTTCGTGTCAACGTGCCATGAACATGTGTTCTGGCAGTTTTTCTGCGTGAGGATGTGCGCATGTTTGTGCCGCCTAAAGGCCCGATTGTCAGCGTCGTTATCTAGGTTTTCCGGAGAGCTGCCGCCAAATCGTCCAGGGAGAAGGATGGAGCGATAGGGGTGACGAGGAAAAGGGATAGCGCGCCCCTCTTAACTGATTAGGAGATCTAGGGGAAGTTGGCGTCAATAGTCAGTCGATTTTGGATCGTATTGAAAGGAAGACCCTTTCGCGGGACTCATAATTTATAATCGCGTTATACGCTTAATTATTCAATAAATAGTTGTATGTGTGAAATAAATCTTTATTCGTTGTTAACTAAATGTGTGTTATTTGTCGTTATAATATTTTCGATTTATCAGCGTCAGTCAACGTCGTCTTAGTGTCGGCATTTCGACATTGCTGAGTTCTTTTATGGTTCATCTTGTTCTGGGATCATCAATGCACCGATGGTTCGACTTGGTTGGAATCTCCCTTTGGTATTTTTCAGAGGAATTTAAGATAAGTATTTAGCGTTCGATTAATGTGGACGGTGCAAGCGGGTTTCCCATAACGCGCGAAAGTCCACCATTATATAACTATAAAATTATATTGTTTTATTTTTTAAAAAATTAATAGAACTCTGCAAAAAAAATCTTCTACCATATATATGTGCCTAAAGAATCGTCAAAATAGTGTGAAAATCGATATTTTCGTATGATATAGATTTTAGAATTCCAAGTTTTTAAAAAATCCCCAGAAACCTCGTAGATTCATGTAGGATTATCTGCAACAAAATAAAAATACAAAAATTATTAATATTATAGACTATTATATACATATAAATAATAAATAAATTGTAATAATATTTATTATCACTAATAGTTTCTATACACTGATAAAAATAACATCAAAAAATGTGTCAAAAATGAAAAATCTAAAAATAACAAAAGAACAATGCGAATATAATCGATGGTTAAAAAGGCCTGCTCACCCTATATACATTTTGACATATTTTCATGGATCAACCATGTTTATATCAGTGTATAGTGTTCAAATAAATAAACAACAAATTTTCTTCTTCTCACAGTCATTGAAAAAATTGAGCCATGCAAATGTTGTGAAATTAAAAGAGGTGATCAGGGAGAATGACGTTTTATACTTTGTCTTCGAATACATGAAGGAGAATTTGTATCAGTTAATGAAAGATAGGTAAATATTTTTTTAGATTTAATAATTAAAATATTTTTTTATATAATACATTTATTATTATAAAAATTATCTCAATAATTTGCAATGAAAGTTTTCAAATATATTATTAATCAGAGAAATTTCTTATGCGAAAAAATAGAATTCAATAAAAAATATATATAAATCTCAGTGATAAATTATTTATTTTTAACGTCAAAATGTTTATTTGAAAAAAATTAATATTTATTTACTACTGAGATAAATATAGTTTTTTTCTCTGTAGTGTTAAATTAAAAAATTCAAAAAAAAAAAAAAATTCTCTTTTTAAATCTGACTTAAAAAAATATAAAATCCTCAGAGATAAACTCTTCCCGGAGCCAGTGATTAGAAACATGGTATTTCAAGTATTACAAGGACTGGCATTTATGCACAAACATGGCTTTTTTCATCGGGACATGAAACCGGAAAATCTCCTCTGTATGGGACCGGAATTAGTGAAAATTGCAGATTTTGGTCTTGCAAGGGAAATTCGCTCTAGACCACCTTACACGGATTATGTCTCCACAAGATGGTGAGAATGCATTGATTATTTGATCTACATTGGTATCACTTTTTACGTGTAATATATAATATATACATATATATCACGTTGTTATGCAAATAGAGCGACCCAGATTCATCTTTTATGTCCACTGTTAAATACAAACTGGTGCTTCGAAGCAAGTTCTCTTATAGCCTCTCTCGAGGGCTTTGACATCAACTTAAATGAACTTATTTGCATATAGATGTGCATATAAATATACCTATTTATTGAATTTATAGTCCACCACTTTCTCATTTTTTTTCACAATGTTATAGACGACTCCTATTATATACTATAGAAACACCTGTTCTTCACTTTTCTTTTTCTTTGAGATAGTTTAATGAAAAAAAAATAGAATTTTTTTTATTTACAAACAAATTTGTTTATAATTATATTAATTTAGTTAAATTTTGTTTTTTACAATATTTACAATAAAAAAATTATTTTTATTTTGTATTATTTTATTATATATTTTTGTACAATAAATATTGTAATATTATATTAAAAAAAAGTGTTAACAAATTAATTTTTAACATTTTGAACCATTAAAAGTTGTTTTCTGATAGACAAAATTTGACAATCTTTTTTTAATTGTGAAAAATTTTTAATTTTCATCCAAATGTAATTTTTAATGATTCAAAATGTTGAAAATAAAATTGCTCACACTTTTATTGAAAAATTTCTTTACTTAAGTTTTTTTTTTTTAATAAATAATAAAGTTGGTCTAACTTTTGTTTTGACTGACGGTCTGATTCTTTTATTAATCATTCAAGACATGCATTTATTATAAAGACGCATGTACAATGCACATCCAGAGAAAAATGTATACTGAAAAAAAATTATTTGATTCAAATAAAATCAATTATTATCAAATAAATATTTACTTGTACCAAATAATTATACAGAAAAAATATTTTCTGTATTTGAAACAAATATCATTTTGTTGACTTAATAATTATTTAATACAAATAAATATTTATTTCCTAATAGTCAAGTAACAGATTATTTGAATCAAATACATTTTTTTTGCAGTGCATTTATAGCAGAAAATTTTATTTGCGCTAAATAAAATTTTATTTGTACTAAATTAAATTTTTTTTATTTGAAAAAAATGAAAAGTTATTAGGCTCTGTGACAAATTAATTATTTATTTGTGTGTATAGGTATAGAGCACCGGAAGTTCTATTACATTCAACAACGTACAACAGTCCTATTGATATTTGGGCAGTTGGTTGTATAATGGCAGAACTTTATACATTTAGGCCATTGTTCCCTGGAAAAAGTGAGATTGATGAAATTTTTAAGATTTGTTCTGTAATTGGCACACCTGATAAAAATGATTGGCCTGAGGGTTATCAATTGGCGACTGCAATGAATTTTAAGTTTCCAAATTTTAATCGAACTTCTCTTAGTGTACTGATTCCTAATGCTAGTGAACCTGCTGTGATTCTTATGGAAGATATGTTACAATGGAACCCTATTAAAAGGCCCACTGCACAACAGTCTCTTAGGTAAAATATTCAACAGCAAATTAAAATCTGAAATCAAAAAATATTCACTGAAAAAAAATTCAATTGCAAAGAATTTTGTTAATTTAACAAATAATTAATTAATAATTCAACATAAAAATGAATTTTTTTTCAAATGAAATAATAGTTTTAGTAATTTAATAAAATAAATTTTTATCCATATGTAATTTTATATTTTATTTTATTTCTTGTTCGTTAATTTTTATTATTTACATATATATATATTTTTTTTAATATCTTCTTTATTATTTAATATAATTATATTTTCTATATTTTATGTATTTTTTCCTTTTTTTTTTTAGTGTGTTATTGTAACTTTTTGTTGAAAAACACATTTTTAGGTATCCATATTTTCAAGTTCGTGGACCCAGAGTAATTAGTAGTAAAAAAATAGGGGTAGGTTCCCAAAGGGAACTTGTGATGAATAAAGTTAATTTACCGCCTCCTATTCATAATTATAATTCTCAGGATGGAAGCGGCATAAATAATAGCAGGTAATTTAATTTATATTTAAACTTTATATATCTATATATGTAACCCTAAAATTTATTTTAATAATTCTAAATAACAATGAAATTTTTTTCTTAATTTTTATAGAAATTGAGAAAAAATTTCTTTATTCATATGTAAATAAAAATATAAAAACAAATTACATTTATCAATATAGTTCAATTTTTAAAAAAGTTTTTTAGTTATAAATAATCATTTTATTTCGAAAATTAATATTTTTGAAATTGTGTTTTTTTAAAAATTTTTTCTACTTTTTTGGAAAGTTTTCTTTAAAACCCTACAAGGTAAAAGGTCACTTTTTCTAAATCATATTTTATAGAATAAAAATAAAATTATTTTTCTAATAAACAAATATTTTCAGAACTTTGATGATAAAATTACAATTTATAATTTATATGTTTAGTTTTTGACAAAATAATTTTAATTCATATAAAATATTTCTGAAAATTTCAAAAACTTATAATATTAAAAAAGAAAATTTTAGAAATTTTGTAAAATTGAAAAAAAATTAATTGTAGAAAATATTTTTTTAAAAAAAGTGTACCCTAATTTTTTTTTTCTCCAAAAATGTACAATAATGTTGCGGATATTAATTATTAACATATAGATAAGTACAGGATTTTTCTAAATTTTTCAAAAAAATTTATCTGCTTTAAACATTATGTTTATAATTATTTTTACATCTGCATGCTGTTTTGAAAGTCTTGTAATTTGCACTAATGTAATTGAGAATCACTTTTGTTTTGTATTTAAGCTTTTTTTTTATAAATTATTATTTTACTGGCAAAATTTTGTAATACTATATAATTAGTTAGGTAATTCAAAAAAAAATTTTAGCTATCCTGTAATTTTCCAATTTTGTAGTGAAAATATTGTTTTTACAAATTTTTAAATTCTTCAAAACTTTTAATCAGAGAAATTTTACTGGTTGTCATAGCTGAAATTATTAATAATTTTAAAATACATTTCTTGCTTTTTAAAATAAAAAATTATTTTTCAATGATAAATTAAAAAACAAAAATTTAAAAAAGCAAAAATACAATCAATATTTTTTCCCTGATAAATAATAATCAAATTGAATATTGTTAAATAATAAAAAAAAATATATAAACCATTATTTCAGAGCGCAAGAAAAAGTGTCCCAGCAGCAAGTTTTACCTCTTCTGAATCACAACATTCGTAAACGTGAAAGTATTCCAAAATGGGACGACGATGATGACGACTTTGCAGATCTTCTCGGGTGCGTTACACCTTAACTTTAATTCTTCTTCAAAAAAAAAAATATTGATAACTTCTACCAATCATCAGTTTAAGCTCGATCTTACGATGCTCAGTATTCGTTGTTGTTCTCACGCATCAGGAGCAAGATCATCCCGGACAATTCCAACACGAAACTCGTACCTGAACGTGTCTACAAGGAAAATCGTGCCAATTGGAGCAGCAATTACTCCATCATCGAGAATCCAAAGGAAACCAATGCCAACTGGTCCCTACCGGCTTGGGATGAACCTCAACAACAGCCGAACAATTGGAATCATCATCATCATCATCAACAGAGCCAGAGCAACATGAAAAGTGCCAGGAAAGTCTCAGCCAAGCAACACTACCTCAGCGTCGCTCGGTACGTCGCTGGCCAGAGCACGAATTTGCCTTCCAGGTACCGATCCTTTCCCTCTCATCTCAAGCAAATTCTCATCGGCAACCTGACACTCGTCCTTGTTTATCTCATCGTTCGCTGCTACTTTTCTTCCAAAGATGACATCCACGAGCAATTTGTCAATCAAATTGATCATTTGCTAATAATTTCAGGCCTGAAAAAACCATCCTTTATCCAACAATTCACTAAAAATTATGATCCTAACGAAATTAATATCCTTCAAATTATTAAACAAATTCCCTATTTTGATAATTTCTCAACAATCATTAAAAAACGATTTCTATTAATATTCAAACACTATATGAATATCAATGAAATTTTCAATGATATTCTCCAAATTTTCAATATAAAAACCATACGACTCGATATTCTACAAATTTGGAACAATTTTTCAGATTTTACTCTCATTTGCTTCAATTATCTTCAAATTATTAATTTCGAATTATTACACATAATTTGGAATATTGTGATTTTTTTCTGTTTGATAATTTTCCAATTTCTTTATTTAACGTGTGCTGTCCTTTTGCAATATTTATCTCTAATAATGAGAACAATTTACAAAATTATTGCAAATGATATTTTTAAATTTCAAATAACAAAAATTCTCATTAAATATCCATGTCAATCGTCATTGGGTCGATTAGTGGGAATTTCTCATTTTTGTGAGCAATATTTTGGAGATAATGTGAAAAATTCTTGGTGGGATGTCATTGATAGTTATTTGTCAAATATCATTGAATATGGTAAAATAATAGTGGAACAAATTATTAAATGGTCACCGGTTATTTTTAATTTATTCTTCTCTATTCTTTGGAGAAATGAAAAATTAACATTTTTCAAAATAGCCTCATCATTGATCTTTTGTGCTATTTTCAAATGGTTTTTCTATCTGTGATAACAAAAAAAAAAATATATACATTGTAAGAAATTAATAAAAACGTGACGTGCATCAAAAATTTGACATAATTGTGGATTTTTTTTTTGTTAAATTAGAAATTCTAATATTCAATTTTTTTTGTGTTGGACTTTTTTTACAGAAATGGTGACACTGACTCGAATCGATCGAGAATTATGATGAATGGTGGATTGGTGAATTCGCCAACGTTGGAAAAAATTGAAGATTTCACGGAATCATTTTGGACGCCGAGGGAAAATTTGGAAAATCAAACGAGACAACATTATATCGCGAGAAATCGATATATTGCTGAACAAACGACAAAGTTGCCATACGCTAGTGTCTACGGTACTCAAAATATGAGTGAGTTTGTTCGTGTGGCTTGCTTCGATTTCACATATATATATGCACGCATATTTTTAGGGAGCTTCATTAAGATTTTATTTAATTTAATAATAATTAAATTCCATTTCATTTATTTTCTGATAAAAGGAGAGCTGCTAAGTGTATATGAGGCATTTCATATGAAAATACGGGGTCATGTCTCGGATTTTTCTCAAAATAGTACTGCTAAATAAGTGTAAAAAATTTGAATTTGAAATTTTTAATATTTTTCGAGATATTTACAATAACAAATTTGAGCAATATTTTTTAATTTACTTATAACTTTTTTCCTAGTAAAAATAGAGAAAAATGCTGTAAATTTTTTTTACGCAGAAGACCATAAACTTTTAGAAAAAAATTATTTTTTAAAAAAAATATTAATTTTTAAACAATTTGTTTATAACTTTTAAACATGTTCTCCCTCATTTAGAAGCGCGTAAAAAATCATGAATATTGTTTAAGTCATAATAAATCGATGATTAAATTTTTGAGATGGCATTATTTTTTGTTTTCGAGATATTAATTGATAAATATATAAATATATAAAATGTTATTTAGAAAAAGACTGAAAAATACAATATTTCAATAATCATCTGTTTATAATTTAAATTTGTTAAAAATGTTATTTACACTGGTTTTATTTAACACAGAATTAGATGATCTTCCAAATAAAAAAAGAATTGACGATTTATCTTCATTTCTTCAAATGTTATTAATTATTTAAATAATTTTTATTATTAATTATTAATATAACACCCATTTATCAGAAATAGTTCATATAGAGCTCGTTGGATGTGGATTTTGATAAGCATTCTACCCAGGTGCGAATTGTCGGTCGGCCCATGGTCGGGCCGACCATGTGCATGGTCGGCCCACCTCGGGCAGCCAGAGGTCGGGCCAACTAGCGAATTGATAACGTCGGCCGACCTATGGTCGACTAAGTTGGACCGACTATGGGTACCATAGTCGGGCCGACCAAGGCTGCCCTAGTTGGGCCGACCATCCTTGCCGACGGTCGGCAGCCATAGTCGGGCCGACCATGGCAGCCATAGTTGGGCCAACCTTGGCTGCCGACCATCCAACTTGACGGTCGGCAGCCATAGTCGGCCCGACTAAGGCAGCCGAGGTCGGCCCAACTATGGCTGCCATGGTCGGCCCGACTATGGCTGCCGACCGTCGGCTATGATAGTCGGCCCGACTATGGCTGCCGATGGTCGGGCCAACTAGCGAATTGATAACGTCGGCCGACCTATGGTCGACTAAGTCGGGCCAACTATGGGTACCATAGTTGGGCCGACCTTGGCTGCCGACCATCCAACTTGACGGTCGGCAGCCATAGTCGGCCCGACTATGGCTGCCATGGTTGGGCCAACCTTGGCAGCTAAAATTTTGCCGACCATAAACATTAAAATATAAAAATTTGTTATACAAATAACATATATTAGTAATCATTTTAAATTCATTATACATTTATTTTATATACTTAAACACTAAACGCAATCGTAAACATACATATATACAAATTAAAATTTTTAACGCTCGCAGGGATCGAACTCGCAACCTAACGCACCGCAGTCTAATACGCTAACCACTACACTACGCAATGACATATGAGTCACGGAGAAAAATAAATGTTATAAGCTACAGCTTGAAAAAAATTAAAGTTAGTAATTCAAAATAATAAATTAATCACATATAACCTTTTTTCTTTTTAAATTAATCAATTACAAGTAAATTAACAAAAACATTTTACATTTGTCAATGGTAGGAGAGAAATTTACTTTATGATGGTCGGCCCAACTATGGCAGCCAAGGTTGGACCGACCTTGGCTGCCAAGGTTGTGCCGACCATTTTCCCCTTAGTCGGCCCAACTGTGGCTGCCATAGTTGGACCGACTATGGGGAAGAATGGTCGGCCCAACTATGGCAGCCACAGTTGGGCCAACCATGGCTGCCAAGGTTGTGCCGACCATTACCCCCCCTGGTCGGCCCAACTATGGCAGCCAAGGTTGGCCCAACTATGGCTGCCAAGGTTGTGCCGACCATAATCCCCCATAGTCGGCCCAACTATGGCTGCAATGGTCGGCCCAACTGTGACTGCCGACGTCGGCAGCCATAGTCGGCCCAACTTTGGGTGCAAATATTTACCATGGTCGGCCCAACTCTGGCTGCCGACCGGTCGGCAGCCAGAGTTGGGCCGACCATGGGCCGACGAACCAACTCTGGCGGCCGACCGAAATTCGCACCTGGGATCGTGTTTCTTTTGAGAAAAATAATTCTGTAATCCTTGATATACCGACCATCGATATACTCGGCTGCCAGTCATGCTGACTACATTCCCCGTAGTCGGCCCAACTGCGGTTTTCAAAGTCATGCCGACCATTCTCCCCCTAGTCGGCCCAACTGTGGCTGCCATAGTTTGGCCGACTATGGGGAAGAATGGTCGGCCCAACTATGGCAGCCAAGGTTGGACCGACCTTGGCTGCCAAGGTCGTACCGACCATTGTCCCCCATGGTCGGCCCAACTATGGCAGCCAAGGTTGGCCCAACTATGGCTGCCAAGGTTGTGCCAACCATTTTCCCCTTAGTCGGCCCAACTGTGGCTGCCAAGGTTGTGCCGACCATTACCCCCATGGTCGGCCCAACTATGGCAGCCATGGTTGGCCCAACTGTGGCTGCCATAGTTGGACCGACCATTACCCCCCCTGGTCGGCCCAACTATGGCAGCCAAGGTTGGCCCAACTATGGCTGCCAAGGTTGTGCCGACCATAATCCCCCATAGTCGGCCCAACTATGGCTGCAATGGTCGGCCCAACTGTGACTGCCGACGTCGGCAGCCATAGTCGGCCCAACTTTGGGTGCAAATATTTACCATGGTCGGCCCAACTCTGGCTGCCGACCGGTCGGCAGCCAGAGTTGGGCCGACCATGGGCCGACGAACCAACTCTGGCGGCCGACCGAAATTCGCACCTGGGTAACGATGTTTTTAAAATTACTCTAATTTTATTTGTTCGTAAAATATTTCATTTTTTATTAACTTTTGTTAGTTTATTAATTAATATCTCGAAAACAAAAAATAATGCCATCTCAAAAATTTAACCATCGATTTATTATGACTTAAACAATATTCATGATTTTTTTTCGCGATTCTAAATGAGGGAGAACAATTTTAAAAGTTATAAACAAATTTTATTTTTTAAAGAAATTGTTTATAAATTAATATTTTTTTTAAAAAATAATTTTTTTCTAAAAGTTTAAGGTCTTCTGCGTAAAAAACATTTACAACATTTTTCTCTATTTTTACTAGGAAAAAAGTTATAAGTAAATTAAAAAAATATTGCTCAAATTTGTTATTGTAAATATCTCGAAAAATATTCAAAATTTGTAGACTTATTTAGCACCACTATCACTACAATTTACCGAATTTTGAGAAAAATCCGAGACATGACCCCGTATTCTCATATGAAATGCCTCATATATCTGAACACTTGTTTGCTCTCCATAAATATTTTTCTACATAATTTGAAAAAAAATCGGTAATATTTATTTTAAATCGGTTTTATTTATATAATATTTATTACTATGAAAGTAATTTTCACTACTTGATACCATTCTTATGAAAATTAATAGAAAATTATCCTATAATAGAACTGTCATTCTTTTTATATTAGATTATTCTGAACATTTTTCACGATGGTAGCAGCAATATAATTTGTTTTTTTATTAACATATTTCCTCTTATTGAGAGTACGTATAAAGTTTATTTAAATATTTATAAATTAATTAATTTCATAAAACAATATATCTACTTGAAAAAGAAGGAAAAAATGTTGATAATTTTATAAAATATCACGAAATCATTTATTATTTTGAATTTAAAAACATAACCTAAAAAATTTAGTTTAAAGCTTACTTCTTCTGTTTTGAGGTGAACGATCGAATATCATTTATGTCTTTATTAATTGTTGAATATTTATTTTCAATTAATTACAATGCTTTTTAAGTTATCATTTAATAAAAAAAAACTATTACCTTCAAAATCAACATTTATGCAAAAAAAAAAAACATTGTTTGATATGAACAATAATAATAAAAGAGACGTATGAAGTAAGATGTAAGTCCTCTGCTTAAGATAATCTTCTCTACTCAACCTTGTCAAGTGACATACTTTATATCGTCAAATCTTGTCTTCTTGTTTATATCAACAAATACTTTTGTGTTGATGGCTTTGAAGTTTAGGTATACCTAGTTTTTCATTATAATAATTTAAAAAATGTTATAATTTAATATGAATTTAACGAATAATCAAAGAAATAAAATTACAATAATTGTCGTCTGACTAAAACTATATTTTACTACTGATGAAATGCGTTTACAAAAATTCAGAAAAAAATTTTGGTTATAAATTGGTATAGATATTAAATTATTTTTTTCTTTTAGAACAATTTTTGTGAAAAATCAGTCAATTAAAAATTAATGTAAAATATATAAATTATGTTTTAGTACTCCTCCTATGAATAAATATATAATATAAAAAAATAAAATATAACAATTTGCTTTTAAAAAGTTAAAAAATTTTAAGAATATTTAAAGTTAAATTTTTTATAAGAATAATTATATTTTTTGATATTATTAGTTATAATTGCGTGCTATATTATAACGAGATTGCCTGACCCACATTTACTATATCTATACTTATTCTTTTAAATAATATATGATTAATATCAAGTGGAATCATTTAAAAGATATATATCAAATGGTTTGTCATACCTATTTATTTATTTATTTTACTTGTAAGTAAAAATGTGTAATTTTGTACCAAGTTTTATTGTTATTCATTATCGTAGAAAATATGTTAGAATAACTGATTTTGATGGTTAATTATTTTTTTCATTTATAAATATGTAATACATTAATATATTGTTAACCTAATATTTTTTATTCCTTTAGAATTTTTAACTATTATTTTTTTGTATATATATTTATATTTAATTATACTTATTTACAGACCTGTCTGACTAATATTATTGGTCTTTAGTATTGAAGCGTCAATACTGCATGATAATTATAATAATTATAATTATAATTGTACAAAATCTGACTATACAAATAATCGTAACTATCATGATTAAGTTTTTCTCGAATGGAATTGATATTTTTGTGTATATAGAATATATTTTCTAACTCTGAATTAGTAAAAAATGGACGAAGTTGAAATACGCAACGTTTATGATAAACGATTTTTAAAGAAATAATTTTTAAAATGAAAAATTTTATAATTTTTTACCTAAAAAATATTTTTTTATAATTTGTTGATTAATGAAAACTACAAGAAATATTTTTTAGGCAAAGAATTATAGAATTTTTAATTTTAAAAAATTATTTCTTTAAAAATCGTTTATTATAAACGTTGCGTACTTCAGCTTCGTAAAAATGGGCCACTAATTCACATTAGTAAGAATTTCCACTAATTTTCACTGTAAAATATAAATATTTGATTTAATTAGTTCTAATTCTTTTTACTAAAGTTTTCATGTGAAAAATGACTAAAAATTAGTTAAAATTCTTATACTAATGTGAATCAGTGATCTTATAGAATGTTGTTGCACTCGTTATTTGTTTGAAACTTTTTTTTTGTTTTGCTGTACTTGCACTTCTTAAATCTATAATATAGTTAGAGTTAAAAATATACTAATTTGTAAGAATTTACTAAAATAGTTTTAAAAATACTCTTAATGTACTTTTATTATACAGGGTGATTTTTATGATCCGGACCCTCTAAATTTTTTTTTTAATTCCATTATTTTAGTTTAAAAAACGAAAAAAATGAGAATAAAAATTTTTTTTTGGGAAAAAAAATTATAAAAAAATAATTTTCCGTTTTAAGAAATAATTTGTTTTCTAATCATTGACCATAAACATTGTAGACACTTTAGCGCATCTTGGTCATATGATAATTTATTAAATGTTTTTTAACAATATTGAAAGCAATTATGTATTGTCTCAATAATTTATTGACGTTTTGGTAACAAGTTGCGTGCTATTATTATATTCTTATATATATTTATTTCTATTTGTCTTCTACTTTGAAAAGAGTGGCTTAAAATATTTGGAATGTTATTTATTTTATTAAATGTACTTAATAAATGAAAATTATTGCGATTTAAAAAAAAATATATATTAATCATTACTCTTTCGATTTTCAGAGCCAGTGAGTAAAAATACGCTTCAGTCGAATTTATTCGGCGGATTACTCAGTTCAAGACCAAGTGGAGGTCTACATGGGCGCACTGATTGGGCAGCCAAGTATCTCAAATGATAAATCTAGAAAAATTGGTTCAAACAAAAAAAATCAGTGCATCGATAAAGGACGTGTAATTTATGTCCAACTGTGATAAAGGTGTGATAAGACACTGATTTTTTTTTTCTTTTTTTTTTTTATACATAAGAACCTGAATTCAAGTAATCAAGTCGTCCACGTGAGTATCATAATGGCTGATATAAATTCAACAAATGTGCTTCAAAAAATTAGAAAAACATGTCTCTGATCAGAAACATACATAATATGTAGAAATTGCATTGAAACAGTATTTGTCCCAAGAAAGGAGAATAATCAAATCTATAAGAGAAAGGAACTAACAAGTGTCAAAGATGTAAGAAAAAAATTAAGTGGTTTAAAAAAAAAATATCCTTCAAATTTTTAAGAACAGCTTTAGTATATTATTATATAACTCGACTTGTCCAAAATATTGAAAATTTCGTTAATATTTTCTCTAATTTTTAAATTATTATCTTTAAAATTTGTACCTTTACAAATTAATTATCTAATTTTTTTAATTATTATTATGAATGTATCACATTAAATGGAAAACATTCGTTATTCTATATTATAATATTAATTAGAAGTATTATAATTTCGCTAAATTAAAATAAATATTTTAATAAGTAAATTTGGACCAGTCTTGATAATAAGATAAAATAGCATAAATAATTAGGATTGAATTCGATGCAAAATATATTCGACTTGACAAAAGTTTAATTATATTACAATAAAAATATAAATAGCCTACGTCTAGTTGAATTTTGAAATGAAAAATTTATATTTATGAAGAAAAAAGGAAATTTTTCTTCAGACGGATTATAATATAAATAGTTAAATATAATAAAGAAAATATGTATATAATATTAAATTATAATATTATAATGAATATTGTTTGTTCTGTATGTATATTATAATTATGTGCGCGGATTATTAATTAATACGATTATTATAATAAATGTGATTATTAATTAATTTTCTATCTTTCCTAGGGAAAAATTTCCCTTTTCAGTAGAACCTTCGAAATAGGGTACAAAAATAGCCAAGTAAAAATAATAAAAATAGTATAATATATATATATATGTATTTATTAATATTTGTACATATTGATAATGCGATACGAGAGATGAAATCGTTGTTATTACGAAATTAATTTCTTATACAAATAGAGAAATCCGATAAACCTTTCTTACAATATTCGGATCTCTTTTTTTTTCTTGAAAATTAAAAATCGTATCGCACTCTTCTATAATTATATATATATATATACCTATATATATAATGTTCGGAAGTTTATTGGGGTCTACGATGAAAAATATATAATGTACAACAAAAAATTTTTCCATCGTTTTATCCCTTTTTTCATCTAAGCACAACCTCGAGAAAGCATATCCTTCGTTTAGATACATTCGAAGTCGAAAAGTTAATTAATTTCTTTTTTTTTTTAATATATAATTTTACTTATTAGGTTTAGTTATTATTTGTCCTTAAATTGTGAATTTTTAATAGCTCGATTATTTTTAATTAACTATCCTCTCTCCATATTATATTTTATTATATAATCTCCCTTTACTATTTCATATTTCATTATATATCTTATATATCATTATATATAAAATTTTATCACATATATATATGAAAAGACAAAAAAAAATCCATTGAAATCAAATAAAAATGATTTACTATAACAATAAATACAACTTTATTTATAATTGTACATGATTTTCAAATTTTATAGCCGTGTTAGATTTTTTTTTTTTTTATTTAAAATTAATATATTTATGATTATTATTATATTGAAAATAAAATTTTATTTGTCAAAAATTAAGTACTTGTTCAATCTTACATTTTTCATACCTGCTTTGCGTATATCTCAGTCTTTTTTTTTTGCATATAATTTTTCAAAGTTTGGGATTTCTACTTTTTTTGAAAAATTTTTTTTAATGAACTGTGTATACAAATTTGAAGAGTAGAAGTAAAAATATTTTTGTTTGGTGACAACACATTTTTTTTATTACGTTCACATTTTTCATTGCAAAATATTATTTTTTTTTTATTCAAATTTGTTGATATTTTATAGTAAAAATTTTGTCTTGTTTTTTTTTTGTTTTGTTGACAATAATTTTTGTTAATTTTATAAAAATTTATTTATGTGCAAAAAAAGAGATTCATTTTTTAATAAAATTTTTCTAAATTTTAAAGAAAAGTAACAATAAACTTTGAAAATTAATTTATATATTTCTTTTTAATATAAATTTTTTTTTAATGAATTGTTTTTTTTTTTTTTTTTTTGTAAAAATACCAAAAAAATGTTTTGCTACCAACAGAAAATATTTTCTTAGGTGAAAGACGCACGAATGAAAATAATTTAATATTTTTGTTTTATTTTTTTTCTGTGACTTTTATAAAGTATAAGGCTTAGAATTATATATTATCGTAGATGATGGTAAGAGGAGGCAATTAGAAAAAAAAGGTATTCTAATTTTTCTCAAAACATACAGTTTGAGAATTATTTGATGGATTATAGTTATCAGACTTTTTGAGATTTCTCTATTTCTGATTGGAATAATTATTATTTTATAATCATATGTATGTAGTGTGTAGATTTCCGAAAATGGATTTTTATCTTTTATTTTGTAAATAATGAGAAAACAATGACACATTTTTAGAATTACAAATTTAAATTAAACAATTTTATTTTAAACTTGTAATTCTTTAATAATAATAACAATAATAATAATATCATGAGGCTATAGTGAAAACGTTTATAGAAGTAGGAAGATATTTTTTTCGAAAAAATGTGACTTTAGTGCTCTTTCTCATTTTCTAGAAGCCTTATTTATAAACTTTATATGCGCTGATATAAAATTTGATTATGTCTTTCTACATATTTAAGAGATATGTCTTCTTTCTAACACGCAAAATAATATTTACTTGAAAATATTTCTTAAAAATAAATTTTAAAAATAAACTTTTAAGTCTATGTCAACAATTTCAATTTCATTAATAAGCAAAGTTTATATATTTTATTAACTTTCTTAGATAATTTAACTTTCAAATTTTTTTAATTCAAAATTCATTTTCTAAGTATTTAAAAATTCAAAAATTTCTATACATAAATTTTATATCAAATATAAAAAATAAACATATAAATAAAATTATAAAATAAAAATTTACAATTGGACATATTTCAATTTCAAGTGAAATTTAAAAAAATAATAATATACAATAAATATTTTCTTTTTTATTTACTATTTAACATTAATTATTTATTGTTGATGTAGGCTTGAGGAAATTTATTTTTAAATTACAAATTTTCTAAAACTAAAGTATTTTTTACAAACAAGAAAATATTTCTCAATTTATACTATTATATTCCTTGATTTATCTATATATCAATGTGATAACAATTTATTAATTCGCTCTTCTCATACACAACATCAAAAACACACCCACACGAATGAAGACATCAACAGTTCCAAAACCCAACATTCAACATATTAAAAATAATTGAGACTGGTTTTTTTTTTTTTTTTTATTATTATAATTACGATTCCAAGTATTTTTCTCTTTTATATATATTTATAATATATATGAGTATTCTATAGGTGATGAGAAAAAGTAATAAAAAAATAAAAATTGAAAAAGAAAATTTTTTTACTTCTCTTTTTCAAAATTTTTTAAAATGCTAATAAAATGCTTCTGAACTAGTTTATAATCTTCACTTTCGTTTTATAAGTTTGTGAGCAAGTGTTTTACATATACATATATATATATATATATTTATATATGAGTAGAGGAAAACAAGTAATTGACTTGAATGATGGTGGAATTTTGGAATTTCTAAATGTTAAAAATTGGCAAATCAATTCCAATCTATTATGTCCAAACATAATAATAACTATATTGTTTATATAACGAAAATAGAAAATTTATGCGAAGTTGCTTATAATAAATTAAATTACACTCGCAGTTTAATTAAATGCGCATAATAATTTAAAATTAACAAAGGAAAAAAAAAGTGGAAAATACAAATATTTTACAATTACGCTCAATGAAAAAAAAATTATTTTTTTTTTTTAAATTATCATTCTTTGAAAAATGTCAGAATATAAAATAAAAGAAATAACAATGAAAGAAGATGATTTTATTGAAAATAATATATAATGATTATGAAGGATTTAAATCTCACATTTGAATTTAATGAAGGATAGTATTGCTAATGGTAGCAGTAGCGTTTGCAACAATTTTTGGTAACGCTGTGGTTGTTAGATTTGTGAGACTATTATTTAAAATATTAGTACTATTAAGAACCATTGATGTTGTCAAGACAGTTGATAAAGTTGTAACAGTACTTTTTACCTTTGGAAGCCTTGTGATTTTCTCAATACTTGGAAATGTCGATGAAACGGCATTTGTTATAATATTCATAGTCACATTCCCAGCGGCAGCAATTATTGGCCTTCTTGGTTTGGGACAAATTTTTTTCGCCGACACTGAAGGACCCAAACATGCATCCAACATGTATGCCAAAAGAGATCCCACTGTCAGTCCAGTTGTATAAGAGAGAGTCATAATATTTCCTAAAAAAAAAAGAAGTTAATTAAAAAGAAAAATTTTATTAAATTGTATTGTTCAATTTTTTTTAATTAATAATTTTTTATTTATGTTTTTATTTTTCTATTATAATAAATAAATTTTATAATTTTTGTATGAATTTTTATTTTGTAATTTCAATTTCCATATTTTTAATTAAAATTATTTTAATTAAATACCAGTTAGTTCGCGATGCTCTTCAGGAACTTTGCTGGGAGCTTGAATCATAGGAACACTTCCAACAATACCATTTGTAAGACCAAGTAATAAAGAAAATAAAAGTGGATATCCTTCTCCTGATAAAATAGGTGACCTTCGAGGAATTGCACACAATAGGAAAAGGGGTATCAAAATTGCCCTAGCAACTGAAAAATATAATAATTGAGTTCGTGTCCATTCATAAGAAATCGATGCCAGCATCTGAAAAATAAAAGTCATTTTTTGATTTTTACATATTTTTAAATTTTAAAAAATATTCTATTTATTATTTTTTTTTATTTCGAACTTGATTGAATTAGATTTGGAGGTAAGAATTATTTTTTTTTTAGTAAATTTTTAGTGAATATTTTTCAGTATATAAACCAAATAAAATTTTTGGTATCAGAAAAATATTTTATTTGCTTGAATATGTATTTTATTATTTTTCATTTTTTCGACCACAATATATATATATATATTTTTTTACTAACCTTGCCTAATAGATCCGCAGCATTAAATGCTGCCATCAAAATAACTGGCATCCAAGACTCAAATTTACAGGAAATTATTTCAGACACTATTCCTGGATATAAACATAATGTCACAAAATAAGCAACTCCAATACTGGCCATATAGGGAAATATTAATTTAGCAACTTCCAATCTTGCGAGCATTCCTCCTGTAAATATAATTTGAATATCAAAAAATGTATATTTTAATTATAATATTTTTCATTTCAGACAAAAAATATATGTATAAATTTGCATTTGTAATTTAATGATTTTATAGCTCAAAAAAAAAATTAAATTAAATTTTTTTTCTTAAATTAATAATTAAATTATTAAATAATGAATTTTTAAAAAATCTCGTATGAAGCGAATGTGCAATAAAAAAGAGTAATTACAATTTGAACATTATTTGAGAAATTTTGACAGTAATAAATTAAATTAATTATTTTCTATCTCTTACTTTTGATACCGGACCAAGGTTTACTACTTTGACTACTGCTGTATGTTCCGCGTATAACAACTACGTCTTCGACTTTATAAGTTGGTCCAGCGCTTCCTGGAGGATTGCCTGATGGACCACTTGGTTCGTAAACTGGATTACTGAACGAAAACGCTGAATACTGTCCTGTGCGTGAAAATAAAAGAAAAAAAGTAATTTATAATTTTTATTAAAAATTTAAAAAATTTATTAATTATTATTTATAAAAAAAAAAAATAATTAACTGAAGTAAACGTAAAGAATAAAAAAATTTTTTTTTTACCATTTGCTAAATCACCACTTCCACTCGCTGAATCATTTCCCAAAGGGCTAGTTTGCAATTTCAAAACTCCATACTGTCCTTTTATTGGATCGCCAACTTGATCCAAAGGATCCATCTAAATTTCGAAAAAAAAATTCTATTACCATGTTATTATTATTATTATATTATTTTTGTAATTGATTCTAAAATAAAAAAATTTTTATACATTTATGTAAAGAAAAGAAAATTTTTATTTAATTTAAATTAAATTTCACAAAAATTTACTTTTAAAATTAAATTTTTTAAATTTAAACATTACTGTCGGTCTAAAACGTACTAAAACTACTAAAAAATACGTTATAGAAAAAACTGAACCATTCGGTCTGACTAAAATTTATTTTTACTACTGGTACTGTCTTCAAAAGACGTTAGAAAAATTTTTCTATAAATAAAATTCATATTTATTACTTATACGACTGAATCCAAATATGGAATAATAATAATAATAATTTAATATTCTTCATAGTAATTAAAAAAGAAAAATATATATTATAATAAATATTGTAACATAATAATAAAAAAAATGTAATGCAATATTAAAATAATAATTATTTAATAATAATAAAAATAATAATAATAATAATATATAAAAGAATAAATATTTTTAAAAATTGTACCAATCCAACGTCTTCAGTTGGCTCCAATGTAATACGATTTCGTTCTTGGCAAAGTGTAATGTAAAATTGAACAAATTCTGTTTTTCGCACAAGTTGATGAAGAACGAAACACATAACGATAGTTAAAATTGAAAGAACAAAAAACATTGATGTATTGCCACGTTCATCGTCCACCATTGATTTTGTCAGTATCCGATTAACAGAAACCCAAAAACCAGCAGCACCTTAAAAATTTTAATAAAAAAAAAAAACAATTTTTACAATCGAAAATAATTTTAAAAATTAAGAATTAATTTCATTTAAGGTTTTTTTTTTTTACTTTCTCCTGCCATAACAGCCTGTGTATATCGACTAGGAAGCATTGAAGTGTATCCATAAAAACTCGATTGTTGAACTACATTTAAAAAAAAAAATGTATAAAAATCAATAGAAATAATATTATTACATTTTTTTTTAATTTATAATTTTTTTTTTCTTTTACCTGTACATCCAAGTGAAACTACTGCAACGGCTATTAAATTAATAGTATATGAAGTCGCAACCCCAAAAAGTTCCCACCATATTTCACAGATAACGACAAAATTCAGTGTCACGAAGGAAACTAAATATCCTATAATTTACATATATATATTATACTTATGTGAATAATAAGAAATTATAAATTAACAAAAGATTTATTTTAAAAGAAGTTTTTAAAAAAATATAATTATATAAATTGACAGTAATATTTAATATTAATTTTTTTAATAAGAAGCTCCAATATTTAAAAAATTTATTTTCATTGAAATTTTTTCATTTAATCTCACCGAATGTTATCCTGGTATTGAGAGACAAGGTCTCTACGAGAATATTATTTGCAAAGACTGCAAAGAATGCCATTGTAATGTAGACAACAGACATATCAAATATTACCGTCGTTCCAGGATACCTCGCTTGAAAATAATCCACTGCGATGACAAAACTAAAAGAAAATAAAAAATTTAATAAAATTAAAAAAAAAAACTAAAATTCTTGTAATTATTTATTAAATTATACAATAATTTATTTTATGCAAATTATTAGCTACTATAGAATTTCTAAAAATTACATGAAGAAAAAGATGAAAAATTTCAAAAAATAGATATAATATGTAAAAATTTATTAATAAATATTTATTATTATTAATAAAATATAAATACAAAAATTTGTCTATATCATAATATATTTTTTAATACAAATTTATTAAATAAAATTGTAAAATTATTTATTGCATTTTTATAAATAACAAATATTTGCAAATAGAATGTTAGATATAATTTTTTCATCAACACTGTTTTATTTTTTTTTTCTATTTCTGAACAATATTATTAATATTTTTTATTTTATTTTTTTTTTTCATGAATTATAACAAATTAAAATTTTTTTTCACTTCACTAAATTGTAACTTGGCTAAAAAAATTATATTTTACTTTAAGAAAATTTATTTCTCGCTGAATTTTTATATATATACAGCCAATTATTATTCCAAGACAATAAATTTTCTTAATATACAAAATACCAAAACAAAATGTTCAATACGTTTGGAAAAAAATTTGGTTTCTAAAGGAAATTTTTTTTTTCCTAATTGTATACACACCCAGGGAAAAAAATATTTATCTCAGGAGCTAAATAAATAATATCTATTTCAAATAAAAATTTTATATACTCCAATAAAATCGTATTTATGCCAAAAAAAAATTTTTTTCATCATTTGAAACAAATAAATAATTATTTAGCAATTAATATTAAAATTACTTTCTACAAATTTTTTTATGCAAGTAAGAAAAACATTTTGTTATTTTCTATTTGAAATCACAAATTTTGTTTCTCAAAACCTAATAAAAATATTTTGACTAAAATCAGAGTATAGGAATTCAAAAATTTACTGAATTCAAATAAAAAATAATATCAATTATAAAAAAAAAACCAAAAAAGAAATACATAAAGTAAAAAAAAAAATAATTTAACTAAAAACAAATAACAACACCAAGGTAAAAAATAACAATAATGGACCAATGGAATCACCTATTATAGGGCATGAGAAAACCAACGCCGGCAAGCACAAGTGCAAAATAAATAAAATTGCATTTATCAACTGGTGGCGAAAGATGACTAAATCCATCATTTAGTTTTAATTCATTTATTCCTCTGGCCTTTCCAAGTTGCACATATCCTCGACTCAAATTTTCATCCATATTGACACTCTATATATATATATGTATATAATATCCCAGGGTTCGTGGAAATTTTTTTTTAAATCAATTATTTAAAAAAAAAATTTATTATTTCATATTGAATAAAACAATTTTTACACGCGCTTATAGCACTTTTTTTTAATTATACCCTCGAGATTCGGTGTTTTCAATATACAGACACAATTTTTTTTTTTTTTTTTACTTTTTATCACTTTCAAATCACACGAATTTATTTCTTCCGATCGAGCAAATTACAGGGGACCAGGAGTGTAATTTCCTTCTAAACAGAATATGAAGCGCATGCTTTAAAAATATGTCACATTGATTTCTGCGCGCGCATTTATTTATCCAAAGAATTAATTTATTAATGAAAATTTAAAGATTTTCAAAAATTCACCCATTGTTTATAAATATAGAAATAAATAATTATTACTCTGTATAATTAATATTTGATTAATTAAATTTCTTCATTTATTCAAATTATTGAATTACACACAGGGACCATTTTGTATATTTATATTTTCATTTTGAAAACACGACGTTTATTATATATTATAATTATTAATTATTAAATAAAATAAAAATAATTGATATAATAAGTTATTGTAAAAAATAATTATTATAATATTTTTGTTATTGTAAATTTAGTTTTATTTTAAAGATCTATTGACTTTCTTACAAAATAATGATAATCTAATTTTATAATTTTTACAATTAGTGATATTTAAATAAATAGAAAAAAAAAAATTAAAAATATATTTTTTTAAATAAATGAAATGGATTGTGTTTAATTATACACTATTTTTTTGGTAACACACGTAAACTATTGGTAACACTGTATACATTATGGGAAGTACAGAAATTGATATTTATCATATATTATTGAAAAAATCAACAAAATAATTATCTTACATTACACTCTTGTCTAAATATTAATAATAATAAAAATTTTGTTTTTTTCTTTTTAAATCTACCTTTTTTTTAAATTTCAATTTTCAAACATAGTAGATTCGAGAGAATCAAACGTGGTGTGATACATACTTCCGCTTCCGACATTTCGCCATTATTGTTAAAGATGGCGGCTTCTATCGACGGTGTTTTTGATGAAAAATTGCAAAATGCAATTCTCAAAAGTAAAATTCTTGTTGTGGGTGCCGGTGGAATTGGATGTGAAATTCTTAAAAATCTTGTAATGTCTGGATTCTTGGATATTGAAATTGTAAGTAGATTTTATATAAAAACAAAACTTAAACGTGACGCTATACCACCCCGACATAACCTCAATTTTCCCGCAAAGTTCCGACGCTTGTTCGAATTATCATGCGTATATTTTTAATGAAAAAACAAACAAAATTTGGAGATATTTTATTTAAAAACAAAAAATGAAACTTATTTTAAAATATGATTAAAACTAAAGAATTAAATTAATGCTAAGTACAATTGCTAAGTATGAATATATATTATTAATTTCAGATTGATTTAGACACTATTGATGTTAGTAATTTGAATAGACAATTTCTATTTCAAAAGCAACATGTAGGAAAATCAAAAGCTGCAGTAGCACGAGAAACTGCATTGACTTTTAATCCAGATGCTAAAATAATTCATTATCATGATACAATTACTTCGTAAGTTTTTAACGTTAAGTTATTTATTTTCATTATAATTTTTCTTTAAACTAAATATTCTTTATTAATTTATTTCACAGTGGTGAATATGGATTGTCATTTTTCAAAAAGTTTACAATGGTAATGAATGCTTTGGATAATAGAGCCGCCAGAAATCATGTAAATCGTATGTGTTTAGCTGCAGATGTTCCATTAATTGAATCTGGCACTGCAGGATACGAAGGTCAGGTTGAATTAATAAAGAAAGGTCTTAGTCAGTGTTATGAATGTACGCCAAAAGCGGCGCAGAAAACATTTCCTGGATGTACAATTCGTAATACTCCAAGTGAACCTATTCACTGTATTGTCTGGGCAAAACATCTTTTCAAGTAAGTTTTTCCATTACCAATAAATTTAAAATTTATTATTTTAAGTAAATTTAGAAAAAGAGTTATTAATTTTTCTTATTAATATTTAGAATTTCTTTTAATCTTAAATGAAAACAGATATTATATTTTTTGGCATTTGTTTTCATTTAATTATTTATTTTATTTTAATACTTGTAGTTTTAATATCAATTATAAGGTAATTTTATTATTTATCCAGAATATTCTGAAAAAAAACTATTTAATTTTAGTTATTCTAAAATATGTTATCACTTCTTTTTCTGATTGTAATTTAAAATATTATTAATGAGTAATTGAAATATTTTTATTCAGCCAATTATTCGGTGAAGAAGATCCAGATCAGGATGTTTCACCAGACACAGCTGATCCGGAAGCAGCTGGTAAATATTTAGGCGTATTTTTTTTTTTAATTTTATGTCTAATCGCTAAGAAAACGAAAATAATTAAATTTTTTTAGCCACTGCTGGTGAAGGTGCATTAGAAACAGAATCAAACGAAAAAGGAAATGTTGAAAGAACATCGACACGAACCTGGGCACAGGCATGTGGTTATGATCCGGAAAAATTGTTCACAAAATTATTTCACGATGATATTAAATATTTATTAAGTATGGATAATTTGTGGAAAAAACGAAGACCACCCGCGCCACTTGAATGGTGTAATCTTCCCGATGGAGGTAATTTAAATTAATTTTGTATTTCGATTTTTATATAAAATTTATTGAATTACAATATTTCTAATTTATGGAAATATTTATTTAATGTTCTTCATGAAAGTTAAATTAGGACCAATAATTTTTCAGTTCTAATAGTTTAATATTTTAATTTTTCTCGTTTCAAATTTAAAAAAAAAACTATAAACTACTTATTTTTATTTAATTTTCTTTTTCAGTTGCTGGATCTAGTAAAGATGTAAGCGATCCAGGATTAAAAGATCAACAACGATGGAGTATTGCAAAGTGTGGCTCAATTTTCGCTGAGTCAGTGAAAAATTTGAGTAAAGATTTGTCAAAAAAACAAGAAATATCACCTAGCGATCATCTCGTTTGGGATAAAGACGAACCAAGCGCTATGGATTTTGTAGCTTCTTGCGCTAATATTCGTGCACATATTTTTGGAATTCCACAAAAAACAAAATTCGACATTAAATGTAAGTTTTATGAGCCAAAAGTTTTGAACGTTCAAATGAACAAAAAATTTTTTTGTAACTTCTTTAAGTACGAATTTTATTACAAAATATTGTTTTCAATATCTAAAAAGAAGTTATGAATTTAATATTTGTTTAATTTACTGTTTTATTTTACATTGACCTTAAAATTTTTAATAATTTATAGATTCATTTGAACGTTCAAAACTTTTGGCTCATTAAGTTTTTAAAAATAATTTGGTGAATTTTTCATTTATATATATATATATATGAGGCACTCCACGTCAAGTGATCCGGGTCTAAATTTTAATTACCTGGGATCAGGTTTAAAGTCTGCTTAAACTTTAGTCCTACTAGATACAACTTTAAGTACCAAAGATTATTAATTTATTTAAACAATTGTAAAAAGTGGAGGGAGTCAAAGTTTTAATTTTTTGCTCTACATCGTATATTTCAAAAATCTGCAATTCCTTTAAAACATAACAAAAGAATGTTTATTATATATGAATTTTTTTGCATTTTTTACGCACTTTCTAATGGTATAAACAATTTTTCGAAAAAAAATTTTTTTGACCTTGAAAAAATAAAATTAAAAATAAAATTTTGATTTTTGAAAAAAAGACATCTTTTTTAACTTTTTTATTTTTTTTTCATAAAGTTAAGATAAGATAATTAAAAAATGCAAAAAAATTCATATATAATAAACATTCTTTTGTTATGTTTTAAAGGAATTGCAGATTTTTGAAATATACGATGTAGAGCAAAAAATTAAAACTTTGACTCCCTCCACTTTTTACAATTGTTTAAATAAATTAATAATCTTTGGTACTTGAAGTTGTATCTAGTAGGACTAAAGTTTAAGCAAACTTTAAACCTGATCCCAGGTAATTAAAATTTAGACCCGGATCACTTGACGTGGAGTGCCTCATATATATTAACAAAATTCAATGAATTAATCTTTGAAACATTGTTTTGTATTTGAATTTTTTTTTTTCAACAGCAATGGCTGGCAATATAATTCCAGCGATCGCAACGACAAATGCAATAATTGCTGGTGTTGTGGTACTTCATGCTTTTCGAATTCTTGGAGATAATTTAAATGAATGCAAATCAGTTTACTTGCGACTCAAGATGAATCATCGAAATCAACTTTTGGTACCTGAAAAGTTTGTCAATCCGCCAAATCCAAAATGTTATGTTTGCGCACCAATGCCACAAGCGACACTCGCAGCTGACACAACTAAAATGACTGTCAAAGAATTAGAAGAGTCAGTACTCAAAGGTAGAATGAATATGATCGCTCCAGATGTGATGATTGATGGTAAAGGTGTAGTAGTTATAAGCAGTGAGGAAGGCGAGACTGAAGAAAATAATGATAAACTTTTAAAAGATATTGGAATTATTGATGGTACAATTCTTAAAGTTGATGATTTCAATCAAAATTATTCACTAACTGTGACAGTAATGCATAGAGAAAAACCAACCGCCAAAAGTGATAGTCCAGAATTTCTCATTGTCGCCGATGATGAGAGTCTTAAGCCCAAGGAAGAGAACGAAGAGAAACCTTCCACATCGAACGGCCAGGTAATATTTAATATTAATTTTTTCATTAAGAATTATTTTATTTCATTGTCATCTGCAAAAAAAAAAAAATAATAATAATTGTCTTTATTTTTCAGCTTGAGACTGTGGATGACGATGCAGTTGAAATTGTGGAAACAGAAATGATTGTTGATGTTGATGTGGCCAAGAAACGAAAGACCGAATCCAATGAAAATGAATTAATGACAAAAAAACGAAAAATGGATGTTAATAATGGTCACAGTGAAAAAGATGTATTCACAATTGATAGTGGCGATTCCGATGACGAGCCACAAAATGATATCACAATGGAAAAAGTAATTTCGAGAAAGCACAAATCTTCGAGTGATGATGAATGTTCAATTATTTACGACGATACAAATAGCACGTCAACATCTAAGAAAGCTAAAACCGCCAATTAGAATAACTACAATTTTGGATTTTTTTTTTTTTTTTGAAGTATAATATTATTCTGTCATACTCAATAACGTGAACTCGCAGGTAATTATGCAACAGTCGTAAATTATTGAAATCCTTTTAAAAAAAAAAAAAAAAAAAAAAAGTTTAAAGAGCGGGAGTGTACTTCTTTCTATTATGGCCTCTTGCTTATATAGCAAATAGCCAAATTCTGAAAGCGCGACTGTATATATATATACTTTTTTGCAGCAATGTGAATATTAGAAATGGTCAATTTATGTGTTAATAACTAATCGTTTTTTGCAAATTACTTTTGAAATTAGAATCATTAACTTTTTTTTTTTATTACCGTAGGAAAGCTACAGTTTTTTCTTTTTTTTTCTCTCTCTCTCTCTTTCATGTAAGTCATTCAAATGAAGATTTTTTAAGTAATTTATATTATGTTCGATAAAAAAAAAAATCACGAGTGTAAAATTTTCTTTACGTATATTATGTCTGTCTCTGTTCTATTTTATAATACAAAACGATAAATAAATGTTAATGAATTGTAAAACTTTATTTGAATGATTAATACAGATTAAGTAATAAAATTATCACATTGCGCGTTTTCTTATATATATATATATTTACAAACATAAATTTTCTAATGATTATAATTATAAAATGAAAAAAATAAATAAATCGTTTCACTTTTTACAAAATAACCTTTTTGGTGTGCAATTATTTTGCAATATCCTGCTTTCTTTTATTGCAACATTGTATATATTTGTCTATTTTGTAATTAAACATTTCAAAGTCAATTTTATATTTCTCATATAATTTAAATATTGTTTCACATGATAATTTTTTCAAATATTTACATGTTCGTTGAAAATCAGTTAATCCACCGTGTGTCGCGTGTAGATTTATTAAATTTTCATCATTTTTTAAATTTAATTTTGAAAATATATATTCAATTTCTTTAGATGAATAATTGTCTAATTTCAATATGAAATTGTAATTTATTTCACATAATGAACAATGTTTGTAATATTGATTCCAATGATGATCGTAATTAGCTGATGATTCGTGAATTAAATAATTAATGAATTCTTGAAATGTTGGCACAAGTTTTAATCTGAAAAATGAAATGTTAAAAAATTTTTAATATAAAATATTTTTATTTTATTATTTATTTTTACTATAATTATTATTATTAAACCTTCTATCGATGTAGAATATTTTTTCCAAAGTACTGCCTGTTGTTGAGTTTGAATGAAATAATTTTGGTCTTGTTAAATAAAATATTTTTGACACATAAATCCATGCTTGGGCCGTAAATTTTGTATTATCTTCTATACGATCTCTGAAAATTGTTTTTTGAAATTTATTGTACAACTTAAAGAAGAATCGAATAGACAGTCAAAACAAAAGTTATTCCAACTTCATATTTTCGTATTTTTAAATAAAAATCTTCAAAATTAAATTCTTTACACTAGCATTGCATTTCTTATAAAGTATAAATTATTTTTTTTTATTCAAAAATTTTAAAATATTTAATTGTAGGTCTAACTTTTGTTCAAATGGTTTGTCCAAAATAAAATGAAGGAAAAATTATTATTATTTTTATATTAACAAAATTTCCCTTTTTGTATGCAAATTATACCTATATGAAGAAACCAATCTTTCAAAAGGATGTCGTACAATCAAAAATTTAAATGTATTATCATCTAGATTTACAGATTTCAATAATTCTGTACTTATAGGAGATAAAAATTCCATTTCCCTAAAAAATAAATTTGCAATTATTTTTACTTTATATATAAATTATTAATTAAATAATTAGGTTTAGATTAATTCTTATACCTGTTAAGTTGGTCAGTAACGTGATTTTTTTCCATATCAGAGAAAATTTTTGTGAAACTTGTTGAAGCTATTTTTCGTATCCAACAATAAAGTGCCTTATTTTTTGCACTGTATAAAAAATGTTTTCTCTCTAAAAAACTGGTTAAATTGTATTTTTCACAAATTTTCTGAATTAAAACAGAGAAAAAAATATAAAACATTAATTCCTTAATTTGTAAAAATGTCACTTTTTTTAGAAACAAGAAACATGAAAAAATGCACTAATCAAAAAAAATATATTATTCAATGTTACTTACCTGAAAATTGATATTCTCCAAATTTCTCGAATCGATACTTTTAAATTTTAACAATTTTGGCTCATATTGAATTAAATTTTTTCTTGAATTTTGAATTTTGCTAATTTTTAAATCAAATGAAAATTTGTTACTGTTTTTGTTTTCTAGTTTCATAAAAATAAATAAAATTGTTATACCCATAAACAAAAATAATACATAATTTTTTAAATACACGTCGGAAACCATTATTTTGAGTGGTGCTAGTCACAAAAGATGATTTCTAAATGAATTTCCGGTTAGAAGACAAAGTTTTGTAGGCGGAGAAGCTTCAGGAGATAAAAAATTTATCTACTTTGCGATAGAAAATTTATGTTTGACAATCAGTTAATTGATTAATTAATAAACAAAAGTTAAAAACAAGTTTGAAAAATAAAGAGTGTCAGAAATAAAAAAAAGTACCAAACAAATTTTCTTTTCAAATAATTTATTAGTACAACAATTACTAATTTCGTGTAGAGATAAAAAATCCCTAACGTAGGTACACATTTTCCAAATTTCAAGATACAGAAGAATTTTTTTTTATATTTATTTAAAAATTTCAAATCGTACCGAATTTTTTTTCGATAAAAAAAAAAATCCCAGTTGCAAAGTAGAAAATGTTTAAATGTATATCTACATCATATAAATGAATTTTCGCCATTATAATATTATTCTAAATTTTTCATTTCTTAATTATAAACATATATCTGCAAACAAAAGCAGTTATATTCCAAACTATATTATAAAGTTTTTTATTATTTTCCATTTGCTTATTTTTTAATTACTAAACTTATATTTTATAAAGTGCTGAAAGTTGCTTTATGGAATTTGAAATCCATAAAATCACGAGATCGGATTACTAACATTATAAATGAAAATTTCTATCAACAATTACAAGATTACAAATTGTTTTTTTTTCTTTTTTTCTTTGTCTATCACGTATAAAAGTTATTTATCGAAATTGATAATATTCTCACAGATTGCGCGGTGGACATACACACACATACAGTAAATAGTATACTGAAGTGAAATAGAATTATTATGCATTTTTATCTTCTATCTCGATAACGATGATGATGATGATCACGCGATGAACGATGATCACTGTGTCGACCATGACGTCCAGTTGTTCGCCATAAAAATTCATCAACACTTCGCTCATAGCTTCTCTTCTCTAAAGTAGAAGTTGCCGCTGTGTAATCCGGTGGTAATGGAAGACCATCATAATAACGTGGAGGAGGTGGCGGCGGAGGCAATGAATCATAAGGATGAGGTGTAACATACGGAGGTAAAGGTGGCAATTGATGTTGCATTGTCCGCATATAATCTGCTACATATGCTTCAGCAGCCGCTGCAACTCCCATTCCGGCAGATCCATACATTCTAGAAAAAATTTCATTCTTAATTTAAAAATTCCACTATCTAAAATATTTTCTCATCAAAAATCATCATTGTAAATCAAATTTTTAAAAAATATGCTTCAACTCATTTAAGGTAAAATATAATTGATCTCAATTGTATTAGAAACAAATATTAATTACTTAGAATATGGAGAATCACTCCTTCCGAACCACGATTGATAACGATGATGATCCCTGGAATTTCTGTGATCAGGTAAATGTCCAGCTCTTGCAAGTGATGCCAATCTCGATCTAGAAGTGAGAAACAATCGACGACCTCTTCCTCGTGATCGTAAAAATCTTGAACCACCGCCATTTCCAATTCTATCACGATAACTTCTCGATGATTTTGAGACATGTTTTCCTGCCTCTTTAGATTTTCTTAAAATTGGCGTCATTTCTATTCCTGTAAAAAGAATATTTTCAAATATCTTAACTGTCACTAAGTTTTTATTTTCAATTATGATTAATGATTTTAACTTTAACAGGCCTTGGATCGACTTTAAGGCGCAAAAAAAGTTCTTTTAGTCGATTTACATTCCAATTGAAATTATTAAATTCCAAAAAGTTTTAGATGGAAAATTTTAAAAGGTTCTAAATTGAAATTTTTGGTAATTTTATTTGATTTTTTTTTAAATTATAAAAAATTGTTGAATTTCATAAAATTTGTAATTGTAAAATAATTTAAGATTATTGAATTTGTGAAGAATTTCATTAAAATTATTAAAAGTAATTAATTTAAAGAAAAAATTTAGTTAAAAATTTGTTAAATAATTGAAATAAAGAAGATTTGAAGAAGATCTGCATCGCAAAGACTTATTTTGTTTTAAAATTTTGTACAAAATGTAAAAAAAAAATTGCATTTTATTTAAATAAGTTGAAAATAGTCGTTTAATCCGAGGCCTGTTTCAATTATAATTTTTTTTATATTTTATTATTAGAAAATTATTAGAAAAGAAAAAACTAAATCAATTCTCAAATTACCGTCATCTTCGGGAAATAATCTGCATAATTCCTCGGCAACTCGAGGCTCAATTTCCTGGCCGTCTCTTCCAATTTTCACCTGTTTACCATCATTCCAAGGATTATAAAGATGTAGAGTGGAAGTAAACGGCAATTCTTTTCTACATATCCAATCAACTTTGAATACGCCACCCAATGCTTTTGCCGACAATCCTGGAGGAAGAACCTAGTAGAAAATTGAAAGAAAAAAATATTAATACAGTCAATAATTCTATAAATCTCATAAAAATTCATTTTTATTATACTTTTATACATACCCAAGATATTGGAGCTCCATCTCTTTTGGAATCAGTGCTCAATCTTGCAAAGCCAGCAAACTTTCCCGATTCTTTAACCGAAAAAATAAGAATCACATTTCGAGACTCCCTGTAAGCCTGATTTAGATTTGCTTCATTTTGCGGTAATGTACTCCAAACGCCTTTTGCTTTTGAAAGCGTTATATTCTCCGCATTATTGGATTTGATGATAAAAAATCTGTTCAAACAAAAAAACAAAAAATACTTCCAAAATGTAACACTTTTCCACTCTTTTCTTAAAAATAAAAAAACTTGTGTTGGATTTAAAAGAAGTAGAAAAACTTATAATTATCTACAAAAAATTTAAATGGAAAAATTTAACAAATTTCTTTTTTCTAAAAATTATTTTTTAATTTAAAAATTCTTCTTTTCTTACAATTATCAAAAAAAAAAAAAAAAAAAAAGAAAAACTTTAAAGTACCCAACACTGAAAAGTAAATAATAATTAATATCAAACCTCGTATCTCTAAATAAGTAATTTAATTTTGTGGAATAATCATAATTTTTAGTAGATCCACTCTTGCTCTCTTTGGATCTTGCTCGTTTTGCTTCGGGACTCGAGGATTTTAAATCTCTCGATCTCGCACGTTTTCCCTTACTCTTTCTATTTCGTTTATTATCACCTCTAGATGATTTAGTCGATACAGAACTAATGCTTGGTTGACTAGAATCTGAATCTGAACTGCTCGAAGAAACTTCACTGCGTGTATCGTATGTTTCATCAGCAGCAATTTTTAATTCATCTCCCATATCATTTTCACCACCACTTAAATTCTGATTATCACCATCTGCATTATCCATAATTGTTTTGAAATTTTCTCAGGTACTGTAATTTTAATTCTCAAAGTTTCTTGAAAAATGTCGTCAATTTTTTGCCATTCGCGCCGTTTTTCGTCTCTTTCTTTCTCTTGAAAAAAAAAATCAATCGGGTTCTTTTGTCAATAGCCAGCGACTTTTTGGAATCTTTAAATGTTTTCTGAAATAAAAAATGGAAAAAAATATTATTAAACAAAATGTTTTAAATGCGGCTGTTTATGCCCAATACCAACAAATAGTGATGGGATTCACCCTTTGAGGTAACCAAACAAGAAAAAAAAAACCAAGTTTATAAATCCTACTTTAGAAATGACGAATTTTCAAAAACCTTAAAAATACCGTTTAGAAAAAATTATTAAATCGACGAAAGGGAATTGGAGAATTTTCTAAATAAACTCTTAAATCTTTAATATTTAATAAAAAGGAACAAAAAATTATTTTTCTCTTACAAAACATTGTAGAAGACGAATAAATAAATGGAGAAAATTGAATTTTTAATGGCATTAAAAATAAAATTGCTGTCAAGTGATTAAAAATAATTTTCCAATGGTGAATAGGAAATTATTATTTTTTTTTTTTATTTCAAATATCATTAAAATGTGGTATAGAGGAAAATAAATTAATGCCCATCACTAGTATGGATAATACATTAAACTGAAACTCGTACATCTTACAACATTTATGAAGTCGCGAATAATTTTCTAATGTTCTATACATATCCATCAGAATAAGAGTTGATATTACGTACGAATTAAAAACACTATATTCATATATAATAGTTTTTCTCCCGATCAATAAGTCCAGACACAAAATATTACTGAATTTTAGTTTTTCATGAATAAAACTTTTGTGAAACATTTGAAACGAAGTTTCTGTCAAGTCCATTATCTTCGAATAGCCTTAAAGACTAAGCTATCATAAACTGATACTGATAAGCCTGTTAAATTAAGAGCTTACAAATTAACAATTTTTTTTTTTAAACTCAAGATTGAAAATCGTTCATATTTCATTTAGCTACAGAGAAAAGTAAATCTTGTAAAAAAAATTGTGCACTTCAAAAATATAAAGCCTTTCTTCTGTACTTTTTTTTTCCTATTTTGTTCATATAAGATCAACTGTAGTTAAAAAGTAAACTTTTTTTTTTTTGCAAGTAATTTTTGTTTTGTTTACAAATACCCTAATTTATTTGGACTTTAAAGAACAGTTCTGATGTGTGGAAACAACAAGAATACACGAGTTCTATAAAACCTGTTTTTTAAACTAAAACTTAGTCCTTTCAAAAAAAAAAAAAGAAAAAAAAACAACTCGTGTATAAAACTAAAAAAGTTCGTCCTCAAAGGGGGATTTAATTACGCCCCCATATAACACTTAAAACATGCTTGAAATTTCGTCGACAGCATTGTCATCATTTTTTCTAGAGAAAAGTTTGTTTGCAATTTTACTTAGTCCTTGGATGTTACAAGCCCAAAAACTTGGCCTGTACTCACTTACGTGCACTCGTATTTTCCACACTATTAAACTTCACTTTGCACCTTCACAAAGCACGACAATTGTGAAACTTATCAAATAATAAATCTTTTTCTTCCGTTTTTAAACATAACAATCACATAAATTAATATCAATTATCATTTATTAAAACAAGAGTAAACATTAAAGAGCTGTCGGAAAACAAGTGACCGAAGCGTCCATCATGTGACGTGACCGTCGATCGATACTACAGATTTTATTTTTACTAAAAAAAAAAAAAAAATAACCCTAGGAAACATAACCTCACTTTTTATCCAAAAGTGTGCGCATAAAATAGAACAATCTAATTGGTTCTTCTTTTTACACGAAAATTTAAACTTACAATCAATGTTAATCATTTTTATTTAATAAAGTAAATAAATAATTGTATGATTTTTCAAAAACTTAATTTCAAATCAAAAAATGTTTGATGTAAACTTTTTATTCATATTTATTCGATTTGTTTTTCTATTTAATTTACATTTTAAACGAATTACTTTGTTCATGCGCACAAAACAATATTACTTCTAGGGATATATTTGTTTCTTATTTTTTTTATAAAAATTATAATTAATATTCTCAATCAATTTTATCTAATTGTAAAAATGAATAAAAAAAATACTATCTTCTCAGTGATTGTTTTAAATTGACAAATTAGACTTAAAGAAATTAATTTTCTTATATACAAATTAACAAAATTCCCTAGATTAATTTTTTGTTGCCATCTTTGAAAAGGACAGGCGACCATCTTGGATCATTTTTCACGGGTTGTTGACACGGGGAGCTCCCCAGCCGGTTGTGAAAGTGTTTTGTCCATCAAAAATCGGTTTGCAATTATTAAATGAATATTAATTAGGGCCCATTAACAAATTCACAAGTTAATATCGATATCAGTTTAACGGAAAGAAATGTAATAAGATTTAAGAATTTTCATAGTCCGTGAAAAAATTCATGAAAAGGAGCGTCTATCACAAGGCACTGAGGAACATTTTGCTTCACTTGTCAGACTTGGAAGGTACTTTCATCTGGTTTATATAGATATTGCGAATTTTTGGAGTAAGTTATTAAATTTACGTGACACGCTTTTAAGAGATAAAAGCAACTAAAATATGGTTCTTAAAATGTCTTTTTTTTGTGTGTGTGTGTGTGAAATAATATTTTTGGTGCACATGGTGACACCCTTGATATATGCCAGTTTACAAGAGTCTTATAAACAATTCTATGGGAATTTTGCCAGTAAAAGAAGCTACGATTCAAGGTCAAAAATTGTACATTAAGCAAAGCTCTCTCATAAAAGATCCTTGGGGGCAATCGATCGTGGTGATGGTGTTAAGCTTCGCCAAATTTATTTAATTTACGAGGTCCTTGAATTCAACGGTCAATGGCCTCCATTGGCGAGTCGAATACACTTTGCATTCGATTAAATGTCATTACCGCATTTGACAAATTAAAAGTTTGATGAACTGTACGTTTTTTCTCCTTTTTTTTGTATATGATTTAATACAATTTTTGTAACTTCTGTTACAAGGTTTCTTAATAATAAAAAAAAGTTTTCTCCAAAAAAAAAAATTGAAAAAGTGAATAATTTTTAAAAATTTATGTTCCTATTTTTTTGTTTTTTTTTTGTTCTTTAACAAAGTAGACAATGATAAATGAATAATAACCAGGAAATAGAAGTTAAATAAGTTGAGCGCTTACCTAATATGAAAATGAAGGTTAAATATTGTTCTGTCAATTTTTTTACTCGAAAAGGTAATTGACCAATTAAATAATAAAGTGAAAAAGTTTGATTAAATAATATTTAAAAAAGACTAACTAATTTAGAGTTAAGTGTTTAATTTAATTCTATTAATTAAATTTATTTAATTTCTTTAAAAATTGACTGAAAATGTTGCCCTTAGAGACCTTCATATATAAAATGTTTGGCGCACTTGAAAAAAGTCGAACCTTTTTTTTTTTTTGAATTTAAAGTTCGACGACTTTAATCAGGTTAACGCTAATCGACTTATTGACTTGTTCCTGGTGAAAACTGTCGCAAATCTAGATTTTATATGCATGAGTACTAATACTAATTTTCACTAACGGCAATCTTGATCGTTAAATGGCATGAAATTTAATTTAACTTTCATAATTGAAAGTTCAATTTATATATTTATAATTATTATCTGAAAGTGTATTTCATTAATTTTCTTTTATTTTATATTTAATTACAATTATTGATATAAATTTTTTAAATTTATATTTTTATATTATTATTTTGTTTGTATTTTTTGCTTTAATCAAATCTTATTTTAAAACGTCCATTTTTGAAGTTAAAAGTTTTCTGTACTTTTTTTTTTGTTTTTAAATATTATAATCAATTATTATTAAAAAGGTAAGAATTTGTAATTAAAAATTTTTTACCATTAAGGTCAGTTTACTTTTATGTAGGTACAACAGTCCTCAGGTGTCCTAGTTTCATGTCACCTGTCCATTTGTGTATCTTACTACCTGTTATGAGCCTAATAAGGCTTACATTGTTTCAATATGCTTTGCACTTTATTTCAAATAAGTCAAGTACTTAAATTTTGACTAAAAAATTTCGAAAAGTTGCTTAAGATAAGAAAAAAAAGAAGTTTCAATTAGTTTATCTCTTTAATTTAAATTTTTATTAATTATTTCCTTATAATAATAACAAAATTGTGCATTTTTTTTTTTGCTTTACTATTTATAAACTAATGTACTTCATTTACATATTTTATGTCTTCTTGTAATAATTTATTAACAATTTAGTTTTTTTACATACAAATGACTTTTGCAATAATTTATTAATATTTCACAGTTTATTGTTTGTTACACAATTCTATTGTATTAATTTAAGTTTACCTGACTTAGCTTTCAACAATAATATGATGTTTTGCAATCATTTCCTGCTTTTCTATTATCGTTGATCTTAGAACAATTTTTATATTTTAAGACCTAATTCTTTTTTCTTTTTATCAAAGTTACGTGTTTTATGTATTGACTTTGCATACATTACTAGTTAGATTAATTCGTAAATGTTATCTATTGGAAATGAGAAAAAAAACTGATAAAATTACTAGGCAATACGAGTAATTTCTGTTGAAAAAATTATTCCAAGTAATTTCAATTTTCAGTGCTAATAACATTCTACATATCCATTGTTCTATTCGTATTTATATCCTCTTTTACGTTCAATTATTTTTTTCAAAGAATTTGATTCCTTTTATAAAATAATATTTTCAAATAATAATTATTTAAATAATAAATAGCAATTATTATTAATCTAAATTAATTAAGTTAATTAATTTTTCATTAATAATCGTTAATCAATTTTAAAATTGAGAATTAATTATTTAAGAAAATTATTAATTTAGCTTTATTCATTTTTTTCCCCACCAGTTTCTTTTAATTCATATTTTTTATTTATTTTATTAACCACTTTATTTATTAATTTATAAAACTGTTAAAATACAATATTGTCAGTCTTTTCATAGATTTAAAGGTATTGTTCGATTAATTCATGCACTAATTCGTTCCCTCAATAGTGATGTACCACTTTCTTTGAAATAATCGATTGGCTCATTAAACCCTTGTTTATTGCAAAGTTCATTTGATTTCACTGAGTTGTAAAAGATAGTAAAAAATAGTAAATTAGAAAAAAAAACTACAGTAAATTTTGTGAATTTATTTAAAATTATTTTTTTCTTTCTTTTTTTTGTAATGGTAAAAAGGATGTAGCAGAGAATGAAGTATATGAGGGAAATAATTTCAATGAAGAATCCATCTTGGTTGTTGAGAGATGAAGAGAAAAATGCAAATTTTTGGCATATATTGGTAGATGTTACACTCTTTTTTTCGTGTCTGAATTGCTGCCACAGGATAGGATTCAAGTATTGATTGCAGGAGTCTACTGTACTCTGGCACATGGGTGGAGGCTTAACCCCAGACAAGAACTACCTCGTCACACTCCGTCTTCCACTTAGCTCCTTCTCGATTTTTGTGTTTTTTAATTTTTCAATTTTTTCCCAGAAATTATATATAAAAATTTCAATATAATTTCGAAGAATCAGATTTAATGAGCTTGTGAACTGAAATTTACATTTAATATATTATTTTTATTTGAGAAAATATATATTTATACCTTCGCGTACATCCACTTGAAGAAAAATATAGTAGCGCTTGAGCAACAGGATTAAATATACATTTCATTAAGGGGTGAAAATAAAAAAGTAAAAAAAAACAAAAAATAGTAAATGAACTTTATCATAATTAATAATCTTTATGAAACTTTTTGTACATCAAGTTCTAAAAATTAATGTAAGAAATTTTTTATTTACCATCATATTTGTTATCGGGAGAAAAAAAAATAGTTAAGTACTTTTTTTTAATTATTTCCATTTTTTTTTTTTTTTAAATTTATTTTCAAAGGGTAGAATGTTTTTTTAAAAGAGAAGAAATATTGTTTTGCTTTTAGCATGATAAAAATATTTCTAAGGTCAACAAATTCACTGGACTATGGTAAAGCTCGTTGACCAGAAAAATCTTATTATAAAGACTCTTTGAACTTAGTTTAAAATTCAAGGATCTTGTACGATCTGAATGATAATCTAAGTAATGAAATTAATTTTTAACAATATTATCATTTTTTTTTTTACAGGTTTTTAAATGATTGAGCAGAGAGAAATCCACGTTTTTGACAATGGGCTGAAGTATTAAGTTTTAAGGAACAAATTATAATCAACTGATTTCTGAGTTATCCAGGGTACGTTTTATTTAATTAAATATAGAATTTAATTTTCTTAATACATAATTAAGTGTAATAATATTAATAATAATACCTAATATTCCTTTTAAACAAGGAAGTATTTTTAAAAAATATTTTCACTATTTTTAAAAATAAAACAAAGCATATGATATAATATTCTATATTCATAAAATAAAATCTATTATATTTTTTTTTATGTTAAAAGTGTTATGTATGAAGATTATCACGTAATGTAATAAATTTACATTCGCGTGATTCAACTCAAAGTTTTTACAACATTTCAAAAAGTATCGTCATAAATACACGAAAATAAAAAATTTCTACATATTTCAAAAGTTAAAAACTACATGAACAATAGAATAATCAAAACTTTGAATTTACAAAAAAAAAATTAATTAAAATTGGTAATTTTTTTATTTTATTACAGTTGAATAATTAATTTTTTCTGTTGATATAATTTTACCAAAAAAAAAATATTGTTAAAATAAATTTTCCAGTTAATTTGAAATGGCGTTGAGAAAATTAAACTTTCTTAAACTAATTGCACAACGAAGCTTGTCCTCAAATTAAGTGTATAATTACTGTAATTACAGTGATATCCTGGGGAAGTTGAAGATGGCTACAGTGGAAGAGAAAAAACGTGTGGGTGGCACTAAAGTGTCCGCTATCGCAAATATCTTCCAGTCAAAGCCACAATCGGAAAATTTTAATTTTAGATCAAATGCAATTCTCAATGATGGTTTTAAGGAACCACCTGCCCCTCTTAAAGAGTCACCAACTCAAGTTACTGTTGTGAGAACAGAAAGTCATGTTGCACGATTTAATAATGCTCGAGCTCTTTTTGAAAAATTGGGCGAGGAAAACAAATCCAATCGACCGTAAGTATTTTTTAGTTTTAAAGAAAAAATTTTAAATTTCTTTTTTTTTTAAATTTTTGGGACAAATTTATTAGTTTTGCATAAAAAATTAATTTACATTTTCATTTAGTTTTTAAGAAAAGAAGTACTATTATTTTATTTAAATGTTTTTAATAATATTTTTCGTAAATTCAATTTTGTGAAAAAATAACCAAAAATTTCAATTATAAAATCACTTAAAGTTTAATTCATTTTAAAAATATGAATTTTAAATTTCTGAAAATTCAATTACTTTTAAAAAATGTTATCTAAAATTATTTGATAAATCATTTTCAATTCTGTAAAATTTATTTATTTATTAATTTAATTATTGTCTGAAATTTAATTATTTACAAAAGTTTCAAATAAAAACTCTAAAATTTAATTGTTTTCAAATTTTTTTTATAGAAATTTGTTCTACTTATTTAAAATTGAGGAATTAATAAAATTGATTTAATATCTAACAAAAATTGGTTATATTTAAAGTAAAATATTTATTAATTAAATAAATTTAATAAAAATAAAAAATCGACATTTTCGACTTTTTTTGCACTTTAAAGTCAATCCGAAGCCTGATTTATAAAAAAAAAATATTTTAAAGAATTCACAAATGTTTATATTTATCATACGAATAAATGAGAAAATCTAATGAATTTTTCATTTATGTTAAAGTGCGGAGCGTGTCTCGAAGCCAACAAATTTGCATGGATTACGTTCAAGATCAAGTTCAGCGAATTCCGGGTCAGGTTGTACGTCGCCAACTCGATCGCCCCGTCCTCTATCACCTTCGCCACCGGGTACAAGGGATCACTTAAGTAATTGGAGTGCCAGTGTACCAGCATTAAATGCCGAGCGACATTTCGAAAATGGACATTCAAACGCCGTCGACAGTATTACCGATAGATTAAGACCACGTGTGAGTTTTAATAAATTTGAAAAACACAGTGGCAAGGAAAATCGTCTAGATGATCGTCCAGAGAAACCAGAGAAACCCGAGAGGCGATTAAATTCAAAAGAACTTATTGAAAAGCAAAAAAATTGGACAAGTCACTTTTCAAAAGCAAGACCAAGTAGATATAATTCCGATCCAAATCGATCTATCGTTCAATCATCATTGAATCAAAATTCAAATAAAACAGATGAATCACAAATTCAAAAAACAAATCAAGGAAAAGATTCAAAAAGATCAAATAATGAAGGTGGTGTTTCAATTTTAGCAACACGTTCCGCTAGTTTTTGTTCTGTTAGACGTACACCATCAACATCACCACCACCACCACTTCCACCCACTAGAAATTCTTCCACTAGTAATTCAAAAAAAGAAAGACCAGTCAGCATAGGATCAACATCATCGAGTCCCGATTATGAGAGTCCAGAATATGCTACAATTAATAAATTTAGCGATGCCTCGCCAACAATTCCCGAATATGCTGAGGTTCAAAAAAATGTCAATTCTGACAAGAAAAAGAATCAAGAGTCAATTGATAAAGAATTTCAAATTCATTGTGATGACGGTATGCCGGAATATGCTGTTGTACAAAAGAATGTTACAAAAAATGTTGGGAAAAATTCAAATAAAAATGTCAATTCACAATTGCAAAAAGATTCTGAAATAACAAAAACTAATAATAAATGTGCCACTAGCTCGGATATTATGATAGCAAAAAAATCATTTATTTCTTCAAATGAGAAAATCATAAATTCGAGTCCAATACGAAGCGCTTCCTTGGATAATGTGATTTCAAGTGGTGGACCAGTGAAAGATGATTATTTGGACATTCCTGAATATTCCAATTATCCATGTGATACATCAATATCACCGCCTAAAACTTCTGAATGGAAGAATGAATGGATTGCAAAGAATGATGAGATTCTTAAAAGTGTCACTGATTTAACTATGTCGAGTGAAGTTCTTGCTCAAGAAGAAGAAAAAGAAGAGCAACAACAACAACAACAATTTAATAATGAAGTTATTCGTACAGATTCAAGGCCTGATTGGGCAAAACCTTGTATTGATACTATTAAAAGAAAAGAGAATTCAATGGAAGCAAAAAAAGAACGTGTTCGATCACCGGACAGTGAATTGAGACCCCCTTCGAGAAATACGGACAGTGCTTCCTCGAGTATGAGTTCTCCTAGTTCACCGTCAAAGGACAGTAAAGAAGAAAAAGCCGAGAAGGAAGTGTCTGAAAAAATACAAACTGGTGAGTTCTATTTTTTAACATAGGCTTTTTTTAATTTCGAAGCAGTTTAAACTTTTCACTCTCTCTTCCTCTACATTAACATGGTTGTCAGGGAAATCAAAGAAAAGTCAGGGAATTTTATTAAAAATTCTTGGAAATATCAAATTTCTAAAAATGCTACTAAAATTATAATTTTTGAAATTTTCAATTCAAACTTTTACTTCTAAAATTAATTGTCTTAATTTTTTTTTTATAATTGAAAACTTTTTGCAATATTTTCATTAGGGTCAGGGAAAAAATTTAAATTCTGAGTGGAAATCAGAGAAAAACAAAATAAAATTTTTGTGGCAACCCTGATTTAAAGCCATCATGGATTTAAATATTTCATATTTGTCGTACAATAATTCAATATTTTAATAATTTACCAATAATAATTTCGTACATAATTAAAAATTTACAATATATATAATGAAAGACTGTTTTTGATATAAAAGAAAATCATTTTTTTAGTAAATTTCAGTTTTAAAATTCAATTATAAGATTTCTTTGTAATCTTGACTAATGAACGAAGCTGAAGTACGCAACGTTTATGATAAACAATTTTTAAAGAAATAATTTTTTAAAATGAAAAATTTTATAATTTTTTGCCTAAAAAATATTTCTTGTAGTTTTCATTAATCAACAAATTATAAAAAAATATTTTTTATGCAAAAAATTATAGAATTTTTCATTTTAAAAAATTATTTCTTTAAAAATCGTTTATCATAAACGTTGCGTACTTCAGCTTCGTACTAATAATCGGAAAATAGCTGGGAATTAGATAAATTAAATTATTTTAAATTAACTGAGAATTAGTAAGAAATTTTTCCTCAAACCGGATATTTTATTAAAAATATAATTTTTTATTAAAGTTTCTAATTTTGTATTAATTAAATATTTAATTCAAAACTGTTAATCATAAAAATTCCAGTACCTTAATACTATATGAGCCAAAAGTTTTGAACGTTCAAATGAACGAAATTTAAAATATTGTTTTAAATATTTAAACGGAAGTTATTAATTTAATAATTGTTTAAATTACTGTTTTATTTTACATTGCCATTATATTTTTTAATAATTTAAAGATTGAAAAAAATATTTAATATATAATAATATCTAATAGAATTTATATTAAACAAAATTTCAAAACTATCTTTTAGCTATGTTAATTTTTATTAAATTGAATGTTTAAGTATTTAATTCCGAATGTACGAATTTCATTACAAAATATTGTTTTAAATGTCTAAAAAGAAGTTATTAATTTAATAATTGTTTTATTTTACAAGGCGATCATTTAATTTTTAATAATTTATAGATTATAAAAAATATTTCGTTCATTTGATCGTTAAGAACTTTTGGCTCATATAAATTCGGATAAATGAGAATTTAGTAAAATACAAGAAATTCGAGAAAATAAAATAATTATGTTTTATGAAAAAATATAAATTCTATATTAATAATTAAAATTCAGTGAAATAGATAATAAACCAAATATAAAATTTTGGTTACAAATTTGTTTGCACTATTTTTATTATTTTTCTATTATTTATATGAAAAATGTTTTAAATAATTTAGAAAATAATAATTAATTTCTTTGTTAATTAAAAAAAAGTTATAAAATAAATTAAAAGGGAAATTTAAAATTTTTTAAAAATAAAAAAAAATTCTTTTGCTTCTGACAATTATGAATTAAAAATTGCAAGTAATTTGAAAATTCATTATTTATTTTCGTAATAATAAGCGACAAAATTTTTCAAGTTAAAAAATAATTTTTTTAAATGATGAAAATATTTTAATTGTACGAGTAAAAAGAAAAATTGTTTGTAAGCGGAAAATTTGTTTTCTTTCTATTTAAAAAAAAAAAAGAAAAAAAATTTGTTACTTAAAAGGATTAATGAAAAGTTTTTCACAAGAGCAAATCCTTTATGAATGACTCCCACACAATTGTTTGAAAATAATACAAATAGTGTTAATTATAGCTGGAGTAGGGCTTTTCACCTTATTGTTATTAGTCATTGCTAGTGGATATATCAGAAAGTGTGGAAGTCTGCCAAAATAGCAAAATGTAAAAGTATAAAGTGTTTCAATGCCCCTCCTCAATCTCTTCCTTTGGGGGGCCACCTCTCTTCTTTCTTGATTTCAGGCCTTTTCCTCTTACCCATAGCACACGACGAAATTATTTATAGAAATCAGTATGAACTCCATTTGGCATCGGTCTGCTTGTATCTAAATTCACTCGTGTCGTGTGTGATTATACATTGATGAAAATTAATAACTAATAATCGATTAATATTCGTCAATTATTCATTTTTCTAAAAATAAGCCGTATTAAGATAAAAATAAAATATATATTACATAAATTTTAAAGTTAGTCATTTTTCAAAGATGATGATTTCTGAGATATAAATAAGATTGTTTCTCGAGGAGATATTTCTAATAGACTTCTTCTTTAAATTTATTTTCACAGTGAAGTGTAGGAAACTCGAGTGAGAAACATGAATAAGAATTTTTTTTTTCTCTTATTTTTTTAATTTAGTGTGATATTAATCGAAATATTTTTACGTTTCAAAGTTTTTTTTCAAAGATTATAATTTTAATTAAAGTATTATTGTGATTAGTGCTATGTGTCTCCGTCTTCTTTGCATCGATTGTCGAGGTACAATTTTGTTACCATCGATTTTTTCTTTTAGTTTTTCTGTATTGCAAACATTTTTTTTTTTGCCAGTAATATATTTAATATTTGATAACGCTAATAATAATAATTATATTTGTGCATTGAAGGACGAAGCAGTTACGATCTGGAAACTGAGGAGACAGAAAAATCTGCAGTCCACACTGAAAGAATTTTAGACAAAGATGATAGTGGAGAAAAGGAATATGAATTTTGTGAAACTGATACAGCAACGGTTATTAGACGAACACATATTCGAGTTGAGATACCTGCTGCTGGATTAGGTCAACGACCAGCTTCCGTAATAAGTTCAGATCAGGAACATCCATCCTTGGAACATAAAGAAATTCCCGTGCCATCACCTTATGCAAAACGAGTGCAACAAACACAGGAAATACAAGTAAAAAATAAAACTAAAAATGATTTCAAGCCAAGTAGTGTGGATGTTAAATCATCATCTGTTAAGGAACAAAATACACAAAATCTCAACACTTCAAAACTTCCTCAAGATGGTATTTATAGGTTCCAACAGGCAACAGTGACTAATACAGTAACAATGGAAAAATCAAGTTTTCCAGGTGAAAACAAATCTTTTCCAACTGAAATAATAAAGGATAAACAAACAACTGTTGATCTTCAATGTCAAAAGACAGTTGCCAATGCCAAGAATGACCAAATAAAAGTTTCGGTACGCGAGAAAATCGCCAAAAATAAAGAGGAAGTTTCTGGGAAACGTGCAAGTTTCACGGATCTTGAAAATAAAACAGATTATGTAGATAAATCTAATGCAAGTACAAATCAGTATTCAAATATAAATCAGAGCAATAATTTATTTAAGGAAAATGACGAGAAATGTAATGTGACTGATAAACATTCGACATTTGATAATTTGTCGAAAAATAATACTGAAATTGAAAAAATTAATAATGAAATAATAATGATGACAACAACAACAACGACGACGACGACTGAACAGATTATGACAAAAGTCAATTCAACAATTTCTTCAACTTTTGATATTGATAAAAAAGTTGAGGATTCAATTCAAACAACTTGGGAACAGGAGAAACAAAAAGCAGATCAAATAGCAAAATTAAGACAATCGGAAAATAATTTAACGCAAACAACGCTTTTGACTGATAAAACACAAAGTGGAATAGCGTCTCCTTTAAAAAAGGATTTAAATGATGAACACAAATTTTCAAATAATAGTTTAATTGAAGATAGTGATTCAAGTGATGCTAAAACAGTAACTAATATTGAGAGTCTGCCATCGTTGGAAACTGCAAGTTTCAATGGACCTTTAGAAACATCTGTGAAATTAAATACAAGTCATGCAGTTCCTGTTACTCCAGATACAATGACACCCGATGAAGCTGAGAATCTTCTAAGCTCTCGGTAAGAAAAAAAAAATCTTTTTCTTTACTGTTTTTTTTTTTTTTTATTACTATAATTATTACAAAGCTATATATCTTTGTGCCTTAACTGTTAAACAAAAGTAGCATGTCATGCTTTATCAGATAAATCATTCATTTAAATCAAAAAATAATTATTTTTTTTCTATTTTATAAATTTCATACAATATTCTTGATTATTTCATTCTTCTAAATATTTTTAATCTTAATATTGTTTTTAACACTATTTTTCTTTATTAATAATTTATCCCTTAAATATTTCATTATTATATCATATTTTCATTTATTACATCAGAATTTTTTTTGCATTTAATTATATATGTACCTGCAATCTACGATGCTCTGGCTTTTGCAGAATATTGGAGAAAAATATCAGGTGAGCTTTGCTGTATTTATTCAAAATGAAATGTAAAATTGCTACACAATTACAAAAATAAACAAACAAAATTCTTCAATATAAAGAATTTAAAATTAAAAATTTAACTTATATAAAACTAATAATACAACAAACTGATTAATGTTATGTATTAAAATATAAATTTTTAATTATTTTTGCACAGGGATCACAGACTATTACTTATTCGAATTTTTGGTTTTAATTTTCTCACTTATTTTACCTATTTTGTTAATTTTTTTCTTTTTTCACCTTTTCATTTTAAATTAAAACTTAAAATTTTAATCGATTAGAAATGTAATTATTCAATTTTAATTTTAATTAGTCAAAATATTCGTTGGTTATTTTAATCGACTCTAAAAGTTCATCAAAATTTTCAAAGATCTATATGAATTTCAATTCATTCTAATTTTCAATAAACACAAATTTTAATTTATTCACATTTTATTCTAATTTATATTGTTGAAAATTTCAAACGATTTTAAATTTAATTCATTAAAATTTGAAGCAATTTAATGTACAGTTTCATCTAATTTTTATCAACCTTATATTCAATGAATTCAAATTTTATTCTAATTTTTTATTTATCCACATTTTTACTGGTCTTTACTTTTATTGATAAAAATTTTAAACGAATATAAATTTTTGAACCAGAGAATCAATAGAATAGAATATTTATTTATTTATAAATGAAATAATGAATTCTTATTAATTTCAATTGATTGTAACTTCAATTAAAGCAAATTTCAAATATATAAATCTAAATTTTATCAGGTAAAAATTTTTTTAACATACTAATTTAATTTTGAATAACAATTTATGACATTGATTTTCGAAAAATTATTCATCCTTTTATTTATTTTAAGGAAAAAAATGTACTGTGATCACTGTTAATATATTCATGAAAAATTTAATCGATTTATTGAGAGAATTTTGTGGCAATTTTAATATTTCTAAAGTTCTGAATATTCATGTGAATTAATTATTTTTTGATATTCCTAAGGACTTCAAAGAAATTTTGAATTTTCTAAACTCACTATTATAATGTTATTCGAAAGTAATTAAATTTTGAAAAAATTATTTTTCTTCAAAATAACTCAACTTTTTTTTTACTGCCTTCAAAAACTCTTAATTTTTAAACGATTTGAATTTATTTAGAAAATATTTAATTTTTGCAAATAGAACTCAAATTTTAACAAAGTATTTAATTTTAAAAAAACAAACTGAAATATCTTTGGAAAAATTTATAAAAATAGTTTTCATTGAAATGAAAAAAAAAATATATATATATATATATAAAAATTTAATTTACTTGAACGTTCAAAACTTTGAGTAGAAGATAAGGAATTGAAAATTTAAACATCGAATCGATGGTAAGTGATAGAAAATTGGAATGAATGAAAAAATTGTAAATAATGAAATAGACAAGGTTCGGCGTTGCTGTCAGATGAAGAAGCTCAGGAAATTGCTAGGTTATTGTCGCCAACAAATGCTAATGGAATTGTTGCCGAAGAAAAGCCTGATGAAAGAGGAGAGGATATTAAAGATAAAGAGGACGACAATGCTCCCGATTGGCTCTCGGACGTTATGTCAGTTCAAGATTCCAGTGTCGTCAATAGCACCACTCAAGATTATAGGTGAATTGTTGTAGTTTATTATTCTATAATTTTAATTGTTATTGCATGAGATGAATTGTCGCTTCTTTTATGCTCCTTTTTTTCATTGCAATCTCCTAAAACTACAGAAACCAAGGATGGAGTCAAGGATTTCTATTTCTTAATAAAAAAATAAATAAATTATTATAATTTTCATATCATCATTCTCTCAAAATATATTGATCGTGTTTCATACAAATTGTTAAATATAAACTTATATTTCACTACAAAGGGTGTCTACTTTTATGGATAAAATTAAAAATTTCAATTATTAATTGCTTTTTGTTTTAATTGTTAAAGACAATTAAAAGTAATTGTTACTTTATTGATATAGAAGGAATTGGTAAATAATCGTAAATTCGGTCCATCAAAAATAGTAGACACTCTGTTTCTCTATTTCTATTCATAATAAGAAATAAATTAGATTGGGAAAATTTAACTAATTATGTTTCTTTACAGTTTGTCTCATAGATCGCGCAGTGATTTGACAATTGACTCATTAACGGAAAGTCAAATAGGATCAGTGACCGGTAGTGAAAGTGGATTATTAGGATCAGTTAGCAGTTTGAATGACACTCATGGAACTAATGACGATACCGAAACGGAACAACAGGATGATTATACTCCTGTTCCTGGCAAAATTGTAAGATCAATTTAATTCTTTAAATTAAATTTATTTTTTTACTGAAAAAACAAAATTAAAATTACTATTTTAATTTCTCATAAAAAAAAATGAATCAATTTTTGTTTAAGGTTTTAAGCGAAAAGAAAATGATATTTTTTTAAAATAGAAATGAAATTATTATTAATATTTGGATTTCGTTGATTTAGATTTTTGTGGAAAATGGAGTGCATTACTTTGAAGATGGCCACTTTTGGATGGAAGTTGCGGGTCTTCGAGAATCAGAGGACGAAGATGAAGAGCTACCCGAACCAATACCAGTGAAGAAATCATCAAAAATTACTTTTGACTCTGGACCAATGCGTGTTTATTCAACTCATTCTGTTAGTGAATACGATCGTCGAAACGAGGACGTCGATCCTGTCGCTGCAAGCGCTGAATATGAATTAGAAAAGCGTGTCGCTAAAATGGAGGTAAGAATTATTCCTATCTCCTAATAAGAAAATAATTTATATTAATTAATTTCGAGATAGAATTTTATCTTAATTTTGTTTTAAATAAATAAGAACCAATCTTTATTTTCAACTTTATTAAAAAGTTTATAATTTTTTTTTTCAAATTCAAGACATATTTTTTGTTTTTTAATTACAAAATTGACACTATTAACTGTGTAATTATGTTTGGGTGATTTAACAGAATATAACATTATTATATAGTCATTTAAAAATTGATTCTTTCAGGTATTTCCCGTGGAACTGATGAAAGGTCCCGATGGTCTCGGTTTGAGTATAATCGGCATGGGCGTTGGAGCGGATGCAGGTCTCGAAAAATTGGGAATTTTCGTGAAAACAATAACGGAAAAAGGTGCAGCTGCCCGTGAAGGAAGAATTCAAGTGAACGATCAAATTGTCGAGGTCGATGGAAAATCTTTAGTTGGAGTTACACAGGCTTATGCTGCTAGCGTTCTTCGCAATACATCGGGACTTGTGAGATTTGTCATTGGCAGAGAAAAGGATCCAAAAAATTCCGAAGTTGCCATGCTTATTAGGCAGAGTTTACAAGACGATAAAGAACGCGAAGCGAACATGTGTGCTAATAGGTAAAAAATATACTTTGATAATTAAACTCCCCCCCCAAGAAAAATGATATCTAGAAATATTTTACTATTACTATTCACATCTTAAGGTAGTCAAGAAAATTTTCATTGATTCTTTTATTACTTTTTCTAAATCGAAATTTTCATAATAGATCGGATCCATATCAATTAATATATTATTTCACATATTTAAATAATTATATCAATTGATAAATTTATTCATTCTTAGTAAATTGCAATATATTTTTTTTATTTTTATGGTAAATTCTGTTTTTTTTTTTTGTTTTGTTCATTTTCTAATGGATAAAAAATTGACAGTTTTCAGCACCTCATACACCTTAAATTCATATTTTACAATAACTAATTAAATTTGTAATAAAATTCATTTCATTTCGTGATCTCGATAATTTCAAAATAATTCCTGCAAAGTATTATAATTTTTAAAAATTAGTCAGCAACTACTTCAGTCGAAATATAATGGATTGACCCACATAGTAAAATGTATTATATACCCTTTGAAATCAATTGATTTGTAAAGACAAAAAATAAATAGCGTGTCTTAATATTCAAGTACAATGTGTAAATTTAACTCAAAGGCTCACATATTAAAATCAATAATGCCTGAGGTGCAAGGTATTCTATATTTAGTTGTATAACAATAAACGATAGTAGGCAATTTTAGTTAAGAAACAAAGCGTACAGTGTTGGTTCTTTCATTCTAAGAGAGAACACATTACAGTGATTTTGTATTCCCAATGATGGTTTATCCTTGCTCGCATAAATTCTGTGACGACAATAGAGTGGCTCCTTCAGTTAAAACCTGAGGTTTTTTCTGGAGTACTGAGGGAATATTTTTCTCAAAAAAAAAAAAAAAAAACAAAACAAAAAGAAATATATTCGATTTAAGAAGAAGAAAATTAAATAAGATGACAATTTATAAAATTATAAATATTGATTTAGGAGATTGAATTTCTCTGACATGTCGCCTGATGATCGTCGTGGTGAAGATGACGTTTCATTAGGAACAGGAGGAATTCCAGGATCACCTGCATTATCCTCATGTTCCGAAGGGGATCCGCCTCACAGTCCGATTGAGAATTATATTTCGCTGGGAGATCGTAGCCGATCACCGATTATCAGCTCTTCTCAACCACCATTGAATTCTGGTACAACACAAAGTGACGTTGATAGTCTCAGAATGCTCCTGCAAGAGGTATTTGACAATTTTTATAATTATTTACAATTTCTGTGTGTTTTTGTATGTATTTATTTATTTTCTGTTAAAACTCTAGTTGTTTTATAGTATATTTGTGGAATGAATCATGGAATTTTTTTTATTTAGACCATATTTTAATATAATGAAATTCTAATGTTTTCATTTTATCAAAATATTGTTGAGCAGAATTTGTAATTTACCGAATTTTCCTTTAACTGAATTTTTCTTTTTATCCAATTTTCATTTAACCGAATTTGCTTGAGAACCAATATACATTTTTATTGAGCAAAATTTGTATTTAACAGAAGATTTATTTTAATTATTTGACGGAATTTTTTAAAGAATTTTATTCAGAGTGGCTGCAAGTTAAAAATTTGTTAGTCAGGAAAAAAGAAAAATTAGTTATTGAAAAGTTAGGAAATTTTGAAAATGAAAATTCTGATTCAATTTTTATAAAACCGGATTGGTTTTTGTTGTAATTGTTGTTTAACAGAATTTTTTTAATTGAATGAATTTTTATTTTATCAAATTTTCATTAAACAGAATTTTCAATTTTATAAAATTTTCATTGAACTGATTTTGCTATTTTCTCAATTTTTATTTTCCTTTATTATTTTTGTTTGATAAAATTTTGTTTCGAACGATTTTTATTTAATTGAACTGTTATATAACATAAATTTCTTTTTAATGAATTTTTATTTAACAGAATTTAAAAAATTGCATTTGTCCAAATTTTAATTTAACCAATAATTTGTATTCAACGGAATTTTCATTTAGATCAAATTTTGATTTAACCTAATTTGCTTTTTATAGATTTTTCATTTAAATGAATTGTCATTTTATTTTTTTTTTATCAGTTTTTAATATACAATGGAAATTATATTAGGGATTGAAAACTGTGGAATTTATAGAGTTTTTTAGTTTTAGTAGCATTTTTAGAAATTTGATATTTTTTCAATACTTTTCATAAAATTTCCTGACTTTTCCCTAATTTCTTTGACCCGTGGGAACTCTGATTTAACAATAAAAAATTTGTAGAAACCCTAATGAGCCTTTATGAATATCCATTGTTATGTTGCACTGTTTAAATTATTATGTATTTTTGTCTTTTATTATTAATTCCACTACATATAAAAAAAAAAAAAAAAAAAAATTTGTACCTACTGTATTTAGTGTAGATTTTGCTTATGCATTGTGTGTGTCGTTGATTGCTTGCAGAGTCAGTATAAACTTACTTTAGCGGATGAAGAGGTAGAAAAACTGAAAGCAAAGGTAATTATGAAATGTTATTTTTTTATGTAAATTATATCAATATTATTTTGTTAAAATTATTGAGCATAAATGTTAAAATATTGTAATGTAAATATTAAATATTAAGCATATATAATTAAAATAATAAATGATGTGTAGTCAATTTGTAAAATATAAATTTAACCTTCAGCTTCCAAAGAAGCTTTATCAATAATTTGAAGGCTCTTTATATATAAATCATCATTTATTGTGTTATAGAAATTTTTTTAGAAAAATAATTGCATTATAAATATAGAAGATGTAAAGTTTAATTTTGACTTTAAATTTTCAGTTGTTGGAACTTGAGAATAATGGAGCTGGAAGTGAGGAGTATGCGGCAAAATTACGTGAATCTGGATTACGACTTCGTGAATCTGAAAGAACATTGGGAACAGCTCGACAAGATTTATCAACAGCTCGCGAAATGTTGAATCAGGCGACTGCCCAAAGTTCAATAATACAACAAAAATATGCACGTGCCAAAAGACTTGCTCGTGAATTTCGTGCCGATATTACTGCTCGCGATGAATTTTATGAGCAATTACTTCAAGAAAAAGATACAGAATATAATGCACTTGTTAAAAGTTTAAAGGACAGGGTATGTCTATTTGTTTTGAAAATTATTTTTAAAATAATCATTGAACAATAAAATATTGAAATTATTTATTTTTTTTATTATAAAAATATAAAGTGAGAGAATTTTTTTTTTAATCATTTTTATAGGTCATTACATTGGAAGTGGAATTAACAGAAACCCAAAGAAGATTCGGTTTGCCAGTGAGATTGCCTTACGATGGTGCCACATCGAAAATTGTTACGCCTCAATTATCAAGACGTCAATTACCGCCACCTCCTTCATCCTCGAGTTGTCAGCTATCGGACACTGAAACGTCAGATCTTAGCAGTCCGGATGACGGTGATAAGACAGCAACTGTAGAAAGAAAACTTCCACTACCAATTCCTGTCAAGGAAGAACTCGACAGAGCTGTCCCTGCTCATCGACTGCTCGATAATTCTGCTGGAAAAAGTAAAGCCGAATTGGCAAGTAGAGGAGGACTTGCAAATCGACAGTTGCCAAAAAGATCAGGAGGACTTAGTAACAGCAGTTCGGTATGTTTCAAAAAGAAATTTCATTTTCTGTTAAAATATTTAAATTTAATAATATAAAATTGAAATTTAATTTCTTCTCGATGATGGTCTATCCTTGCTCGCAAATTTTTTGTGACGATAATTAATGGCCACTTCAATTTGTGCCTGAAGCCAATTGTTGTGCTGAGAGAATTTAATAGAATAAATTTCAAGAAAAAAAATAAATAATTTTTTTCTCCATATGATTAAAAGATTATTTCTTTTCACAGGATTATGGCTTGGATGAATCGGGTGACAATACTGATGATGATTCTTCATCGAAGCATGCCGTGTCACAAGACAGTAGTAGTAGTAGATCTCCAAATGATTCAGTGATATCAAAACAATCGAATTCAAGTTCCTATTCGTTTACTTATTCGCAAAAAAATAAAAACATGGATTCAATACATTCAGCTGCAATTCGACAACACAGCACAATTAGTTCTCAAGTTCGTGCCATGACTGAGCAAAGTTGGCAAACATCACAAAAATGTACTTTTTTTTTTCTTTAATCTCATTGTAAAAATTTTATTTCTTCTATGGAATATTAAATATTAAAAATTAAAAATATGAAAAGAAAAAAGAAAATATCTAATTAAATAATTTTATTTTTAAAGCCGGATTAACTGGACCACCTGCGTCCTTGGCTGAACAATTGAAGCAAGTTTTGGCTGAACGAGAAAGACGACTTGGAGGTAATGACATGTCATCTTCAAGAGAAAGCTCAGGAGACTTTAGCGATTTAAATAATCCACATTCTAATGACCCAACCCTAGTCACTCATAATTTAGTTGAGGAAATTAGACAAGCCGTGAGCGAAGCTAATCAAAGAGGTACGCAACAAAAAGGTATTTACTCAACAAAAATTAAACATAATAATTAGTAGAATATTTGAAGGGTAGAATGACAAAAGGGGTCAAGCGCCAATTCACTGTTTTTACAGGAAGTAAAAAAAAACATTTTTAAAAATTTTGCAGGTCATTTAAAAAAAAACTGAGAAAACCGTTTCGATATATTAGTATGTTTTAATAAATAAACAACAATTTGTTGAAATAAACCTACATATTAACGATAAAATTAAAAAAAACTGTGGTGCCTTGAGGTTATATCAACTGCGCACATTTTCTTTAAGCATTAATTATAAAAAAAAATACAGTTTAAAGAAAAACTGGAAAATTAGTTTCTTTTTATGGAATCGACGAAATGAATAGAAAAAAAAATTCCTTTAAAAAATTGTTTGTTTTCAAGAAAATTACGAATTAATTGCTTGCTTTGGAATTGAGCAATACTTTCATCTTTAAATTCAATTGTTCACTTAGTATAATCATAAAAATATTTAAAAATTAATAACAAAATGATTTTAAAATTGTTTAAAATTGAAAATATATTATTATTATTCTTAATTTTATTAATTAAAATAAAATTAAAATTAAATTAAAATAAAATATTAAAATAAAACCTAAAAAAATAATATTTTTGATCAAAATTGAACACCACTTTCTTTTGTTTTTCAATCAGGTTGCAATAAAGTAAATTTGAGGCTATTTTATTAATTTAATTTTTATTAAAAACTGATTTAAATACGCAATAAAAAAGGAAATCCTTTTACAGAAATGTGTAAATGAATTTTCTTGATTTTTTTATGCAAAAACCTCATTTTCGATAAATTGGCGCTTGACCCCTTTTGTCATTCTACCCTTCATTTATCGTTCATGTGAATAATAGTTTTTTTTTCAAGATAACTTTCCTACTTAATCGAAAATTAGCAAGGATGTTTTCATCAAAACATAAATTTTATAAAAAAAGAATTTAATTTAATGAATTTAAATTAATGAACATTAAAATGAATATAATATATTTATAACGATGCTGAAGTTCACAATATTTTTTTAAATAACAATTTTTATGATTTTCCATCTTTAAACAAATTTGTTTTCTAATCGTTTATTATAAACTTTGTGGATTTTAGTATTGTTATTTATTAATGAATAACAATTTTTTTTTAATTTCTTTATGTGAATTTCTGAAAAAAAATTTCTAGCAAAAAAAGTGCCAATACCTTCACAAACTTTAATGGGTGCCGGACACACACCCTGGCATCATCCAAGTGGATCACCGTCCAGTTTGTCATCTGGTGGATCTATTAGTCCAACAGCTGTTGATCCAAGTCCTTCAAAAAGCGATAGTGCAGGTAATTCTATTTTTTTTAAATTAAAGATATAAATTTTTATTTAAAAAAAATTCAATAATTACAAAGTTGTTTCCTATTCACCTTTTTTTTAAATTGTCAAATGGAATTTATTATTTTACACACATGATTTTACTCTGTATGCTGCATTTAAAGTTTAGAAACAAAAAAAAAAAATTGTTTCAATTAGAAAAAAATAGCTGTTAAAATTTGAAAAATACTTTTGAGCAAATGTTTGTTTTTTTTAATTAAAAATTGAACAATTAATTAAATTAATAATAAATTTCGATTTTTGAAGAACGTGTTTTAAAGGTTCAAAAATTGAAATTATTTTTTCAAATTAAAATATAGTTTAGAACTTGATATTTTTCTCTAGTACAATAATTTGTAATTTTTCGTTGCATTCACTAAGAAGGAACTTAATTTTGTTACAAGATATTTAACTTTTTGTTTAAATCACTTTTATTCTTTAAAAAATAGTTTATTGAGTTTTATTCTTTCCTAAATATCTTCGACAATATTTGAGGATATTAAACTTGTTTTATTATACATTTAGGTTTGAATATTTTAACAATTTTTTAATTACAATTCACCAAAAAAAAAATCAGTTTTCTATTCTCAAGAGTTTTTTTTTCTAAATTTTGGGACAAATTTTGATTTTTCAAAAAAAAAAAACTTTTCATGGCACAATATTGTATCTTTTATAATAACAATAGACATTTTGATCACTGACAACTTTAATTTATTGTTAAAATTAGGGTATACTTCAATTTATTCATTTTATATATAATACCAACTTTAAAATTATCATTATCTTTCAAATATTATAATTATTAATTCACTTTTTTTCCTCGTTTCTTGAAATTTTTGATAGAATTTTTCTTCTATTTAATTAATTTTAGACTCGAGCGAAGTTTGGTTACCACCTCACGAGTTTGGTTTGGGTGATAAAAGTTCACATTTTTGGCAAAGTGCACCAATAACCGACTGGTCAAAAGAACAAGTCAGTATAATAATTAAAATTCAATAATTATTGAAAGTTTATTGTGAAAATAACAATATTTTTTCCTTTTTTTGATAAAATCATTGTAAATTATTGTGAAAATAAGTTACATTAGAAATTGTAAATTTTAATTATCAAAAATTTTGTATTTTCAAGAAAAAAACAAAAAAAAAACAAAAAATTAAATTATTTCAGGTGTGTCAATGGCTAACGGGAATAGGCCTCGAAAGATATGCTCCACGTTTTATTGAGGCTGGTGTTTGTGGCAGTACACTTTTGCGATTGGAGTCTCGTGATTTGAAAGCACTTGGCGTTTCACGTGAGGTAAAAGATCATTTAAAACGTAAATTAAAAGATTTGCGAGCGCAAGCGGATCGCGAGCGTAAAGAACGAAAGGAAAAGGAACGTATGCGACGAAAAGCAGAAAAAGCGGCACGGAAAAAATAGCCCCACGAGAATGTCAAGTCAGACTCGTTTTACTCTTGAAGCGAAATTAAAACGAGGCTGCATTTTTTTTTATTAATAAAAAAAAGCCCCCACCCAGCTTTGTACAAGTTTTGCTATTATCCTTTTGTTATTTATATAAACAATTTTTTTTATATTGTTGATTATTTTAATTGAATGCAGACAATTTTTTCTGTTGAATGCAAATTATTTTTTAAATCTTTGTATAGTGTTCGTTTAATTTAAAAAAAACTATTTTTTGCCAACGTATCAAATATACATTAATTGATTACGTTTAATTTTATTTTCAAGAAAATATCACTCCAAGTATTTTTTTTTTATTGTTTTAATATTATGTTTGGTATTCCAAACAAATTTGGGGTTTGAAAGATGGTTATTTTCATAATTTTATATTAATTCGTGGTTGCCAGTGCATTTAATAGTAAAAAAGAAAGAAAGAAAGAAAGAAAGAAAAGAAAATGCAAATATTGAAAATAAAATGACGAGTACATAAAATTTGTTTAGCGATTAAATTCGCTTGAATACGTGTATGATAAACGTATGTGTGTATAGGTCTTTACATACGAAGATGTGTATATTTTAAAGCTGTAGCCATATACCTATTATTATTATTACATAAAATTGTAGTTAAGGTATGATTTTTTTTACAAGATAAATACTCTCGTGGCACGTATTCGTGTTTTGAGACTGAGACAATGAGAATTGGATGTTGTCTGAAAAAGAAAAATCATAAAAAAACATCGTTTATTTATTTTTTTGATTAAATAAAACTGACAAAAAATGTCAGTTTCTTCGTGTAATTGTAATTCTACATATATATAGTAATAGAATAATAATGTAAAGTTTGAGCGGCGTGCCTTTTCATATGAAATCGCCGCCGGTTACGAATGGCTGTCATTTTCCCCCTAATTCGTAACTGTATTTTATCATCGAATTCTTTTAATTCTAAAAAGAATGGAAAACAAAAAAACATACTATAATATTAGGCATAACCGAGCATTTTTTATCGGCTGTGTTTCTTTTATTTTAAATTTTGCTCAATCTTACATATTTCATATCAACGACCATGGCTAAAGAAATTTTAGCACTGGGTCGAGAGCCTATGAATTTTTGAGACCCAGATGTCGTAACCAACTTTTTCACAAATCGCATCCCCCACACGCATTTTTTTTTTTTTTTTTTTTTTTAAATCGATTTTAATTAATTTTAGACATTCCACTCTAGAATTGGAATAATTTTTCACGCGTGTATGTAATCTTTTTTGCTCTTTAATCATCGGTTAAATTGTTATTTAGAAGAATATTGATATTGTAAAGAAATATTTGTGATATTTCAACCATGTGACAAAAATTAATGATAACGTAAAAATTTTTAATGAATATACAAATTTTTCAAAAATATACAAGAATTTCATAAAAAAAAAATAAGAATAAGAATTTTTTAAATATGAACTAATTTAATATAAAACAAATTCTCTAAATATATCAAAATGAAATCGATGGTCAATAAGAGATTAATCTAGTAAAGAATGCTATTTAAAAAAAAAAAATCTTTTCTAATTTAATAATATTTGATGTGTGGGTCATGCTGTAATTTGTTGTACAACTTTTCATTTTTAATCAAGAAGAGAAAGTACGAAAAATTTGTCAAAGCAAGCAAAAACAATAATGAGATAGTTGAGAATTTAGAATGCGTACATATATTTGTATCCAAAAAAAAATTTCTCGACGTTTGCAAAGTGTTTAAAATCAACCGATTTCAAAGAAATCTATAGTGTGTAAGAAATAATCTCAAAAACATTAAAAAAAAACAATTTATAGCAAAGTTAAACACTTTGTACATAAGTTCGTACAGTGCATGTTGATAATATTAAAATTATCACTTTAAAGAACAAAAAAAAAGAAAAAAAAGAAAAAAAAATACTGAAAAAACCTGTAACGGTAGTGTCATATTTACTTCGTATTGTATACATTTTAGCCTGATAATTCAAAATGTTGACAAAGTCCTCCATTTTTCTAATAAGAATGGTATAAAATATGATTTCTTCAAAAAAAAAAAAAAAAAAAAAAAAAAGAGTCAAGTACTTGGTACTTCTTTTATTTGTTGCCAAGAAGAAGAAATGATTGTATTTTAAGAAACCACAAAAAATTGTGGTTTTTTTTTCTCCTTATGACAAGTGACGTTTTTATCAAATTGAATAGAAGAAATTACGATTCGCGTTGCATTTGTCTGATTGATTAAAAATAAGTCTTATGAGAAGGCAATTGATAAAAACTGACTGATTTTAATAATATAAGTTTTATAGTCGATTTTTCAACGAAGATTTTAGATGTGTAAATGTCATATTTAAACATGGATCAACTCTCGAGAATTTCAATGAAGAATTGATAATAGAAACTAATTTAAATGAAATTTTTTCTATATGCACGTTTGTCATTTTTTGTTTTTTTTTTTTATTTAAGTTTAAAAAAAAACTAAAATTGTGTTTTAGGAGATAGATCTTTTGTTTTTAAATGAAATTTTTGTTTTAATTTAAAAAATTTCTGTTTTTAAAATGTTGTTTTTTTAAACTAGGGAGACACGTTTGTTAAACTTTCGATATTGCGAAATGTTGTTTTTTTTGCACTATTTTTTTTTGTTTTTAATATTGTCGAGCATATTATATTGAGTATAACGTTAAACACAAGATTATTTCAACGAAGTTAAGATGAGCGATTACTTGGCAGCTTTTTAACATTAATATATTTACAAAAAAAAAAAGTATTGTCACTACAAATACTCTTGAACATTTTAATTATAAACAATTCATACGTTAAAAGTGATTTTTAATTTTTCTGCCTTTTTCCTTGTTTTCCCATAATTATTTTTAAGAAAACAATTAAACATTCAATATATTGAATCTCATTTTATCTATTTTGAAGAATTTTTTTTTCCAATTATTTAGGGCGTTGCTATGGTAATGGTAACTTGAAAAGTTTAATCGATGGTCAAATGTAAAATCTCGACTCTTAAAAAAACAAAGAATTATAATTGTTAGAGTTGAAAAAAATATAAGTGTAAAGTTGAAAAAAAAGGAAATAAAAATGCCATCAATTGTTTTAAAAAATTACGAATGGCGTCAAACAAATACAAATGTTATTATTAATGTGGAACTTTTTGGTAATCCTAACAAAATAGATTTCTTTACTTCTGATAAATATGTAAAGGTAATTTTTCAATTAATTCTTAAATTTACAAAAAAAATTATTAATTAAGAGAATTAATAATTAATTAAAATAGTTTAAAAAAAAGAAGAATTGGAGAAATTAATATTTTTTTTCTTTTTTTTTTATTTAGGGAAGCTATCCGCCTTACATTTTTGAACTGTTTCTTTGGGAATTTATTGATGAAGAAGAAAGCGAGTGTACTTATAGTCAAAAAGAAATAATTATTTCTTTGAGAAAAAAACAAATAAATCTTCAATGGCCAACACTTGAATTGGATAATTTAAGCAAAGAATTGAAACGAGAATGTAGAAAAATTGCATTGGAATATTCTCATTTAACTTCTGAACAAAGAGTTAAAGCTAAAAGTGGTTTGTTTTTTCATTTTGCAAGTAGAAAAAAAGAGTAATAAAATATAATTATATTTAATTTAAATAATTTAATTAAGATTTTATTTAATAATTTCAGTTCGAAAATTGATAAACAAAAAATTTCTTTTCAGAAAAACGGCAACATTTACAAAAGCAATCAGTGAAACATCAAATTGATCTTGATACATTGGATTTAAATAAAATAGAAGCAATTCGTGATTCTCATAGAAGAGAAGCTATGAAAGAATTTGAGGAATGGAGATTAAACAATGAAAAGCCAATGTTTGAAGGGATTATTGGCAAGAAACAGGAGAATAGAAAAGAATACAGGTTTCAAGAGATTTTAAATACTTTACTAAATTCTAAAAAAAATTTGCAAGTTGATAAAAATAATTTATTTATTATTATTTTCCTACTTCTCTTAAATTCGATATTTTCAATTAATTAAAATTTAATAATTCCTTAATTAAACAATATTATTTTTTCTAATAATCTATAAGGGCACCATTAAAGTGGTTCAAAGAACCTTCTAATAAAGAAGCAGCAACCGATGCAAATAACAAACCACAAGATCCAAAGAAACTATCCAAGAAAGAAGTGGAATCAGTCAACGAGAAAATGACTAAAGCAGAGAAAGATGGAATAGAGCATAAAGAAGAAGTAAAAAAAAATAAAGATTCTCTTGTCAATAAAAATCATGATAAATTAGAAATCAACAAAGACAATGAAGACACCGAGGATTCTGATTCAGATTTTGAGGATAAAAATCATTTTAATGAATCAAAAAAAGGTTGTCTAATAAAAGAGATGAGTGAGATGGATTTGAAAAAATTTTCTAAAAAAAAAATTGAATTTAATAAAGAACAAATATTAAGAGATAGAAGAAAACGCGAAGTAATTCAAAGATTTCTTGATAAAAGTTCTATAAAGAAGAATGACATTTTTGACAATCCACATAAATCAATGCCACTTCCTAGAAAATGTTGTACAATTAATGTGACATTTAGTGAACGTGCATTTCCAACACCAGCGAGAGAAAGTTCTCATCTTGAAGAACAAGAAGTAAATATTTGCAATTATAAATATATAGTAAAAAAAATTATATAAATTAATAGTAATTTTAAAAAGATAATATATGAAAATATTTCAAAAAAAAATATTTATAATAGAAATGCAAATTTTGAATTTAGTGGCTAGAAAAGCAAGCGAAAGCAAGACGACAAACAGGATTTGTTTCTGAAGATCTTCGTCCCGAAGAACAAAATCCTCAATGGCTAAAAGATAAGGGAGAGTAAGTTAAATATTAATTTATTTATATTATATAAATTAATTATAAAATATTTTATATAAAATTTATTGTACCTATTACCATTATTATTATTATTTTATATTTCGATTTTTTTATTTTCGGGAAAAATTGCTTTTTTTTTTTTTTGTTAATTAGTGAATTAAAATTTTTTCAGTGATTTCTTCAAGTTGGGAAATTATTTAGGTGCTATAAGCGCCTACACACATGGAATAAAATTGAGCGAAAAAATGACATCACTTTACGTGAATAGATCAGCGGCTCATTATGCTTTGGGGAATTTTCACAAATGTGTAGAAGATTGTTCAACGGTAATAAATAGAAATTAATTTTTTCAAGAATTTTTCTAATTCATTAGATTATAATTTAAAAATTAATTTAACATTTTATTTATAATTTAATAGATATTAGAAAATTTTTTTTTTTTTGAATAATTTAAAAAAAATTAATATTACCTAATTTGAAAGTAAAAAAAAAAAATTGTTTATTGATAAAATTTTACAGGGCTTGGAATTAATGATTCCAAAATGTGAAGGCAATCGAGAATCAAGAGCCAGGTGTCATGCTCGAAGAGGCGCTGCTCTCTGCAAATTATCTGTTCCTCAACATGGTATTTCTGAATTGGAAGCCGCTTTGAAACTAGCTCCGAACAACGAGAGCATTAAACTCGATTTAGTAGCAGCAAAAAAATATTTCAAACTCGAGAATTAGAAACTCTTCCCTAGAAATTTACGCTCAATTTCTTTGTTCTGTGACCCTTGACAAGCGTAAATAGCAAATTACTCAAGACTCTCAGGAAGAAGAGTAAGGTAAGAAAAATAACAAAAAAAAACTTTTATTTATTCTTTTTACTTCCATACTATAATATAAATCAAAAAGTTAAATAATATCACAGGCAATTTTACCCAAATGGTTTTTTTTTTTTTTTTTTTTTTAGGATTTGCATTCGTTTTAGACATATATATAAAAACTTTACTAGTACGTATTTTATTTCAATCCAGCTTTCAAACGAATTTTCATTCTTGAAAACACATTTTTCTTTTTGAAAATTAATAACAAATTTTATTATTAATTTATTTTGATTAATATATATTTTTTTAAAATCATGAAACATTCTTTATTTTTTTAATTTATTAACAATTGGTACTTTAATAATAAAGATGTATTAAAAAAGAAGTTACAATAATTATGTGCATTTTCTAAATAGTAAAAACATTTTCATATTCTTTGGTTAATTATGCAATTAGCATAATACAGGAACTTAATTACGTCAGAAATTATCCGTCAGGAAATTCCCAGAGGCAGATTGAAAAACAAAATAAAATTTTAAAAAAAGGAATAAAGAAAATTCTTTTTTGATTTCAAAAATTTGTTAAAATTGATTACAGAAATTAGAATTAGATTTTTTTTTTTTTTAATCAATCAAAATAATTCTAAAAGAAACAAAACCTCAAAGAACTCTTGGGAATGCATTTCTGACGGATAAATTTTTTTTTTTCAAAGTGTTTTAATTGAATAAAAAGTCTCGTTCTACTTTGGATGAAAGCTGCTTTCGCGAACAAATCATAATTCTTATACACAGAATGAAAATCTTTTAAATGCTCAATATAATTACACAGAAACAACAAGTTTCTCATCCATACAAGCACATCTTGTGTGTTCCAATGTATGTATTATCTCATGATGTCGATCTCTTTGAAGATCTATTGCATGTTTCACCATGAAAACAAGACTGACATTTCTCGATTCGGCTGGTGCGCAAATTTGATTAATTGGACAACATCCGGAACCTCCACATCGTGCTAACACTGTTGAGGGTGGATAAAAAATTTCATCAGCACTTGGTCCAACTGTCAAAAGCTCCTCCACTGACACGGCTCGCGGTTGAGGAAAGGAGCATTTAAATTCACGAACCAATTGCACGTGATTTAAATAACTGCTGTCTCTGTGAAATAACAAAAAAAAAAATAAGTTAGTAAAAATTTCATTACTTTATTTAATTGAAAAAAAAAATTTATTTTTAAATGTAAAAATGAGACGGAAATTGCTTTATTTTAAAAATTAAATATTTACAGAATACAAATTATTATTTAGAAAGATTTAACAGAATTTAAATTATTATTATAAAAATTTTATCACTTAGTTAAAAATAAAATTTAAAAATCAAAAATATTTTTTTTTAGTTTGATAAATTTCACTGTTGTTCTTTAAGGATATTGTAGGCAATTTTTGTTTTTTCAAAATTCCAATTTTTGGAAAATTTATTATTATAGTTTCAAAATTAAAATTATTTTTTCAACTCTATTATTAAGTTTTAAGAAAAATTTAGTTTAAGTGCTTTAATTTCTTTTCACTCACTGAAAAGGAAATTAATTTTGTTTAACTATTAAAGCACATTTATTCTTATAAAAAAAAATTACAGAAAGTAGTTTAAAAAATTTTTATAACACAATTTTAAATATTAAAATATTTTTATTTAAATCACTTTTATGCTAGTAAAAAAAAATTCCAAAAAGTGCTTTCAAAAAAGTTTTAAAAAAGGTAAATTAGAATGTTAGTTCATATTATTTTTAGAAATTCTATATTTTTTTAAAGATCTTACATTTTTTCCATATATATTAATTAACTGAAAACTTTCTTTTTTTAAATTCTGTTTTTTGATAAAATTGTGATCGAATAATTTGGGAAATTCAGCACAAAACTTTCGTTTTTGTAAAAAAAATGAATTATAATTTTTGATTGTTCATTAATAAAAAAGAAATTGACAATTTTTCCTCTTGAAAAAACTTTGTTAATTTCGACATTAATTTTGATATTTTCTTTAAAGTGTTAATAAACTTTAAACTACATATGCTTTTTAAAAAAACTTGTATAGAAACAAAAATCTTACTTGAGATGCTTGCTAACAGCAAGTGAGATGAATCCAAGAATGATAAATAAAATAATAATTCTCTTCATATTGTCCTCTTACTTTTTTTAAGAAAAATAATTTTCAATTATCAAAAAAATATTGATCGTAATAATGAAATTACAATTTATAACTTGAAATTTTCAAAGCTCGCGCGATTGTAAGGAGCAAAGGATTCGTGACTTCTGTCTTCTGTGTTCAGAATCCTCTCTCTGTATATACTATACTATATATATAAGTACATGTAACTTTCATCCTCAGAGAGTTTGTCCCCACCTCAAATTTCTATCATCGTCATCGTCATCATCATCATCATCATCATCATCGTTTCTCTTTTCTTCTTTTTCTGCTCCTTGAAGTCTACCTCGCTCTCTTATAGTCTTTCTTTCTTTTTCTCTTCTCAAGCATCAATGTATATCAATCTGTCCTTCTCTCACTTGGTTCTTAGTAAACTCAAAGGAGGGGTCGAACAAACCGTTCCAAGAATATCACTAAGATAAGTATAATTACAACTTCTGGTCCTGCCTCCCATTCGAGAAATTGCGTTACGTCTCGTGACTCCGGATCGCACCTTCATTCTTCTTCTTCTCTCATTTTATCGCGTCTTTCTTATAAGTTTGTCAACAGAAGCTCTCTTTCCCATCCGTCCTTATATTCAAAAAAAAGGACAAAAATAATAATAAAAAAAAAAAACACCTGTAAGAAAAAACAAATCAGTAAAAATTATTTTATAAAAAGATACTTAAAATTTTGTAAATAATTTGTTAATTATATTTTGTAAAAAATTTCGCAAAAATGCTTTTTTTTATAAATCTCTCTTTTATATTTAATTTACAAAAGGAAATAAAAAATTAAAATTCTTTCAACTTTGGCGAAATAATGTTATTGAACTTTTTTTGGATCTTATTTCAATTTTATAAGAAAAATAATTATTATTGCAATTATTTTTTTTAAAGGCAAAATTTACGCTCTTTCTTTGGTGAGGAAAAAATGAGGTTCAACAGTGAATTTGAAAGATTTTTGGTATTGGTGTAAAAAAAAAAAAAAAGAAAGGGTTGATTGATTGCCAGCGAAAGAAACGAATTAAATTTCTAAAGGAGCTCAGAGGTTGAATATCTAAGCGATGCGACAGGTCGATGTTTTAGTGATTCATATCATCACGACCTCCTGTCTCTGTTGTGTCTGGTTACCCTTCAGGGTCGGATATGCTTTTCAACAAGAAATTAAAAAATAAATTAATTAAAATTAATATTAAATATTTTTCTCAATTTATTTATGAAAACAAATTTTTATTAATACTTTTTTTTAAAAAAAAAGAGCCAGACAGTAAAAGTGTGAGCAATTTTTTTGTTGAATAATCAAAAATTGCTTTTGGATAAAAATTAATTCCAACAGTTAATAATAATAAGAAAGCTTAATAATTAAATTGTTTCCTTTCTTTTAGTGTAAAAATTTAATTAAATTACGAGAATTTTATTGAACTTTTATTTTCGATTCTTTCATTAAAAAAAAATTTATGAAAAAATAAAATGTTTAATTTGTGGAAATTGTAGAAAAATAAATAATAATTGGAAAATAAATTGAAATTAAATTCAATTACTTTTTTTTGGATCTAACTCCGCTCCTGTGGATAATGCATTCGTGAATTTTTCATCTCGCTCGTCTTAGACATTCTTTGAGGTCGAATTACACACCCTCGATCCGGGAGAGAGTGATCCTTTACGTGAAATTTTTTTTGAAGGTGAAGTGCCTACGTGACTCGTCTAAATTTTCGGCTGAATGTGAAGACTTCTGGACTTTTATATTATAAATTTTGCCAAATCACTAATTTGATGAGTAATGAGGTTTTCTTTGCGATAAGCCTGAAATTAAAACAGGTTTTAAAGTTTATTCTTGTTTTTTTTTTAATTATTATTTTATGCACAGCAAAAATCAGACTATTTTAGTACAAATTCAACTGGATTAATTAAAATTGAAATTAATTTTAAGAAATGAAATACTGTTTGAATCCATCTGTCGCAATAGGAAATCCCAAAATTGATTTTATCTTACGAAGTGAATTAATTAAGAATTGAGTGAATTTCAAGGAGAAAAAAATAAAAATCGTTTTAGACACTTTATACATTTAAATTTTTGAATTTTTTGAATTTTTTTTTTTCACATTTTAAAGAAAAATTATTTTTACAATTTTTTTTTAATTTTTATTTATAATAAAATAATATTAAAATTTATTTCAGAGATAATTTGTTATAAATTATTATCGTGAAGAGAACTTAATAGTTTAGAGTTCTAATACATTTTGATTGTTGTAAATGTAATGTCTATCGCATCATTCTTGGTATACTGATAAGAAGCAAAAATTATACAAAGTAAACTTATTGCAGGAAAGAAAGTTTCAAGTATTACTTTGAAGATTATTTAAGAGAGATTTATTAATTAAAAATTATATAATTAAAATTGTTATACAAATAGATAAATATTTTATGTATTTATTATTATTTACTTTTTTATTATTGTAGAAAGAAAATAGAAAATTAATTCCTTCGATTATTTAAAATGAAAATTAATTTAATGTTAAATTATAATATTAATCTTTTTTTTATTATAATATTGGAATATCAATTGTTCAAAGCGAAATTAAATATATTATAACTCTGAATAAATATTTTTTAAAAAATTTTATTTTAAAACTAACTTATACTGCAATAATTTTTTTCTACATTCTAAAAAAACTTATGTACGAAGGGGCTTGTTCCGATTATTAAATAAATAAATACAAAAAAATTTACTGTATTATGATTTTGACAAAATGTAAGTTTAATTCTATTCCCATAAAATATAGAAATTAGTTTTTATATTTTGTAACAGTTTTCTTAGTAAGTATAGAAATAATACCAGTAATCATTATGTGAAACATAAAATTTGAGTTCATAGATTCCTCAAGCAATTTCCTTGACGTTTAAAAGTATCGAGTATGACTAGAAAGAGTTTCCGTTTTTCTCCTAATTATTATATTTAACAAAAAAAAATTATAAAAGTAATTATAAAAAAACAAATTCATATAATTCCATTTTTAATTTTTTTTTTTTTTTTTGATTAAAAATGTGAAATTTAATTTAATTAATTTAATAACAAAAATTTTTAAATGCGATTATCATTTTAAAGAGAAACTATATTTTTATAAAATTAAGCATTTTTAGATACAGAATTATGAAATTTCTACCTTTGGTAAATATGAATATTAAACATTGAAATATTTTTTGAAAAATAAAATTTTTAGATAAGTTCAAAATTGTATTTTAAAGTTTAACATCATAAACGTTATATTTTTAAATATTAATGTACAAAAAAATTAAACTTATTATTTTCATTAAAAATTAATAACATATAATTGAATTTTTTTTTTGGTCATAAGTTTCAATAATTGCGATTAAAATATTTCTCTGAATCTTCATTTTACAAGTAATGATTTTTAAGAATTACATTCATATTCGTTTCACGAACATCAATCGCGGGCAATTTTCGTTGAGTTTCGGTAGTTCATTCACTTCAATAATTGTAGGGTATGTTGGCTTTGAATGTTTACAATTTCAAACCGAAATTTCTCATTTGAAATAACATAAAAACATATTTTTTTTTTGGTTTGAAAATTTTTTAATATCTAATGAAAAATAATTGTAGTTTATTAATTTTTTATTAATTTCCCTTAAAAATGTAATCTCACGCGTACTCTCAGAGAGTTTGTTACATTTGAATACAGTTCTCCGTCAATATTCTCGAATATAATGACGAAGAACATTAGCAAACATTTCGCAAATCTAAATATTAATCGAAAAGAAAATCTAGCGTCGATCATGCGTGATTTCAAATTCAAGTAAATGCTATACTTCTCAAAGTATAAATACTCTGAGAAGAGGAAAGATTCAGCCACTCTCGTCTCTCGATTGTCTAAGCGAATACAGTGTTATTGTGATTCAAAAAAAAAAAAAAAAACTATATTTTAACTTTTAAAATTTCAAAAAAAAATTCAATCGCAATTTTTTTTTTTTTTTTGAAAAAAAAGAAGTTTCTTACCTTATTAAAACCAAAAAAAGATGAGAATCTCTTTCTGGGAGAATTCTTATCTTCTTCTGGTCCTCATTCTTCCAATTTTTGCCAATCAAGATTTTTCAACAACAGTGAAGAATATTGACCACCTGCCCAAAAAGATTTCTTTCAATCAAGGTATCAATTACTCGAGGATATTTGCCTGTAACGAACCACAGCCACGAGCTTATAATCTTCAAGATTTAATGGAAGGTGTACATTTAAATCCAGCTGAGAGTCCAAGTTATCCTGTTTATATAATTCTCAAAAGATGTGATGTTCATACAGGATGTTGTCCAAGTACCGATTTGAGTTGTTCCCCCGTTACAAGTTCCAATTATACCGAAGAAGTTGAAATTAAAATCAGTAGTGTGGGAACGAGAAACAATAAAAAAACATGGATTAGAGTTGAACATCATGGAAAATGTGAATGTAGAGTGACAAGTGTTAATGACAGGATCTGTCAAGAAAATCAAAGACCTCTTATAGTACTTCTTTGACCTTCAATATTTCTTAATTTTATTCCTTCAGGAATAAAGTTGAAAAAACTTTTTTTAAAAAGTAACTTAACTCTCTGACGTTGCTAATAATTTATCCTCCACTCCAGTGCTATAAAAAGTAATTCCAACGATTCATATTTTGTAAATATCAAAAATATTATTTATAATATTTAGTGATAAGTGGTGATTATTTTTAGGAATTTTAAAGTTGATTTTTTTTCCGCCGTACAATGTTGAGGATCTAAAACAATAAAAATCAGTAGGCGTTAGAAAAAAAAAAGTGTTTTAGAAGAAAGTTAAAAAACTTTTTGTGCTTGTTACAGAAATTTTGAACATTTCAGAATCATTAAGCTATTTCTTTTTGCAAATCCAGAGTCCAGACGTTCTTGACGTGAAATTGCTTTTGAAAAAGAATGGGCTTTAAGACTATTTAAATGTAGAGTATTCGAGGAAGATATTTGGCCATGTGCCAAATGTAAATCTCTTTGCGGCGTCAGTAAATCGAATCATCAAACATACATTTTATCACGATTGAACATTTTCTCATAACCGCTTCGATTTGCCATTGGTGAAAATACGGAACTCTTTTTCATTCTAAAATCAAAAAGAAATTTACATTAATAATAATTGTGATAACATTAATTTTTATTTTAAGGCAAAAAACAGTATTTCTTCAATTTATTTTTATGACACTTTAAATATTAAATTCGCTTTCATACAAAAATAATTCTTCTAAATTTAATAAGATTTTATAAAAATATATAATTTACAAAATATTTTTTTAATACTAATTTAATTTTCTCCAATAAATTAGCAATAGCCTTGAAAATTTCCAAGTCTCAAATTGTTTATAAATCCTCAAGTGATAAGTGATTTAGAGATCTGAGATTAGCTCTTCGTAAAAGTTGGGGTGATTTCTGCGATAGCAATAAAAAAAAAAAAAAATAACTCAAAAACTAATTTTAAATATTTTTATTACATTACTTTTTAATTATAAAATTATTCTATAAATGAATGAAATCCAAATAAAACTAGTACAAGAAACTAATTTCTCCATCAGTTTTCACTTAAATCGAATATCAAATTTAATAAAATTTTACATTCAAAATTTATACTAACAAAATTATTCAAGAAATTAATTTCACTTCATTTCTTATTTTCATCCACTTTAATCAAATATCAAATATCATGATTAAAGTAAAAAAATTTTCATTCAAAACATTTATACTGAAAAATTATTCAAATATATTGACAATAATATATTACAGAGGAAAAAAAGTTGACATTTAGAATCTTAAACTAGATACCTACAACGAAATATTTTGTCATAATAAAAAAAAGTCATACCGAAAAATAAAAATTCGTAATAAGAGAGAAAACAAAATTTTTCGGAATGTCGTAGAAATCTTATTACATATAAATACCGAATTTTCGTTTTTTTTTTTTTTTGCCATATATCACTTACATTATGTGCGAGATACAATTTTACTTTTCGCCGCTGTTTTTTTTAAAATCAGAATCCAAAAGATTTCAGTAATTTTAATAGTAAAATAATTATATTTAGTACAGAGAACGTGTATTTTGTTGAAATATTTTTGGAAGCTTATTTATGAGATTTATAATAACATTAATGGTTTACAAATAAAAAGTATTTCGTACTTCAATGTTTAACGTTGGAAAAAAAATTTTTTTTTGAGGGTTTTTTTTTCTTTAACTATAACTATAAGGATATTTTGCACGCATACGTCTTCCCCTAGCTCTTCCTCTTACTGCAGTTCCCTCGCTGGCGCCTCGTGGTAAGTGACCACGCATCATGCCTGGCCCTGAATTTTGTCCTTAAATAAAATACATATTTATGACCTCAAGAGAGGGTTTATGAGAAAAAAATTTTAAAAAAAATTGCGAATTTAAATATGTTGATTATAAAAAGCAGAATGATTAAGTGCAAATTTATGAACAAATGTGATTAGATGAAAAAAAAAGTTAACAAACTTTTAATTTTTTTTTTTCCCAAAAAGAACAAAACAATATATATTAAGTTAGTTGATTTGCAACAGTCTATATCAGAAAGTTAATGCTGAAAATCGGAAAGTTTTTAAAGTGCATAAACTTTTTTATTCGAGTTATTAATTTTTATTTCTCATATACCTATGATAAACATTTACTATTTTCAATTTCTTTAAAAACTATTATGATTTTCTTAAAAATGAAAAGCCGATTTTCGATTTCGATTTTTTTAAAATCGAAATTACTTTTTGAAAATAAAGAAATCAGTAAATAATATTTTTATAGGCCCATTGGAAACTGAAAATAAATAAAGAAGGAAAAAATTAGAATTCTCAAAAAAAAAAACAAAAAAAATTGATAATAATTTTTATTTTAATGTTTCTAAGAGAAAAGAAAAATTTTATTTCTCAGGTTTCGCTTTAAAAAATGTTTATGCATTAAGGAGAAATCGAATGGACAGTCAAATTAAAAAATTAGTCTAACTCTATATTTTCGTTTTTTTTTTTTTTAATCAAAAAGCAATTTATAATTTTAAAAAGCATTTCAGTGAAAATGTGATCAATTTTAATTTTACCAATTTTGAACCATTAAATGTTCCCATTGGGTAAAGAATTAAAAATTTTGTGAGATTAAAAGAACAATTATGAAATTTTTAGGTTTTTTTTTAACCAGAACCATTTCATTTTTCATAATCTCAAATTTTTACTATTTATCCAATGGCAACTTCTAATTCTTCAAAGTATCAGAAATAAAATTTTTCATAATTCCACTGTAACAATTTTAAAAATTATAAATTTCTTTTTGATTTAAAAAAATAACAAAATATGGAGTTGGACTGTAACTTTTGTTTTGATTATATATCCAATTTTTCTCTGAATTCTTTCCTACTTTTAGTATTAACTATATGTACTTACAGACTGTCGTATATCATATATCTTAATAAAACAATAAAAACAGTACACTTTTTTTGTTTTGAAGAAATCAAAACATATTCTTTTATATGAAATTAAATACCTATTAAGTTAAACTTTAGGTTTTAAATTATAAGTATTTATAATTTACAAAAAAGCATTTTTGGGTTGCATAAATGTGCTTTATAAATCATTACAATTGTAATTCTTTGGAGAGTACAATAAATTCCATATTTTTTTATAGATTCAAATAATCTCAAATTTAAAACGCTTTTAAATAAATTAAGAGAAAATAAGGCAAATAAAATTAAACAATTTTTATATATTTTGGAAAAACTGCAAATGCAATTGAAAAAAATTATTTCCTATTTTAATAATTATTACACATTTTTTGTGTTTTTCTTCAATTTTGATAAACAATCGTATATTTAATCCAACTTCAATAAATTATAACTTATTTTATTTTCTAAAGGATTATATAATTACAACTCTATTTGTTGAAAATATTTTATTTAAAAAAATATTAAGCATAAAAATAGAACAAAATTAATTAATTTTCTTTAAAGCAAATTATTTTCAACAAACAGATTTGTTATTAGAATTTTTTTAGAGAAAAAAAAGTGAGTTTTAATTTAAAATCGGATAAAATATAAAAGTGTTTATCAATAATAAAGATAAACACAAAATGTGAAATAATTATTATTATAAAAATAATCTTAGAAGACGAATTATTTTTTCGAATCGCATTGATAGTTTTTTCAAAATATATTAAAATTAATTTAAATTATTGTTTCTTTTCTAATTTAAAAGTATTTTTAGTTTAAAATTATATTCTGTTATTTATAAAAAGAAAAATGTTATATTCTTTAAATTAAATTTATGATAAAGTATTGTCGAACAAAACAATAATTTAAATCTAAAGATAAAAATATTTCCATTTTCCTTAATCATGTAATTATACTGTTCTCCTCAAACTAAACTGGTTAATGTTTTTAATGCCATGTGTTACAACCTAAAAATGCTCCATAAATGAGTATTTGGTTTATTTTTAATTTTTTTTTTTCAAAAATAAAAGCTCTAAGACAAATTAACGAGATTAATTCTAGTGTGACTACATTTTGTTTCCCTGAGTATGTAAATTAAACTCCTATAATAATATATAATATACAGCTGTAAAAAGAACAAATTGTTTTTCAATAATTCACGAAATTATTCTCAACAATAATTTACCCATGAAGAGATGAATTACATGTCAAATTTATAATTTCGCTTGCTTGTTTACTTCTTAAAATTCTCGCTGTGTACAATCTAAACAATTTTACAAAGAACTTAAAATCTATTTAAGATTATCAACAAAGCAAAACAAAAAAAAATTTCCTTTTTGAAAAACAGAAAGTGCTAGAAAGCAAAAATAGATTTGTCATTATTTTCATGCATTTGTTTCACAGAGAGGAAATAAAACAAAAAAATGAATGAACGAATGAATGAAGATAATACTGTTCATTATAAAAAAAAAAAAACTATTTTTGTCTAGAAATCAACAAACACCAAGAATAAAAAGAAGAGAGAATCTAGTTTGTTTTGAAATGACAATTTATACCTGAAGGTCCTCCAAAACCGTAAGCTAAGAAAGTAAACAAGCTTTTACATAATAAAAATTTACAAGCTTTACACCTTGTTGTCTTTTTTATAAAACTCATAACTTCTCCGCAGCTTTAATAATTTAATAATATAAAAATAATAGCTTCTCTCCAAACGCTTTTTATAAAATAAACTTTTTATGGGTCGGAACTCTCACCCCTGTTCGACTGACTGTTGTCCCAGATGATGGGAGTTGGTCTTGCACCGCGATTCGTTCTAAAAGGTGTTCTTGCTGCTCTTCTTGCAGTGCCTCCTCTTACGGGTACAGAAGAAGAACCTGCTGCGGCTAACGCTGCTGCAGCAAGCAATGCCCTTTGTCGGGTATTCACTGAAGGTGATGCTTCAGCTTCACGATTTTCTTCTTTTGAATCGTCTTCAACTATTTCTAATCCAGCTTCTTCTGAAGCGTCAACTCCTGCGTCTACATTATCATCCTCACCAACTCCAGAGCCAGAGGCGCCGGCTTCTTCATTTTGTTTTTCAGCCTCGGAGCCAATATCTTCAAATAAAAAAAAAAAAAAAAAAAAAAAAAAAAAAAAAAAAAAAAAAAAAAAAAAAAATGTAAGTATAAAATATAAATAATAATTTTGAACAAAAAAATTAAAGATTATTGTTTTAGAATCGTTAGGTATCTAAAGTCGTTGCGGACTATTTTTAGAAAAATGTTATAATTTTAGATTACAAAAATATTTGATGAAAATAAATTTTTATGTATATATGAAATGTTAAAATTTAAAAAAATTCGTAAATATATTTAGTTCAATACAGCTTAATATTAAGTACTTTTAATTTACTTTCATCAAATGGTGAATTATAATAATATAATAATAATTATTTTTTAAAAAGTAACTCATTCATTAGTAAATATTAAGAACAATTAATTATGTACTCACTTTCCATCGGTGCCACATTATCAGAATCTGCAATTATTTCTGGTTGAGTGCGATCTTGTTCTTCGGTAACAAGACGATTACTTGGAATTGAAGTATCCTCGTTGCTATCAACAGCCGCAGGTGTTCTTTCCAAAATCATTGACACCGGCGCTTCTTGTTCTTCTGAAGGCTCACTACTTGTCTGCAAATTGTTATAATTTATAACTTTTTGTCTAAACTAATTTCAGGCTACGAAGCGTAGTAAGAGACTAAGAAAAATATGGAAAAGTATAATTTTTTTAAAAAAAAAAGTATCCCCAAAATTGAAAAAAAATGGCATCTACCGTGGATGTACCAGTTACTGTCCATGTCCCAGTTTCTGTCCATTTTACAAATATCTCGTATAGTAATTTAAATTATTTTTTAACAATAATTTATTCCTTTTGTCACACAATCGACTTATTAGTTTAAGTAAACAAATAAAAGAAAATAATTTTTTTATAAATGTTATTTTGAAAATTAAACTGGACGGAAACTAGGTCTTAGGTGGACGGTAACTGGGACATCCACGGTATAAAATAAAGTAAAATTGTCTAAAAAAAATTGAAAGAAAAATTCTGAGGATAAAATTAACATTATGTTTCTTCTGATTATTTTTCAAAAAATAATCTATTGTTAAACTTCGATTAACTTTTTGTTTTTGGTACAACGGTAGGAGCGTATGATTATTTTTTAAAAATGATTTTTCACATAAATTTTTATTTTACAAAATAGCATTTAATACAGAATTTTTTTTAAACGAATGTTTACTCACGTAGCTGAAGTACGCAACGTTTATGATAAACAATTTTAAAAAAAAATAATTTTTTAAAATGAAAAATTCTATAATTTTTTGCCTAAAAAATATTTCTTGCAGTTTTTACTAATCAATAAATTATAAAAAAAATATATTTTTAGGTAAACAATTTTATAATTATCCGTGTTAAATAAAAATTGATTTCTAATCGTTGAACATAAACGTTGCGTACTTCAACATCGTTGTTTACTCAACGGAATTTTCAAAGTACCCAATTTTTATTTTACAAAATTTCTTTTTATCCAACTGTTTCTTGAAAAGAATTCTAATTTAACCTATATTTTTAATTGATTAGAATTTTAAGTAATTCGAATTTTTAAATCCTAGAACTTGGAATCAGAAGCTTATACAAAATATTTAGTATTTAAAAAAAACAAATTTTAATTAAAAATCTCCAAAAATTCAATTATTTCTAAAATTTGTATCTAAAATTCAATGCTAAATTAATAATTTCAATAAATTTTATCCAATTATTCAAAAATTCAATTAAATAAAACATTTTTTAATTAAAAATTCAGTAAAATTCAATTACTATTTGAAACTTTGTTAATAATTTTCAACAATTCTAATTTACAAAAATTTAAATTCAAAATCTCCTGAAATTCGATTATTATTAAGAATTATGATTCAAATTTTTTGTTGGCATAATTATTTCTAATAATTTTAATTAAGATCTTGGCATTTCAATTATTTAAAACATTTTTTAATTCGAAATACTCTAAAATTCAATTATTGCCTGAAATTCGGTTTAATTAGAATTATTTTTAAAAAAACACAGTTGGGTAAAGAAAAATTTTGTAAAATAAAAATTCTATCAAAAAAAAAATTTGCCAAATTAAAAATTCTTTTAAGTAAAAAGGTCGTTTAATAAGAAATTATATTAAATGCTATTTTGAAAAATAAAAAATTTGTGTAAAAAATAATTATATAAAGCAGTAGTTCACGCGACCAATAATAAATCATTAACTTGGCGAGCTTTTAGAAATAAAAAAATTTGCTAAAATTAAAAATTCTTGAATTCTGTAATTTTTAAAATTATTTTTTGAAAAAAGTAGCATTTAGTGGCTTTTGGCCAAAATTAAGTATTAAAAAAGTAGCCCTGTCGAAAAAAAGTATCTAAAAAGTAAAAAAGTATGTCACTTCGAAGCCTGTAATTTTTATAACATTTTTCGATCAAAAATTTTTGAGAGGAGTCATCACCTTCATTTTGAGTCCTTTAAATTTTAATGATCACAGGAAGTTTGTTTTGGCATCAAAAATAAAATTTTAATTTTTGACCATTTTAGAAATTAAAGTCTGAAAAAAATTAATATTTTTAATATCTATTTTCTTTCACAATTTTGATTATTTTTAATCGACAATTTTTTTCCACGCTTTTTTTTAATGATTTTTAAGAATCTCTTGCATGGATTTTCAAAGATATTAATTTTTTCAAAAAAAAAAAAAAAAAATTCTAAAATGGTCAAAAATTAAAATTTTTTTTTTACCACTTTATATGTTTTTAGGACCCAAATTATGCAAGAAAAAAAATATAACATCGTTTAATAATTTAAATTTAAGTAGGCAAAATTTTTTTACTATTTTTCGGATGAAAATTATCTTTTTTTTTTCAATCGTTGATAATAAACGTTGTGAACTTCATCGACGTGTTTTTGGTAGAAAATGAATATTTTTAATAGTTGATATAAAAAAAATTAAAACTTTATTCTATTTTTTTTGTAAAAATAAAGGAAAATTTAGGGAAAATCTTTTAAATATAAGGAACTTTTAGGGAAAATGAAGTCCGACTATGATGTCTGTAATTTGTATTAATGAAATCGAGTAGAAAAATTATAATTATCATACCGATGGAGGCATATCAGCCGCTGGGGAAACTTGCAGTGGCGTAGTTGGAACACTTCTTCCAGTTCCGCCATCTTCCAATTGAGTGAGATCCATTCTTGTATCATCCATACCCTCTTGAACAACTTGTGCTACACCAGGAGCAGAAGATCCAAAAATCGTTCGGGCAGCAGTGCCAGAAGACGTTGTTAGCGATGGTGTTGACGATGCTGTCGTTGGTGCTGATTGATCACCAAATGTGAAACGTCCCTGTGGAACTTGAGGAGAACTGACAGCTTCGCCAAATCCATCACCTCTACGTGGAACAAATAATGTCGGTGTACTTGGCACAATGCAATCATCACCGCCATCCTCGTAGCCTTGCTGAGGAAGAAGAAGATGTTGTTGTTGCTGTTGTCTTGGCATTGGAGCAATACCTCTCGCTGAACGAGCAAATGAAGGTGGTTCACCGGAAGGACCAGCTGAACTTATAGCTTCAGATTGCTGTTGCTGTTGACTTGCAGCAATAGCTGGTTGCACTTGTCTTGGAACTTCAACACCTGCTGTATCCTCTTCCATAATTATTTCCACTTCATTATTATCACCTTCTCCTTCAACTTCAACGCCGTATGGTAATTCTTCCTCTTCCTCCATTTCTTCATAAGGATCATTTTCAAATTCTTCTTCTTCTTGAGCCTGATGATTTCCACCTCCTTCACCTTCATCACAATCCACTACAACGACACATCCGTCTTCGCCTTCCTCATCTTGATCCCTCTGGCTTGATGTAGGCACCTTAATTAAAAAAGAATTAAATAAATAATACCATCAATATTTAGATTGACATTCTTGTGAGAAACGGGATTTCTAAAAATTACAACAAAAAATACAAACTATTTTTTCTGGATCTAGAGTAAATGCACTAATTACGGCGCGATTCGAGTCAAAACACATTTGAAATAGAAAATTCCACATTTCTATTGTAGAAAGTCAATTTGAAACTTATTGATAAAAGCTTATGTTATTTAGATATTAAAAAAAGTTTTAAACTTTATAAAAATCGATTATTTAAATCACGGTGACTAAAATTACGTACATTTTGAAGATACTTTGCTCACCGTAATTGAAGCAAATGGAAATCTTAAAAATGTTTCAATTACGGCGAGGGAAAAAAAATTTTATCTCAAATAATTAAATTAATAATTGTTTAAATGTGCATCTTTAATAGTAATATTCAATATTTTCGGAATTTTTTTAAATTTTCGATAGTGACAATACCCAAAAATTTAATTTTTATGGTGAAAACCATATAACAGCCCTAAAATTTTTATTTTTTGTTTGTTTATTGGAAAAAAATATACAAAATTTTCAAAAAGTGCATAAGATATAAAAAATGTATTTCAATTCAAAATTTCGAAAATTTTAAAAAATTCAGAAAATATTGAACAAATCGTTTTCAGGCCTCGGATTGACTTTAAGGCACAAAAAAAGTCATTTTAGTCGATTTATATTCCAAAAAAATGTCGAAAAAGTTGATTTTTTTTATTTTAAAAAAATTTAATTGATTAATGAATCATTTATTTTAAATAACTAATGTTATTCGATATTAAATTCATTTTATTAATTCTGTAATGAGAATAATTCTATAAAAAAATTATCCAGAAAATTTATTTCGAATATTTTAGAATCGAACTAATTGTAAGACAAATTTTAAAAATTTTATTTAAAAAGCAAGACAAATTTCTAAAAAAATTCTTAAAGTTCAATTTTTAAAATTTTTTTAAAACCTGATTTAAGTTATTTATTCGAATTAAAAATTTTGGCACAGTTTTTAGTTTTGATGGTAAAAAAAATTTCAGGCTTAATCACGTTTTACAAATTTTTAAATAAAATTTTTTTTTAATAATAATTTTGGAAAAGTTCAAGTTGGAATTTTTAGAAATAATTGAATTTGAAAAGATTTTGTTAATTTTTAGACAATAATTAAATTTTACAGAACTAAAAATAATTTATCAAATAATTTTAGATAACATTTTTTAAAAATAATTAAATTTTCAAAGATTTACAATTTTGATTTTTGAAAGAAATTGAACTTCAAGTGATTTTTAATTAAAATTTTTTGATGATTTCTGTTATGTACTTAAAAATTTATTAAAAATTGCAGAAAAAAATACAATAATTTGAAAACTTTTAAAGCGAAAAATAGTTTCAGATAGTTGAATATTCGAAGAATATTATAAAAATCTTTAAAAATAATTGAATTTCAGGAGAGTTATAATTGAAATTATTTCATTTTAAAAAAAATTCTAGAAAGAAAATTTAAGAAATATTTAAATTTCAGACAATAATTATAGTAAGAGGAATTACTAGTGATATCAGTTGATGAAGAATTTATTAGAAATCACATATAAAAATTGATAATTTAATTTTTGAAGAATATTATAAAAACCATTAAAAATAATAGAAAATTTTTGCAAATAATTAAATTTCAAGTGATTTTAAATTAAAATTTTTTGGTAATTTTGTTTGCTAATTTTTTTTAAAATTATAAATAATTATTAAATTTCATAAAAAAATTTTAATTTGGAAAATAGTTTAAGATAATTGAATTTGTGAAGAATTTCATTAAAATAATTAAAAATAATTAATTTATTGAAGAATTTTAGATAAAAATTGATTAAATAATTGAAATAAAGAAGATCTGCATTTTATACTAAAAAAATACGAATTTTGTTTAAAATTTTTTTAAAAATTTAAAAAAAAAATCGAAAAAGTCGCATTTTATTAAAATAAGTCGAAAAAGTCGTATAATCCGAGGCCTGCGTTTTCCTATAACCAGACCAGGCTTAAAATGTTTGTAAAAGAAAGTAGTTTTTTTGAAAATTAGAAAAAAAAGAAATGTAACAATACAAGCAGTTTTAAAAACAAGATTTTAACGTTTAAATTACAAAAAATATAGTAAATTTTAATTGTATAAATTTCTGTCTGAAATTGTCAAAAAAGTTGGGTTAAAAACATAAATTTTGAGAAAAAAAACTGAAAATTGATGCATTTATAAGAAAGTTATGAGCATTCAAAAATAAAAAATCATTAAAATTGTTAAATTTTGAAAAATTTATATCTCGTAAAGAGTTTGATGAAAAAATTTCCCGGTGAAAATTTCAATCCCGGCTTTTTCTTCGATTGAAATTTTTCCCGGTTCTCCTGGTTGGAAAGGTACGAAAATCAGTAAACTGATCGAGAAATATAAAAAAAAAAAAATTCCTTAAATATAGTGAATCTTACTTGATATTCAATTTCCGATGCACTGGCAGTAGCTGAAGGTGTCACTTCCTGTTGTCGGCTTCTTTTTGCCTTTGGACTTGGATTTTGTTCTGGACGATGATCAACACCTTCAACAACACCAGAACCCGATGCCGATGAATCCAATGTTCTTGGTCTTTTGTGTCCCGTTGAACCTTGCGAGGTGCTCACTGATTGAGTAGAACTGCTAGCGACCGATTGTTGTTGTTCAATTGTAACTTGATTAATTTGCTGTTGCTCAACTCTGGGACTAACTAATGCAACAGTTTGTTGTTGCTGTTGCTGTTGTTGTTGACATTGTTGCTGTTGTCCTGTCATAATTTCCAAACTCTCGGGTTCTTCACGTTGTGTTGATTCAGCAGTGCCACTTAATTGTGGTTGTACAGCAAGTTGTCTTAAACTATTTGGTGCCGATTGTGATGATGAGGATGACGATGATGATGTACTCGTACTCGCTGGTTGATAATCCGTGTGACTACTTGTCGGTGAACTTGTTTCGGTTGTATGAACAGCTTGTTGTTGTGGTTGTTGCTGTTGTTGTTGTGGTGCAACAAGTACGGGTGCAGAAGCTGTTGTTGGTAAAACAGCAGCTGTTCGCGATTGTACAACAACGCTCATTGGTCGAATACTTGCAAAAGGTGTTTCGGCTCTTGCTGACATTGGTTTAATATTTGCAGTTGGTGGCTCTGTTGTTGCACCGCTTGTACCACTAACACCTGCCAATTGTCTCTGTAGTAGAGTAATTTTCTTCTCTAGTGCCTCTTTCTCGGCGAGTATTTCTGATTTTTCATGCTCCAATCTTGATATTCGTGCTTCGTTTTGAATTCTCATTGTATTAAGACGTGCATCAAGTTCGGCAGCTGTATTATTATCATTTGAAACTAAATCAACTCTTGTTTTTAGTTCACCAATTTCTTTTTCATAATTTTTTTTGAATTCAGTGAGTTGCATAATTTTTGTTCTTGCATTCTTGAGAACTAATTTAGCACGTTCCTCCTTTTCCGAGCAACTTCGATTAATAACATCGATTTCTTTTTTCAAATTCTCGGATTCACTTTGATAGGCCGTTGATTGACGGGTTAATTCTTCAAATTGTGCTGTCAATTGATCGATACGTTCTCTTAATTCTTGAATTAGTTGAGTGTCACGTTCGTGGTTAGCTTGCATTTCTTCATTGGCAGCGTTGGTAGTTGCGATTCGTTGTTCTTCGGCTTTTGTTTTTTCTTCCTGATTTGCCTTGACCAATTCTTCATATTGCATTTTATATTTTCTGGCAATTTTGCGAATTTGTAATTCTTTATTTCGTATGTCATTCAATACAGTCTCTTTGTCAGCGAGTTCCTTTTTCAATGTGGTTAATTCTTTTTCTTTGTTATTTAAGTCCAAGGTTGCTTCACCTAATTCTTGAGTTAATTTACGTGCATCTTCGGAAAGCTTTACGAGTTGTTCACTCTGTGAGTGTAATTGTTTTTGTAGTTGATCGACTTGTTCGTCTAATTTGGATTTTTCAATTTTAAGAGCATTAAATTCATCGGACATTTTTGCGTGTGTTTCACGTTCAGATGTTAATAGTTTGCTGAGATTTTCACGTTCGGTTTGAAGTCGACGCCAATCTTCGGGACTTGCTTTATTTGCTCTTTCAACCAATGTATTGGCTCTCTGTCTCCATCTTGTTGCTTCTCCTTTGAGGCTAACATTTTCTTGCAAGAGATTTTCTGTTTTTCCTTCTAAATCGCGTGCTTTTTCTCTCAATGGTACAACTTCTTCTGAAAGTGCATTAACCTGAATTGTAAGTTCTGAAACTTTTGTACTTAGAATATCTCTTTCTTCTCGTAGAACTCGATTTGAATCTGTAATTGCATTTAGAGTTTCGACTTTTCTTAGTAAATTTGCATGTTTTGTTGCGGTTACAACGTCAATTTCTAATTTTTCACGCTCTGAATTAAGAAGAGCTTCAGTTTCCTTTAATCTACGTTCTGCTACTTCAGCTTGTGATTTTAATGTTATTGTTTCCGCTTTCAATACATCGTATCTTGCAGCGTTTAATGCTTTTTCTTTTTGCATAAGTTTAATTAATTGTATCAATTGCTCGTGTGATTTTGAATCTTCTTCAATATTTCCAAAGCTACGATTTAAATCAAAACTAGTGTCGGCACTTTCATTTCCACCGAATTTCGTTTGTTGACTCTGCATCACAGCGGCTCGATCACTCAATTCTTGAATTTGACTATGTAAAATAGCATTTTGTGCATTAAGATCCTCTACTTGTTTTTGAACTTGTTTCATTTCGTCAATAACTCTTTGCTCTCTCTCCTTCCATGTGGATTTTTCCAATTCTAAATTTTCAATAGCGGAATTTCTCTCTTGCGTTAGTGTTGATATTTTTCCTGTAATATCTTGTGATTCTTCTTTTAATTTTGCCAAACATTGTAAATCAGTTGAATGTAAACACATTTCACGTACATATTTCTCTTCGGCTTCTTTAGCGGCAAGTGTTGCACTTTGTAAATCAGATTTGACAAGTTCAAGTTCACCTTTTACTTCATCGAGTTCTTCCAATTTCTTCTCAGCGACTGCAAGTTTTTCCCTTAAATCAAAATCTGTCTCTTGATTTCCACTGGAAATTTTCGATAATTCCTCCTGCATTACACGTAATTTATTCTCCAATGTTGATAATTCATTTCGTGAATTTTTCAACATATTTTCCAATTCTTCCTTCTCGCGATTATGTTGAGCTGTAATTTCACGAAGTTGTGCCTCTGAACTTTCGGCAATATCGCAATATTGTTGATTTTGATTACGTGCCGATTTCAATTGTTCTTGCAATGATTTTGTTTCAGTTTGACTATTGGTGAGTTGTAATTCTAAATCTTTGATTTTTTTATTATCATTGCCAGTTATTGGTTTTGTTATTGAATCAACGGCGAGTTGTCGATTTTTATTATTTAATTCATCGATACGTTTTAAATTTTCCGTCTCGTTTAATCGCGCTTGATCCAATTCGGATTTAACTCTTTCGGCAAGTGCTCGTTCCTCGGTGAGACGATTCTCGGCATTATTGACACGTTTCTCTAGATGTGATGTAAGCTCTCTAAAACGATCTTGTTCTTCTTGTAAACGTCGACGAAGTGCTGCGCATTCTCTTGTGATATCGTCTAATCGTTGTTCAGCACGTAATTGACCTTCAACTTGTGAACGTTCAAGACTTGCTTTTATTGATTCAACATCGGCCTTTAATAATGCTTGAGTTTGTCGTTCACGATGAAGAACTTCACGTTCTTTTAATAAACGATTTTCTGAATCCTTCAAAATTTGTCTCTCTTGACGTAAATTCTCAAGTTGTACTTCAGCACGTGAAAGTTTTGATTGAGCTGACAAACATTCGTCCTTTAAAATCATAATACTCTGCTCGTGTTTACCAATTGTTGTATTATATGTATTACATTTTTCTTCGAGAATTTTAATTTGTTCTTTATATGAAACAACATTTGCTTGTAAAAGATGGAAACGTTCATTCGATGAATCAAGTTGGGCTTTTAGACGACAACATTTTGTTGAACTACTTTCTGATTCTTTTCTTAAACGATCAATTTCTTCGCCGAGCATTTTTTCATGTGCCGCTTTTTCTTTTTTATATGTTTCAAAATCGTCGGTGATTTGTTTTAATCTTGTCTCGGAATCAGATAATTTTCTCTCCCATTCTTTATTGTTTTTCTCATTCTCCTTTTGTGATTGATTACTATTGTCATTATTATCTGTTTTAGTAATTTCGTCGGTTGATTTCTCATTTATTGATGTATCATTTTCTTTTTCTTGATTATTTGTATAACCACGTGAGGCAGCTTGAGTGAGACCTTGTTGATACATATTCTTGTACATATCGCGTTGTTTTAATAAACCGTCAAACATTTTTGCTTGTCTATCTTGTGATGCTCGCATTTCTTCAAATTGTTCAATATATTTGTCAAGTTTCTCTTTCATTTCCTCGCATGTTGATTCATTTGCAACACGTTCAAATTCCTCTTGTCGGGCTGATAAAGTTTTTACAATTGTTAAAAGTTTTTGATTATTCTGTTGAAGTTCCTCGATATCACGGAATGTGACAAGTTTTTTGCTGATAATTTGTGATGATGTGAGATCATCGCTCTCCATGGAAATATCATTTGAATGAATTGTATGACCAGTTCGTAGTTCTTGAATTTCTTTCAAAAGGAAACAAACTTGTCTGGCAAGATCGGATAATTGTGTTTTTAATGTTTGATTTTCTCTTGTATGAATATTGGCAATTTTATTTGCTTCCTCGGTTTGTTCTTGTAATGTATTATTCTCAATGAGTAATTCTTCAAGACGATTTGATAGTGTATTGACATTATCGAGCGCTGATTCATAATCTTCACGTTGTTGTTGAAGAATTGGAGTTTTCTCCTCAATTTCATGAAGAATATCATCCATGTGGGCTTTGAGTTTTTCATTTTCTTCACGTGCCATCGCTAATTCATTGGTGACATCAACTAATTGTGTGTAAATTTGAGTTAAACTCAAACCCTTTCTGAGAACTCGGCTAGTAACTGCTGCAGTTGGTGCCAATTGTTCAACAGCTTGATCTAATCTCTCTTGTCTTAAACTTGAGAGCAATTCATTGGCGTGGGCCAATTCTGTTTTGAGTTCATTAATTTTTTGATCCTTCTCAGTATTCTCTTCCTCGCGTTCCTGCATCAATTGATTGTGTTTCGATTCAAGTGTTCCATATTGTTCGGTGGCATTTTCAATTAATTCTTGTAATTCTTTCACAGCATTGGTATATTCTTCGGCTTTTGCATTTGTATCGTCTGCCATTGATTTATAGAGTTCAGTCAATCGAGTTTGAGCGGCAACTTCTTCACGATATGATGCGTGCATTGATAATTCATGATTTCTTTGATCTTCTAATTTTTGAGCCAATTCATCACAACGTCCTTGAAGTGTTGATTGTGCCTCGCGAAGTTGATTTGTTGTTTTAATAGCGAGACTCAATTCTTCTTCGCGTTGACTCAAACGTGTGTCTATCAATAGTGATCGTGAAGAAGCTTCAGATCTTGTTGTTTGTAATTCAGATGTTCTTTTTGATAATTCCTCCTCTAAACCTGCCATTTGTTGACTTAGAAGTGTTCTCTCTTGCTCTAAACGTTTTTCTCTGTAAAGTACAAAAATAAATAAATTTATTTCTTTGAAAAATATTATTTTAAATATTTTTAAACTTGCAGTGATCAAAATACCGATCACTATTTTTTTTTGGCAAAATTTGAGCTTTATTTGGAAAAATTAAATACTTAAAAAAACTGCAGTTTTAAAAATAAATTAAATTTCATGGTTGAAAAGAAATAAAATTACTTTTTTTAGATCGATTACAATTTTAATCAATAAATGCGTCATATCGTAATTTAAACTAAGATTTATTGAAATTGAACCTAAAAATTTTGATAAATTGAAACTTGGGTTAATTTATTGAAATTATAAAAATAGGTGAAATAGATGAAAAAAGTGAATCAATTATTCAATCAAATAAATGAATTAATTATCATAATCTGAAAATAATAAAAAAAAATTTGAAATTGAAGTTGAAATATTAAGTCAAATAATTGTAATTATTTTTAAAAATTTCCACTTTAAAAATACAAATTCACAAAAAGTTTTCTAAAGTAATTTATGAAACATTATTGAGTAAAATATTTTAATTAATTTTTGAATTAGATTAATTATCCAAATTTAAAGTTATAAAAAATGTATAACTCAAAAATTTTTCAAAACTTAATTTTTTTATTAATAATGACAATTATTATTATATATTTGTGACTTTTACTTTTTGAGGACAAAAATTAAATTAAGATTTAGAATATAAAAAAATTAAAGAAAAAAATAGTTGCATACTACGTAAAATGTTGAATCCGTTTGTAAAAACTAACAATTTTCAAAATAATTATATATAAATTGAGTTTGGGAAAATTTAAGTTTATTTTGAAAAAAATTAAATATTTTTGAAAAAACATTTTTGTTTCCTTATAAAAAATTAAGTTCCTTTTGAATGAGTGGAAAGAAATTGAAGTATATAAATTACATTTTTCTTAAAAAATTAATAGTTCGAAAATTAATAACAATTTCTTCACATCAATTACAAATTTTTTTAAATATTAGAATTAAATAAAAAACTAAAATTATGCAAAAAGTTCTTAAAAGTCAATATTTAACAAATTAATCTCTACTATTGTAACATAGACAATTTTTAAATCGAAACTTTTTTTGAAAGTCCGAATTTCGAAAATGAAAAAACCAAAATAATTATTTTTGTAAAATTAAAATTTCAATTTGACAACTTATTTTAGTTTTTTTTTTACTTAGATAAAATAATTTGGTTTTAATAATCATTTTCCGAAAATAAGAAACAATTATTTTGAAATATGTTGAAAATAGAAATATAAAATAAATTGTATAAAGTATACAAACTTGAAATCTAGAGTCATCTCAAGGCTACGGATTTCCTCCATTTGCGAAAGTGCCTGACACTTGGCGGTAACTGCAGCTTGTAATTGAGAACCGAGGGAATTGACTTCAATTCGTAATCGTTCCAAATCACTGTCGCGACGTTCAACTTGAAGCTGTAATCCATCTCTTTCGTCGCAAGCTAAATCTCTTTGTTTTCTAAGTTCAAAATTCTCCTTCTCCAACCTATTTATTTATTAAATTACAAATATATAATTATTCGTGTCTTTATACGAAAAGTACTACAATATTCGTAAGAAGTTCATTAAATTTATATATTAAACTTTTATTATCTACAGAATCATAGTTTTTTTTTTTTTTTTTTTTTTTTTTTTTATTGAAAATACATAAGAATGATAATTACCTTTTCACGGATTCTTGAAGTTTGTGTATTTCCGCTTTAGCTTCCTCTACACTTGTTTTTAATTCATTAACGTATTGATCAGCCAAATTTAATTTGCCCTTGCATTCTTCAAGATCTAATTTTTGATCCTCATGTTCCTTTTGTACAGTGTCTAAATTTTTTTCTATAATTGAAAATGTTTAAATGTTTTAAATGTTTTTTTTTCTGAACTTATTTCAATTTTATAAGAATAGGTATTTTGTATACAATAGATTATTTTGTTTTCAATATTAGTTTATTTTCTTTCAGAATGTAAACTTGACCTTTGAAGAGGTCGAATTTTTCACTAATTTCTTGTCAACCGGAAAGAACAAAGAAATTTCATTAAATTGAAAAAAATCAATTTTTTTAAATCTTATTTAATTCAAACAAAATTTTGCTACTATAAACGTTATTATTAAAGAAACAAATGCTAAGTTGATAATAATAAATTTCATTTTACTACGATTTTTTTTTCATTTCCATTATAGAAAGTTAGGTTATGTTAAATTCCACGAGCTTCTATAGGTTTGTAGGTTAAGTTGAAAGTTCCAGAAAGAACTTTAAATAATTAAAAATAAAATAGAAATCTCACCAAGATTTTGACGACTTGTTTCAAAAACTGCTTTGGCTGTTAAAAATTCCTCAAACTTTTCGGTAAAATATGATTTTAATTTATTGAGAGAAGGGTTTTGAATAGACAACAATTCCTCTTGAGTCAATATATCGTGAAGAATTCCATGCTCCCTTTCCTCCGTCGTTTCCATTGTTGCGTCGGAAATATTTTAAAACTAATCTAAGTTATAAAACACGTCTTTATAAAAACACTTTCAACGGCTTTTTTTTATCTTTATTAAAAAAGATCCGGTAAATCGCGTCAACAATTTTTCTCTGCGTCTTCTCTTTCCATGACTGCCAACATTCTTTTTTTCACTGTTCATTTCGTTCCCCTAGTTCCAGTCTCCTGATTGGTTAAAACATACTTGTGGTTTATGATTGGCTCTTTAAAATGTAAGTAAATTTCTAATTGGGTAAAAAATTGGCGCGCATAAATATATTTTTTTAAATTAGAATCATAATTAATATAATTATTTTAATTCAATAGAAAATTATTAACAATTTTTTGAAATAGATTTTAAAATACAAAAAAATAGTTTAACAAAAATTAAAAATATTTACAAACGATTAAATTATACTGTTTGCAATTTTGGAGAGGAATGTACGCCTAAACGTGAATTTTCTTGGCGCCAAAATTGATTTGATAACTTTAATTATTAATTTTTTGTATTGTTATTAAAATTGTTTTAATAGTAATGTAATAAAAAAATATATAATAGAATAAATTATAAATAAATAATGTGGTGCTTTATTTTGGAAAAAGGGAAATAGATACAAAAAATTTTAATACAATTATCTTCGGCTTTATTTATTTTTGCACGTGACGTCAGTTTTCAATAAATTATTCCTAAATACACTGGCTTACAACAATTTACACTATTTAATAATTTATGTGTCTCCTGAAAGGAAACAATATTCTATCGGTAATCAATCATAAATGATTATATCCCTAAAGCCATAAGAGATAAGATTTACATTTATCACTTTTCAATTTTTTTTTTTTTTTTTTTGCGAAATATATACCTATATATATATATAATTCATCCGGTACATTTTATGTACAAAAACTTATAAAAACTCAATAATTATTATGAAAAAATTGACTTAAAATAACGCAATAAAAATTAGAATTTGAATTCGATTGCAATATATATATATGAGATTGTGTATTGAATTTTCATTCTCCTTATGAGCGTGAGGAAAATGATAATCGTTACACAGTATATATATGAAATAATAAAGTCTTATAAAAAAATTGTACAAACTACATCAGTGATTGAAATTAAGACTAGAAGAGAGTATCAGAGAGGGAGTTTTTCGTCTTACTTCTATACAGGCGATAGATTTGAATGAAAATGTATAGCTTAGAAGCAAGATCGATGGCTTAAAACTTTTTTTTTTTTTTTTTTTTTAAACATGCGACACAACAACGTTTGAAAGCGCACTGGCAAGAAGAAGAGAGCTGATTGCATCTTTCTTATTAAATTTTATAAATCTTGATGTTCAACTTGTTTTTTTTCTTTTTATCTTCATCTTGTAACAATAAAAAGACTTCTTACAGTTTCACTAAGTGGGGCACAAAACTGAAACAAAATTGTAAAATTTTATTTTTTTTTTTATTAAATTACATATCTATTTTAATAATTTTCAAATATTATTGATGATATTATATTTTATAAAAAAAAAACAATGAAAAGTGGGAAGTTTACAAATATCTTGATACATTTTATTTTTTGAATTTTATAAACTGAAATTTAAAAATAGTTCAATTTGTTAATATTTTTTTTATTTAAAAATAGGTAATTGATTTAAAGAATAATTAAGTTACAAAACAGTAGTTTTTTTTACAATATGTAATTGAATTTTTTAAATTGTCGAATTTTATTGATACTAAATTAATATAGTATAATTTGTTAAATTTGTTTAAAAAATTTTGTTCAAAACAAATTGGAGAATGTTCAATTCCAAAACTTTTTTCTAGTTTATTTTATTTTATCAAAAAAAAAAAAAAAAAGTAATAATAATAATAAGATGGAAATATTATTATTATTATTGTTGTTTAACAATTTAAAAATATTTACCTTTTAATATATAGTCTGTGAGTAACGTGGGTACAGTTGGACTATCTTCATCAATTGCTTTCAATACTAAAAAGAAAATTTACAATGTAATACTTTTTATTTTCGCAAAAAGAAATTTTTTTTAATTTTTATAATAATGTTATGTATCTTTTTTTATATTTTATAAACTTACTTTTTATAAGAACCTGAAGTGCCTGATTATTTGGCGGTCCACTGTCTGTATGGTATGGAATGACTGTTGTTAAATACTGAAAAAAATAAAGATACGTAAAATTTGTTTTTCAAGAAAAAATAGTTATTTATGATATAAGTGCGTAAAGTGAGTGATTATACGAGTGTGACGTTTGCAGTACGAGAAAAATAGAAATTAAATCTTTTTTATAATTTAAAAAAATCTTATAATATTATATCTACCTTAGATTCTTGGAAGGATCTATGTTGTGGTAATGGACTTGTACCATTTAGTATCAATTTTTGTATATTTTGATTTCTTTTTCTTGTAACGTGATGAGCCCTTCGACGATTTTGTATGGCAAGTACTAAAGAAATAAATGTATTTTTTAAATCTTTTTCAATTTGTAATTCATCACGCAATGCAAGTTCTGCAATAAGAGTTTCACTTAATGCTCCCACTAATGACTCCATTTCGCTTAGGAGTTCAGTCAGTTGGCCGGAAGTGAGTTGTCGTAATTCTGTAATTGAAACAATAATAAAAAAGAAAATTAGATTTTAATTAATTGTAATCGTTTTACGGAAAAAAAATTAATTTAACAAAAAAGAAGATTATTTAATTTATCTTAATAATTTTCTAAATTTTTTTTTCACTCCTATTTTTTCTTTTGGAAAAGAAAATATTTTCTCACGTACTTTTGTCGTTTAATGGAGAACCCAAAACTTCTCTGCTTCTTTCCAATGCTTCATCAGTATCTAAAAGAGAGTCTTCGGAATCAGGAGATCTTTCCATTGATGGACTTTCCTAAAAAGTAAAATTTCGATTATTATTAAATTTAATTAATTAATTTGTATTCTATTGCAAATCAAACAAGAAAATGATAATAAAAGTAAATTATGAACAAATATATATATATGTATATATATATTATTCTATTTTGTACCTGCATAATATCGTCAATTTCTCGTAGAACTTCTTCTGCAGTTTTGAGAGGTTCTTCTGGACTATGTGAATCAGTACTGCTGGACAATATTAAGGCATGCATATCCAAATCAGTCGCAACAGCTTCATCTTCACTGCTTAAGTCCTCGAGTTCTGGCCTGAAAATAGATCATATATATATATAATGAGAATAATTAATGAAGCTGCTTTTCGTTCTAATTAATTTTAATAAACTCCCATTTACTATTCACAAAAGATCTTTCCAGAAATAATTATAGAATTATTATTATTATAATTATGCAATTGTCATGATAAATTAATATTTACTTACACAATTATTTAATACAATTTTTAAAATTGTAATTATGTCTAATTTATATTAAGGTACATATTTTTTGTTTTAAAAAACATATTTTTTTTGTTTTTTTTTCTGAAAAAGAGCAAGTCAAGGTTTTCTTTCTTGTAAACAGTGAGAAGGGCGATTTTTATGATTTTCTTTGAGGCGGTAAATTTGTATAAAATTACCTATCTAAGTTTATAGCAGCCTCGTTCAGATTCAAGGCTGGCATGTGCATTTTTCTTGCAAATGATTTACTCCAATCAATTGGCAAAATATTTCCAAATGTGCCAGTGATTGTCCACCACATTCTGTAACACAAAATAATTATAATATAGTAAATAGTATAAATATTTGCTAATATAATAAAAATAATAATAATTTAATAACCCTTCAATAAAAATATATAGTAAAATAAAAAATAAAAAAAAAAAATAATAATAATTATAAAATCTATTGCAGTATCAAAAATGTTTATTCAAAATTAAGTTGCAAAAGAAAAAATTTTATTATAAATCCTATAAACGAAAAAAATTATTTAAAATAAATTTTTGAATTAAATCATAAGTAAAAGTGTAATCGAGATTAAATTGATGATTATACACTTTATAAGTGCAAAATAAGAAAGGAGATTACTGCGCTGAGATAAATTTTTTTCCATTAAGAATAAAGTGCCGGCATTTCATTATATTATTTCTTATTTTGCTCTCTTTAGTGTTCACACATTTTCTTCAATAAGGGACTTCCGTTATAGCACGTGTTTTGCAGCCGTGTTATATCATTATTATTATTTTATTATTATTATTAAATCACAATGTCGTGAGGTGTTACATAATATAATTTTCATTAGACCAAAATGAAATGCAAAAGAAGTAGGGTAAAGAACGTGACATATTTTTTAATATTTTCAATTAAAAAATAGTAAAGATTTTTTAATGGTCATACGCTTTCTCTCAGTATAATTTATTACAAAACAGTAATTAAACTAATTAAAAAAACTAATTAAAATTATTTATAGAAACCCTAAAATTAGTGTATAATTTAATTATGACAATTTTTTTTTTCTTTATATTACTTTATACTTTGTAAAATGTATATCGCTTGTTTATAATAATCTTATGCAATAAATAAATGAATAAAACATTAAATTGGAAAATAAATTTCTTTTTTTTGAAAAACCAAATGAATATTTATATAAAATATTGATATTAAATAATTATTTTAATTATTATCCTAATTATTAAACTATTATTAAAATAATAAATTATTTTTATTTTTGGTTAATTGATTAAAATTACATAATTATTTACAGCTAATTATTATATAAATGCAAGGTATATAAAATATGAACCTCTGAAGTTGCTTCTGAATGCTAATTAAGAATATTGTATAATTTTCATTGCAATTTATTTGTGGGTGGAAAGCCACAAGGAGAAAAGATTAAAAAAAAAAAAAAAAAAAAACAACTTGAAGGAGTGAAATTTCAAACTGAGTTGCTACACATTCATAGAAATTAATTCCTGACTCGAGAATTTCTTCATTTTCTTATCTCACATGGTTGCGGGTAAAATGCATTTTTACAAAAGAGAATTTAATAATGAAGTCTTTCAATTGTTTAAATTATATAATATTCTTTAAAGAATCTGAAAAGTTTTATAATAAAATATTTTCCATACTATTTTGAAATATTATTTTCATTGTGAATAATTATATAGATTTATATGGGAAGAAATATTAAATCTTTGATTAAAAAATTAAATATTAAATATAAAAAAAATTACTAATAACAATAATAAAATTAAAAAAGATAAATATAGTGAAATCCACGTATATCGGACCCGCATAATTCGGATTGTTTTTCCAATTCCAGGGTGTCTAACAAGGATTGAGAAAAAAATTCCCTGACTTTTCCCTGACATTTTTTGATTTTTTCCTGACTTTTTAATAACCTTATTTCTGCTTTCTTTGGACAAAAATATGGTTACTGACATATTTAACAATAAATTAATTTCTAATAGTAGTAACAAATGGTAATAAAAACCATTCAAGTTTTTTTAGATTAAAAATTTTTTAAATTCACAAAAAATTTTAATTTTTATAGAAATTTACAGAATATTCCCTGACTTTGAATGAAATTTTTTGAAATTCCCTGACTTTTCCCTGACCAACAAAATTCCCTGACTTTTCCTGACCGTTAGACACCCTGAATCCCTTGAATTTTTCTATATAAGTCTGTATTAAAATACCCGCTTACATCGGACCAATTAAAAAATTAACGACATAGAAATCTACCTTACCGACTGATAGTAAAAATTTTGAAAAATGAAAATATAAAAATACCTACTCATAAACCTACCTTACCGACCGATGGTGAAATTTTTCTTTAAAAGTCTAGTTAATTTTTTTATCATCAGTCAGTAATGTAGATTTCTATATCGGTAGTTTTTATATTTAAAAAAAAACTGTTTTACCATCAGTCGGTAAGGTAGATTTCTATGTCGATATTTTTTATATTTTCATTTTTCAAAAATTTTCAGCAGCAGTCGGTAAGGTCAAATAACCTTAATGTTCACGTAGTGCTAATAATAATTCATTATAAACTAAATGACTATATTAATTATTATTCGATGTTGTTATATTATTATTATTATTAATTGTTTGTTTGTTTTTTGAAAGAATAGTAGAATACAAAGGTTTCTTTTTGTCAAAATTATATATACATACATATGTAAAAATTATTTCCCCTCTGTAGTTTCACTTCAGAAAAAGAAGCAAAATGTCAAGTATATCGTTACATCGTCAACATCACTTTTCTGCAATGCTAATTACTTCACTTCACGTATTTCCTTATTCATCCGACAGGAAAAGTATATCATTTTATAAATCACTTTTGAAACTTTATCCACGAATTTTTTTTTTAATTAACAATATAGAAAATAATTATGTAAAGTTCATCAATATTAGATAATTTTGCATATTACGTGTTAAATTTAGCTTGAAAAATGTCTAAATGTAAAATTTTCTTTTGTTATTTTTTTGTTTTTTAAGTCTCTTTGTTTCAAATGACAAAAGCATATAAAATTTAACTTTTCAACAATAGAATATACCACAATGTTATGTACTTGACTTATTTTCTTCCTCTGAAATAAAAATACTATTATATTATATATAAAATGTCCAAAAATATTTAAAATCCCTTAAAAAAATTGTTTTTAATTTTTTTTATTTAATCAAAAATTAACATTGACTTTAAATTCTACGAAATTTGAATGAATTGAATGTAATTTAAATTAAATTTTTTATATACTTTCAAGGCTAATTTAATGTCAGGCACATCTTAAAATAAGCGATTTTATTTTTTGCTGCGTGAAATTGTATACATAATAAATAAGATTGCGTAATGAAAACATTAAGAAATGAAAATGAATAATAAAAATGCATCAAAGTACCAAAATAGGAATATTGGAAAGCGAATATATTGAAAATATATAAATATTATGCAAGTGTGAAAAATTTGCATTTATCTTGTGATATAATCTCAGAGACGATGTATTGTATGCACAGTATAGGAGTCTTTGAAGAATTTGACGGGCCTTTAAAATCTGTATTTCATTTTGTTGATTCACTAAGCGTGATGTAGGTGTTTCAAATGTAAAATCATCATGACATGAAAGATCTGATATCCCATTGAAGGGAACAAGTGTTTATAGTCTATTCTACTATGTTTAATTACTTCCTCTCGCAAATATATATCTTATTCATTAAGTACAAAATGTTAGTACTTAATTATCTCTCTGAATTATAAAAGACAGTTAAATTTAATTAACAATTGGAAAATTTACTAATTAACATGATTATAATTTAGGGTCCCTACTATTAGCAATCCCACGTAGAAAGGTTTCTGGAATTTCTGCGGATAGACTACGGAAAAATTTGCGGACTTACTGCAATTTTTCAATTTTCCGGAAATCACTCCGCAAACTTTTCCGAAGCCTATCTGCAGAAATTCCGGAAATCTTTCCACATGGGAAAACCTTTAATTTTCACGGAACTCATAGGTTCGGAACTCTCTATAAACAATATAATTGGAGGTTATGACGGAACTAGTTGCACAAGAAGATGCGCAAAAGTTACACTTTCGGCTAATGCCGGTATCACTGACCGAAATTTTCATTTATTATAAAATTTAATGAATTCTTTTCGTGATATAATATAGCCATCTATAATTAGGCACAGCCGTTTTTTTTTTAATTTGATATATGGGCGTTTCAGTTTTTTTTTTAAAGCCTGTAATTTGATTGAAATCAATATTCTCAGACCACTTTTAAAAAGTCAATTATTTATGTGAGAACTTTTGTATACTTAATATCAGTATATATATAGGGTCAGTGTAAAAAGAGAGCTCATTTTTTATGGGATATGTGTGAATCACTTTTCATGTAGGTGTTTCCTCCGCGTTACGCACAGCACAGATAAATGACATCGTTTAATCTTGATGAAACAAACGAGTCATTGTTGTAACAATGAGCTCTTCTACAATAAACCATTATTCTAACAATTCTTGGCAAATTATAACGCAGAGAATATAGAAAAAGTACGTTTTCGCTTTTTTTAATTATCATTCAGCCATTCAGCGAATGATAAAAGCTACCTAAGAAGCAAATGAATTATAGGTTATGTTTACGACAAAGTTTTACATTTTATTAAAAGTTCCTTTTTATTACACAGTTTTCCTAAAAGTATCAAATTGAGACCAAAAATTGCATCAAATCTTTGCAACGTTTTGATGCACATAAGTTATATCAAAAAGAGATCGTTTTGTGTATCATTTTCAGAAATGATACACGAAACGGTCTCATTTTTTGATGCAAAAAATTTAATCAATTTATATCAATCATGGCCGAATTGAATCGACTCAAAATTAAACGAATTTTTTTCAGATATTTTGGTAATAGTACAATTGCGGAGACCATTTCACTATTTAATTTGAAAATGAAAATAACAGAAAATCAAAGACAATGTGCAATTCGATAATTAAAAAGTGACAGCTTATAAACATAACCTAAAATGCATGAGAAAAAATTTGTCGATAAAATCAATGTAGCCGAGCTTTTTAGAAGGTAGATGGCAGTTTTGCTTTTTATAAAAACGATTCAGAAAAAATTTAAAGAAAGAAAATAGATGAGTGCTGCCATCTACCTTCTAAAAAGCTCGGCTATATTGATTTTATCGACAAATTTTTTCTCATGCATTTTAGGTTATGTTTATAAGCTTTGATTTTCTGTTATTTTCATTTTGAAATTAAATAGTG